TGTTTCAAGGTTGTCTAATTTTTGAGTTGCTAGATGAGTGGAAAAACTTTCTTGAGAGAATGGGATGTGATAATTTGGACGCCTTAAAGAAAGAGGGTAAAGAAGAAGAGCTTCGAAACTGGGCATCATATCGTGGACAAACATTGAGTAGAACAGGTGAGACCAATAAGTATATGTGAAAATCGCCAAATTGATCCTTATCACACTTTGATAGCGAAGTAACAAAATTTTGTTTTGTTTTCATGCTTAACACAGTTCGTGGTATGATGTATTGCCGAGAAGCTTTGAAATTGCAAGCCTTCCTTGACATGGCAGATGACGAGGGTTTGTCATCTTGACTCTAGCCTATGATCTTTGCAATTTCTTTTCCAAAACATTTATTTGGTTGATTCCATTGTACTCCTGTTTCTCCTCTAGATATTCTTGAAGGATACAAGGACGTGGAACGAAGTAACCGACCTTTAGCCGCACAACTTGATGCATTAGCAGATATGAAATTCACGTATGTTGTGTCTTGCCAAATGTTTGGAGCCCAAAAATCAGCTGGGGATCCCCACGCGCAGGATATACTTGACCTGATGATAAAGTATGCTTTTATTGTTATGCAAATTGTACATGATCTCAGTTAGATTCAGTAGCCAAAGTTGCTTCCCTAAAGCACTGTTACATGACTGTTGCACTTAGGTACCCATCTCTCCGTGTTGCATACGTTGAGGAGAGGGAAGAAATCGTGTTGGATGTTCCAAAGAAAGTTTACTACTCAATTTTGGTAAAAGCTGTCAACGGTTTCGATCAGGTATCAATAAATATGCTACAATGCTTTAAAATTTGATGTGCAGTTGAACTGTAAAATTATGATAATAGTCAATGACTAAACTTGATTTTGATAATCTAGGAAATTTACCGTGTCAAACTTCCTGGACCACCTAACATTGGAGAGGGGAAGCCTGAGAATCAAAATCACGCCATAGTTTTCACTCGAGGTGAAGCACTTCAGACGATCGACATGAACCAAGTAAGTTTTCTGCCTCCTGGATGTACAATTAATGAACCACCTATGTGTCTTCCAAAACGTCTGACATAAATGTTAGGATCACTACCTGGAAGAGGCTTTCAAAATGAGAAATCTCCTTCAAGAATTTCTTCGAAACCGTGGCAGAAGACCTCCAACAATTCTTGGCTTAAGGGAACACATCTTCACCGGAAGGTTTGTTTCACACATGCATATAAATATCATTCTCCCTGTAACAACCAGAACATGGTATATCATAAGCCGGGAATTTACTGAGTTTCTGATATTGCAGTGTTTCTTCTCTAGCATGGTTCATGTCATATCAAGAAACCAGTTTTGTCACAATCGGTCAAAGGCTTCTTGCTAATCCTCTCAGGCAATAATCCCTTAGTCCTAAAACCCTCAAAATCACAGTATTAACTTGCTGCGGCTACAAAAAAAACTGACCTTTTTTCACTGATTTATAGAGTCCGGTTTCACTATGGGCATCCAGATGTCTTCGACAGAATATTTCACATAACAAGGGGCGGCATCAGTAAATCATCGAGAACTATTAACTTAAGCGAGGACGTTTTCGCGGGTATGAAAGAGTTCTTTCTCAGCATTATTATAAGATTTACTTGTAATTACATTCTTCCTTGTATTATGTAGGTTATAATACCACCCTACGACGTGGATGCATAACCTACAATGAGTACCTCCAAGTTGGAAAAGGTCGTGATGTTGGCCTCAATCAAATCTCAAAGTTTGAGGCCAAGGTGGCTAACGGAAACAGTGAACAGACTATTAGCCGTGACATATACCGTTTAGGACAACGTTTTGATTTCTTCAGAATGTTGTCTTGTTATTTCACAACCATTGGATTCTACTTCAGTAGCTTGGTAACGTCCATGAAACTAAGCTGATTAATAACGGTTCCTTATATCAGTTGTAGATGAGCTCTAATCTCTGCTGACGCGTGTACAGATTTCCGTGATCGGGATATATATTTATCTGTATGGTCAACTCTACCTCGTGCTCAGTGGGTTGCAGAAGACGCTTATTCTTGAGGCCAAGGTGAAAAACATAAAATCATTGGAAACAGCCCTTGCCTCTCAATCATTTATCCAGTTAGGTCTCTTGACTGGTCTACCGATGGTGATGGAGATTGGATTGGAGAAAGGATTTCTTATAGCCTTTCAAGATTTCATACTTATGCAGCTACAGCTTGCTGCATTCTTCTTCACTTTCTCTCTAGGAACTAAAACGCATTACTTCGGCAGAACAATTCTCCATGGAGGCGCCAAATACAGACCCACAGGGCGTAAAGTAGTGGTGTTCCATGCCAACTTCAGTGAAAATTACAGATTATATTCTCGAAGCCATTTTATCAAAGGTTTTGAGCTCATGATTCTTCTGGTCGTCTACGAGTTGTTCAAGCATACATCTCAAAGCAACATGGCTTACTCATTCATCACTTTCTCAGTGTGGTTCATGTCTTTTACTTGGTTATGCGCCCCGTTTCTCTTCAACCCTTCAGGCTTTACCTGGGAAATAATAGTCGGTGACTGGAGAGACTGGAACAGGTGGATCAAAGAGCAAGGTGGGATAGGGATTCAGCAAGACAAGAGTTGGCAATCTTGGTGGAACGACGAGCAAGCCCATCTACGTGGCTCTGGTGTTGGAGCTCGCTGTTTGGAGATAATTTTGTCCCTCAGGTTCTTTGTGTATCAGTATGGTTTGGTATATCACCTTGACATTACCCAAAGCAACACAAATATCATAGTCTACGCGCTTTCTTGGGTCGTGATTCTCGCCACATTCTTCACAGTCAAGGTAAAATCTCTCATCCCCTTTCTCTTGCTGTGAGTAATAAGAAGATGCATAAAAACAGAACCAAAGTCAAGCTAAACAATTTTCACTGTTTTCTCTTGCAGGCCGTAGACCTAGGAAGACAACTCTTCAGCACAAGAAAGCATCTCGTATTTCGGTTCTTCAAAGTCTTTGTCTTCGTGAGCATTCTAACAGTCATTATCACTCTATCAAACATCTGTCACCTCTCTGTCAAGGACCTTCTAGTCTCTTGCTTAGCTTTCTTGCCCACCGGTTGGGGTCTAATTCTGGTACCACAATTCAATCTACCTCTCACTGTTTTTAAAAAGAACATCACATTTACTTTCTCATGACATCCCTTAAATCATCGTTGCAGATTGCACAAGCGGTTAGGCCAAAGATAGAAGGAACGAGCTTATGGGAGTTCACACAGGTTCTTGCCCGAGCTTATGATTATGGAATGGGAGTTGTTTTGTTTGCACCAATGGCTATATTAGCTTGGCTTCCTATAATTTCTGCGTTTCAGACACGCTTTCTCTTCAACGAAGCTTTTAACAGAAGGCTTCAAATTCAACCTATTCTTGCAGGGAAGAAGAAGAATCGATGAACATATGCCTCTTTCACTCATCTGCTTTGTACATCTTGTAACTTTTTCACTTATTATTTGCCTTGTACAAAATTCTGGTTCTTACCAAATATTTCATTAGTGTTCACTGTTCAATATAGTGGATTAGAAGTGTACATTTAAACCGCTCCGAACCAAATTCGAGGTAGATTTATTCAATATACTAAATTAAACCAAGTGGTTTAATTTATTCATTGACCGGTTAGTTTTTCAAATTCAAAATCATATTTAAACAGTTCGTAGTTTCTGTGTTTTTGGGAAAAGAAACAATGATGATTATTCGGAGGCTTGTTCTATTTGCAGCATCGAATTCGAATCCCAGAAGAACTCAATCACTTTCTGCTTCTACTGTTCGACTTCTCTCATCATCTTCTGATAGATATACGCCGTCGTCGCAACGATACTCCGGTGACGATAAGCTCGCCAGGCTAAAGCACAAAGATTGGTTAGCCCCAAACGAAGTTTTGAAAATCTTCGACAATGTCAAAGATCCAAGCTTTCTGATGCCGGCTTACCAACATTACTCTAAACGGAAAGATTATCAACCGACGGAATCTCTCTACGCCCTTCTGATCAACAAGTTTGGACAAGCTAAAATGTTCGATGAAATCGAAGAGGTAATGAGAACTATAAAGCTTGAGAAAAGATGTCGTTTTTCAGAGGAGTTCTTCTACAATTTGATGAGGATTTACGGGAATTTAGCCGGTAGAATCAACCGAGCCATCGAGATTTTGTTCGGTATGCCGGATTTTGGATGCTGGCCAAGCGCCAAAAGTTTCAATTTCATTCTGAATTTACTTGTTTCCGCAAAGCTGTTCGATGAGATTCATAAGATCTTTGTGAGTGCTCCTAAGCTGGGTGTTGAAATCGATGCTTGTTGTTTGAATATACTCATTAAAGGACTGTGTGAGAGTGGGAATTTGGAAGCTGCACTCCAACTGCTCGACGAATTTCCTAAACAAAAATCACGGCCTAATGTGATGACGTTTTCTCCTTTGATCCGTGGTTTCTGTAATAAGGGAAAGTTCGAAGAAGCTTTTAAATTGTTGGAGAGGATGGAGAAGGAACGTATCGAACCAGACACTATCACGTTTAACATTTTGATTTCGGGACTTAGGAAGAAAGGTAGGGTTGAAGAAGGGATTGATCTTTTGGAGAGAATGAAGCTAAAGGGGTGTGAACCAAATCCTGGGACTTATCAAGAGGTGTTGTATGGTCTCTTGGATAAAAAGAGGAACTTGGAAGCTAAAGAGATGATGAGTCAGATGATTTCATGGGGTATGAGACCCAGTTTTCTGTCTTACAAAAAGATGGTTCTGGGGCTCTGCGAAACGAAGTCGGTTGCCGAAATGGATTGGGTTTTGAGGCAAATGGTGAATCATGGTTTTGTTCCAAAAACAGGCATGTGGTGGAAAGCCGTTAGCTGTGTTGTTTCAAAGAACTATCACTCTCAAGCAAATTTGGATCGCATTACTGCTTGCAAGGAAACTCCTGGATAAGGTTTTATAGATTCTGCTGTATTGTTTAAAAAATAGAACATGCTGATTACTGAAGCTGTCTGTTCTTCAAGTAGTAGAAAATGGAAGAAGCAAGACAGAGACTCAAAACTAAAAAGCTGTACAAGAATCGTTTGGCGTACATCTAGAACTAACATACTCAAATTTTTCTCCTCAAGCTTTTGATTATTTACCTATGATTCCTTTTCGATTCTTGGGGGTGGTTACTTTCTCGGCTCCAGCAAAAGAGTTCCTGGCATCACTATATGTAGTTTCCAAGTTTACTAAATTTATCTTTGTTTCTTTGTTCTTCGAAATGTCTGATTTCGAATCTTCTTTGGAGTTTGCTGATGTATTTACATTATCATCTTCACCTGCCCTGACAGTTTTTCCTTCAAGTTTCGCTGTTCTTGGTGTCCCTAGGTCAGATTCATCATCAGAATATTCACATTGACGTTCAGAGTCTTGCTCGGACACAGTTGAACACTCGTCGTCTCTCGATTTCCTTGATCCTTTACGCGAAAAAGCATGCTTAAGGTGTCTTGCAGACTTTTCAGCATGCTTTAGAATGCTCTTTGCAACATCCTTCATGTGTCCCTTGTTCTGACTGTCTTCAGAACCAAAGCTCTCACCTTTTGGACTTCTTCCTGTGAGAGGCCCTGAAAGCCTGTCTTCAACTATGAACTTAACCCCAACATCCTTTTGATTTAACGCCTTCAAATTAATCCGAGGAGACCTGATATCCTCTTCAATGCTCCCTGTATGCTGACATTCTTCCTTTTTTCCATTCCTATGGAACACTAAACCGATTTTCTTCAATCCCCGACCAACTGACTTCATCGTGCTCTTCCCTTCCTGATTCTCATCAGTGCTGCTGCTTTCATTGTTGGGCGACGTAGATGCAGTGGAACGGACACTGCCAGCACCCCGTATTTCGTTATCAAGGCATCGATTCTTGCCTTTTCTTGGTTCCCAAATCTGTGAGACTTCAGTTCCTGGTTGATGTACCCAGATTCCAGTCTCTTCTTGTCCTTCGATGTTAATTGGTTCCATATTATCAGGAACCCTTGGAGACTTGTCAGATACCACTGATGAGAAGGAACCTTTACTTGTAACGTCGGAAGCAAAAGAAGCCCACATGTCTTCCTTACTTATTGTCACTCCTTCAAACGGATCATCGTTCAACTGTAAAAGAATGCATATTGCATAAGCGTTGATCATGAAACTCTGTATTAAAGAAAACTAAACAGAAACTCAATCTACCTTTGCCTCATCCTCAAGTACGGTTATAGCAAGGTGCAGCCTCCCCATTTTAATGTTCTGAAGAGGCAACCACATATCATTTCTTTGGCCGCCTCGAAACTCTGCAATGTTCACTGAACAATCGCCAAGACTGTCATCGCTAAATCGGTCTTTGTCTTGAACTTCAATGTTAAGGATATTTGGGGAGTCCCATGTGCAGATTGGTATCTTGAACTCTTCTTGCCATTTAGGAGCCAACGTTTTCCATAGTATCTTGGTTTTAAATCTGTAAGCGCCAAGCTGCCCTTTCACATAAGGATCAGCTAAACCTGAAGGATCCAAATCCGAGTAGTTCATAAAATGTAGTTCAAACTACTAAAGCGAAGGAAACTAAATCCTGGTGATTTCCAGACTAACCGTTTAGATCTGATGGTTTAACATCAGATGCTTCAACGACTTCAACAAGAGCGTGTGCTACTGGTTCTTTCTCATCAACAAAGAACCAATTTTCTGGAACGAACACAAGCAAAGAAGGTAATCATATGGACTGATTAGATGGAGGTTTAACAAGTCATATGGAGATTTGAGGAACCAATAAAAAGAAGTTCAAGATAAAAGTCATGGATTGAGAACATCTCCTGCAATAATTACCTCCTGGCTCTGGACTAACAAATTTCTCCATATCAACTACCAGCATATTTGGCTGCAAATTAGACACAAGCTTCATTTAGCTAGGGTAACTGTAATGCAATGTTTTCTTAACTACAAGAGGGGATTAATCTCGGGAGAGAAAGGCGACAAATGACAAGAATCTTACCTCAACAAGAGTCTGCTCAAATGCAACAGACAAAAGTTTATCCTGATTGAGAAAGAAAGATATTGGTGGGAGTGTTAGAAGAAGAAAAAACTCAAAAGATCCAGAGAAAGCTTAACATGCGTCAATACTTACTAGCCATCCTGCAATCCCTGGAAGCACAGCAACATCAAGTCCATGAGTGGTAATTGGTTTAACAGTCATTTGGAAATAAGGTGGCTCTGCAAAACAAACACGTAAACGCCCCAGAAAAGGCCATCGACGAAGGAACTTCACTCCAATCAACACCTTCAAGAGTTAAAGGTATCCATATGAAGCAAGGTACTTCATTTAAGAGAGAGCCGCGTATGTGAATATATTACAGATAAGAAAATCCACTACCTTTCCTTCTACATGCATCCCTGTCAAATGCAACTTTGTCCACATTCCAAACCCAAGTCTTTTTCTTAACTTCACAGCGAGTATTGCGCTCATATCATCTGCTGTGAGGAAATTCATTCCAAGTTCCAGCACCTGTACACACTTCAATATAAGTTATACTTTCTCTATAGAACTTAAAACTTAAAGAACTGAAGTTTTGCAACTATACCAAGTGATCATCACCCGTAGATTGCCGAAGCACCCTTATATCTGTCAACAAAGGCGGGTTTCTTCCCAAATAGAGGTGTTGTATCACAGCTTTTTTCTGCACAAATTATCGTTCCATCCATCAATAAAACTAAATCGCTTTTTCGACTGTAAACTGTGCTACAGTAAGTGCCTAGCTAGTACTACTCCAAATATCTAACTAGACACAAACAGAATTTGGAAAGACTCAAAAGGAGCCATATATACTAAAAACAGTGAACCAAATTTGTAAGTTACCGCAGTCCAAGGTCTATACTTGTCCAAGAACCAAGGTATGATCGGACGTAGAATCTTCTGAGACGCAATCTGTTCCATACAAATAGGCCATATCTTCTCCATAGCATGATTCAACCACCGTACCGATTCAGAATCAGATAGGACCTAAAAATTTGTGTTAAAAAAAAAAAAAAACAAGAAAGGATTACCATTAATTGCAAGCAAAACAGAAGTCAGCATCTTCCAATACAAGATTGAGAACCCTAGAACTTAAACTAATGTGTGCACTATGAATTCGAAACAAGGCAACTTAAACATCAAAGTAGAAAATTACCCTTCTCTGGTTAGCTTGCTTCCTCTCTTCAAACTGTAATTTTTTCCTCAACCTCATCACATAGCGTTCATGAACCTAAAAGAAACCCACCAACACAATATTTTTCACCAAATCCGATAAATTTGAGGCTTTAACACCTAAAAGAAACATGCCTCTAGAGAAGGAACAACATACCAGGTAAAGATAACCCAGCGAGAGGAAATAGAAAAGAGCGTGTGATCGATTCAAGTAAGATAGAACCCAAAGGAACAGTAACACAATCACCACATGATGGATTACCGAACACTCCATTATTTTACTTCCTCCGTTACAAAACCCAGAAATGAACAACTTAACTAGTCCAAAGTTTCTCGCTTTTTCTTAAATCCAAGGGATCAAACACCAAACTCATGAAACAAAACAATCCGAATCGAGTCAAAACTTCATCTTCATGTGTGTTAGTTAGAAAAGACCAAAGAAACAACCAAAAACAGATGATTGCAGTTTGTGTTTTGTTCTTGGGGATTGATTAGTTAGTTCAGAGACAAAGACGAAGACAAAGACGAAGACAAAGACAGAGAGACAGAGCCAAAGAAAAAAAACATTCGATCTAAATTTTTTACTCTGTTTTCTTCCGCGAAGCCAGCAAAACGATGTCGTTCTTTGAAAAGAGAAACGCGTCAACCGCCTGAAAGAGTGCAAACGTGTCAGACACGTGTGAGGAGACACAGATAGAGGTCCCACTCCCATGTCATGTTTCAATTAAATCGTGGATTAGACGATCCTACCCGTTCATTTAAAAGAGCATTGATCTGATGGACGGCTTACAATTTGATTTGTTTCCACATAATCTCATGTCTATGATTATTATCATCTTATCTACGTTTACATATTCAACCATTTACATTAAAAATAATGAAACAAATCCACTAAAATGGTCAACAAATAATTTTATATTAAATGTTATTCTAAGAACAAGTGGGATAGTTTTCTTTTTTCTATATTCACCCTATTTTTAATCTCTTTTATTATATACAAGTCAAGTATTTGTATTAGAGATTGCACATGTAAAACCATCCTCATTTGATGAGGCTCTTAGGACAATACTTATGGTAAGAAACATTTTTTATCATAAAAGTTGTCCTAAGAGCCTATCAATGAGGATGGTCTTGCCTATTTTAATAGATAAAATTGTTTTTTAAAAAAGTAAAAAAAATTAACCAAAAAGAGTATAATTAAGGTGAATATTGGTGGAAGGTGCAATGTCAATTGAGAAAGCCATTGTGAGTCTTGTGACTGTGATATGAAAACACGTCAATTTGATTAAAAGTTAAAACGATGGTTATAGATACTAAACTTTTCATTCCCGTCGGTGTTTTATTATAATGAAAAATAATTTTAGAAGAAAGAAGAAGCAAATGATTCCCCTTGTATTACGCAAAATATCAAAGGTTATAGGAATATCTGGTTGGAAAAGCTGACTAACCACCACAGAAAAAGCCACGTGGCACATGCACCCTCTTAAAATACGAAACTTTAAAAGAAGAAGAACCTCAAAAACGAAATCTTGGTTCACCTCAACACCGTCTCAGATCAAACTAAAACGGAGAAAGATCTGTTTTTGTTTATTGATCTGTAGAAAGAGATGACGAGTGGTGGTGTTGAATACGATAAAAACAGATCAGTGGTGACGGATCATCAACATCACCAAAACCAGCCTCCTCCTCCTCCTTCGTTTCAAGGTGTCCCTAACTATCCACCTCCGCCGCAGCAGCAGCAGCCTCCGGCCACCGGTTATCCTCAGCCGGCTCAGCCCTACGTCGCCGGTTTGTTTCATTTTCTCATCTCTCATTATATGGACAAAATCGAAAATCATCAGAGTTTGGTTTTGTTTTTGTGTGGCTTCATTTTTTTTTCTTGATCTATTATATTGAAGACCATTTTTGATCATTTTGGTTTGGATATTTGATTACTTTTTCTCTCATTAATTAAAGATGCTAAAACTCGCATTGGATTACTTACAATTTGATTCTTTGAAAATTCGTGTGATTCTTTGTACTAATGTATTCGAATATGATCCATTAATTTGAGAAAATTTCATGTCTTTTTATAGAAATCAAGATGCTAGATTCACTTGAGAATAAGGAGATGAATGAATCTTTTTTTTTTAAAACATTGAAATAGAAGATGGAGATGGAAGGTTCTCTTTTGGCGTTTACCTTTACAATTGATAAATGATTTTTTTTTTTTTTGCTTAACATAAGAGATTCTAATGTCTGTTTCCAAATGCATCCACAATCTTATTTACTATCTGTCAAAAATTTGTAGCTAAACTCTAGTTTCGTAAAAGGATTGTATCATTATTGTCACACACAGCACTTGGCTGTTCTAAACCTCGTTCTGGTATCTCTAGTTGTTCATCAGCTATAGTCTTTTGTCACAGGTTATGCTGTTGCTGCACCAGAACACCGCCGTCTTCCTTGTTGCGGTATAGGCGTTGGCTGGGTATTGTAAGTGATCTTTATCATTTTTTTACCTTAGTTCTCTTCTCATTTTACATTCTTAACAACTTCTGAGAAGACACAGCCACATATTGTAATTTTTTTTTGTTTGTTTGTTTCTTGAAGATTCATCCTTGGTTTCTTCTTCGGTGCGATCCCCTGGTACATCGGATTCTTCCTTCTATTATTCTCTAGAAATCCTCGTGAGAGACCAGGATATATAGCTTGCGCAGTTGCCGTAAGTCCACTCTATATAACTCAACAATAACCATTTTTCAAAAAAAATGAATTCTGACTAACCCTTTCCACAGGCTGTTATTGCTACCATTATCATCGTCGTTGGAGTCGTAAGAGGATCAGGGGTCTGGTCCTGAAGTGAAGATGTCAACACTCTGAATCCAGTATAGACTGGTTAGGCCGTTGAGATATTGTTTCAGAAGAAGATCGTAAATGTTTGTTTACTTTAAGAGGCCAATGTTTATTGAGTCTCTAGATTGATTACAAAGCATTGTATATGTTACTTTAAAAAGATGTTCTTCTGAAAGCATACTAATGTTTGTATTACTGAAAAAAAATTATATAAAAATTTTGCATTTGTTTAGATGATGATGATACCGATACGAATTCAAATTAATGATTATAAGCTCATATAGTAAATGTGTTTACCTGGACTCATAAAATTCTTGAGCTCGTTTGTTCATTTTGTTACTCATGTTCTGGTAACTTGTATTAATTTTGTACTAGAATTTAACCCGCGGTATACCGCGGGACTATATTTAAAAAAAAATGTAATGTTTTTTTTTTAAGATTAACTGAAGATATATCATATTAATTTGTATTTTTAAATATAAATATCTATCTATCAATTTTTGAAGTATAGATAAGAAAACATATATATTTTTTCAAGTAACGATGTATGGTAGATTTTAAAATTTTGAATATTTTACTCTGCAGTATACCGTGGGTCAGCTTTTTTATAACTAAAAATTTTAAATTTAAGTTGTATTTGTTTTGTTAATATTGTTTCTTTTGTTTTGTGTTTAAGATTGTATAATTGTATTTTGATTGTTAATTTTAAGATTTCAACCGTGATATACCGTTTTTTATTAATATCGACCCAAACCCGTCATCCCATATAAACCCGTCTATATTATCTCGTTAGCTAAATTATTAGCGTTATAAAATCCAAGAAAATAAATTATTATTGTATTAAAATCTAATAATTTTAGGATCTCACCCCTGGTATACCGTTCTTTGAACGATTTTAAATTTATACTACTAATATATATTTTAAATTTATCATATAAAGTATATGATTTCAAGTTTTTGTGTTTTTTTTTTAATTTAAATAAAGCAACGGCTTAAATGATGATAGATATAGTTCTTTTTCCTGTTTGTGTATATAATTTTTTTATGTGAATATTTTGATTATTATAAATTAGTATTTTTATTGCTATGCAAAATGTTAATATAAATATTTGCTATAAATGTTTTTTGAAGATATATGGAAAGTTTGTGTAGAGATTTTTAGAAACAAATTAGGCAAGATATTGTTTGGTAATATCTTTTATTTAAATTTTGTAAAAGTAATAATAAATGCCAATGGCATGGACTCGTAAATACTTAGCAACTCTAAGATTTATTTGCTAAGTGTACTCCAAAAATGTATATATATAGATAATAGATAATGTTAAATTTTTAATTTGACCGGCGGCGATAAAAAAGTAACTTAAATTTAACCGCTGCAAATATTTTTTTTAACGCTAATGAAATGAGAAGGAATAAGTGAAGGCCCAAGTAGAAAAAAGAAAAGCCCAAAGAGACGGCCCTAGGGTTTGTCTAGAGAACCTCTTATAGTTTACTCATCAGCGCCACCGTTTAGCTCAGTTTTTCTCTCAGTTTTTCTCTGATTTCGTCAGAGCTTGATCTCTCCATAGAAATGGGTGCTTTCCGGGTAAGTTACTTCTTATCTACTGTATAAGTAACCTGAGTTACGAGTGATTCTAGGTTTTGAGTCATTTTGATGATTGATTCGAAGAATCATCAACTGTGTTCGTTCGGATAATGCATCATAAGGATAAATAGTTTTTGATTCGTTTAGAAAGTATGAAACTTTGTTTATGGGCAATAGTTTCTGGATGGGGTTTGATCCGTGTAAATGTCTAGGATGATTTTGAGTGTCTATTTTGCTCTGAATATGATCCGTTTGAATCTTTTAAGCTTCATTAGATATCATTAATCCCAGATTAGTGTTGTCTTATGACTTAGAGAGTTGATATTGATTTTAAGGCTGAGTGTCTGGTGTTGTTTGAGGGTTTTTAAAAGCTGATCTCTTTTTGTTTTATGATTGTTGTACATTGTAGTTTCACCAATACCAAGTGGTTGGGAGAGCCCTCCCGACTGAGAAAGATGAGCACCCTAAGATCTACAGGATGAAGCTTTGGGGTAGAAATGAAGTATGCGCCAAGTCCAAGTTTTGGTAAGCCATGCAATTGAAATCTTGTGGAATTCCTTGATCTTTACATTATACGTACAAGGCTTTATATAGCCAAAATAGTTACACAAAAGAAGGAGAGGTTCCACATAATCTGGAACAATATTAACAATATAGCAAAATCCTATATACGTGTAACAGAATATATTTCATGTCTATCACCCTCCCTCAGTCACAGCGTTGGAAGAACGGTGAGGCTGGTGCGAAACTCATTGTGAAGAGAACTGGGAAGGCCTTTTGTAAATATATCTGCATATTGCAGAGATGTTGGAACGTGCAGAACCTTGACTTCTCCTATAGCTACCTTGTCACGTACGAAATGGATGTCGAGCTCTATGTGTTTCGTACGTTGGTGCTTAACTGGGTTAGTAGAGAGGTAAACTGACCCGATATTATCACAATATACAACAGAAGCACTCTTAATGGGACGGTGTAGCTCTAGCATTAGATTTCGTAACCAAGTGAGCTCAGCAACTGTGTTTGCTACACCTTTATACTCAGCTTCAGAACTCGAACGTGACGGTGTGGGCTGTCGTTTGGCAGACCAAGACACAAGGTTCGGACCTAGAAAGACGCAGTAGCCGGAAGTAGAACGTCGGGTATCTGGACACCCCGCCCAGTCGGCATCGGAGTAAGCCGTAAGAGTATCAATCTGGCCACGTACCATCTGAATACCATAATTGATCGTACCTTTGATGTATCGGATAATGCGTTTAAGCGCAAGGAGATGTGGATGGCGAGGTGTGTGCATATAGAGGCAAACTTGATGAACCGCGTAAGAGATATCCGGCCGAGTTAAAGTAAGATATTGTAGCGCTCCTGCAAGTTGGCGATAATAGGTTGGATCATCAATCGGGTCGCCGTCATCAATGGAGAGCTTCGACTTGAGGTCCACTGGTGTAGCTAGAGGTTTACAATCCGACATCCCAGCTCTAGCAAGTATGTCCTGCGCATAAACTGATTGTGACAAGAAAAGGCCTTTGACGTTATATTCTGCTTTAATGCCGAGAAAGTGACGTAGTTTGCCCATGTCTGTCATCGGGAATTCTGTTTTGAGCTTGTCAATGACACGTTGTAGAAGCGTAGATGACGAGGCAGTGAGAAGAATGTCGTCGACGTACAGGAGTAGGTATGAGAAGTCACGTCCTTTCCTGAAAATAAACAAGGAGGAATCCGCTTTGCTTTGAACAAAGCCCATTAGTTTCAAATAAGAAGTAAACTTTGAATTCCAAGCACGAGGGGCTTGTTTTAGGCCATAAATCGCCTTGTTCAATTTGCAAACGTGAGTGGGGTAGTTGCGATCTACAAACCCCGGCGGTTGATGCATGTAGACAGTCTCCTCAAGATCTCCTTGTAAGAATGCATTCTTGACATCTAATTGATGTATCGGCCACTCCAAACCAACAGCAACATTAAGAACAACACGAATCGTTGCAGGCTTAACCACAGGGCTGAATGTCTCAGTGAAGTCGACGCCTTCTTGCTGAGATTTACCATTCGCAACCAATCGCGCCTTATGACGAGACAAAATCCCATTCTCATCGTATTTATGCTTAAACAACCACATAGAGCGCACAATGTTAACATTAGGCGGACGTGGAACTAAGCTCCAAGTCTTGGTCTTAATCATAGCACCATGTTCATCTGTCATTGCGGGGTTCCAGTTAGGGTCTGACAATGCAGTGAGATGGCTTTTAGGGATAGGTGATTTGGTTTTGGTGAGAAGTGACAAAATCTGTTTCGGTTTGGTTATCCCGGATTTGGAACGAGTTTGAATTGAAGAAGGGGCTCGAAACATAGGGTCAGGACGAGGAGGCCGAGTGGGAGCTGTTGTTGTGGGGGGCTGAGGTGGTGGTGTCGAGAAAGGAGCTTGAAGTATGGACTGAAAGAGTGGGGAAGTTTCATCATTTTCAAGAAAAGAATACGTCTCTTTTGGTGCAGATGGGTTGGCGGCGGGAAATTTCTCCTCGTCAAATAAAACATGACGTGAGATGATGATTCTCTGAGTTTTTAAATCCATACAGCGGTATCCTCTATGTTGGGTAGGGTAGCCAAGAAACAAACAAGGGGTTGTACGAGGTGAAAGTTTGGAAAGATTGGAATGATTTAGGTTTGGGAAACATAAGCATCCAAAAACACGGAGATGCTCATAGGCTGGGCGTTTGTTAAACAAAAGAGTGAAGGGAATTTGATTGGAAATGGCTTTTGATGGTGTGATGTTGAGTATATGAACCGCTGTATGAAGGGCTTCGACCCAAAACGTCGGGGCAAGTCGAGCCTGAAATAGGAGAGTTCGAACGGTGTTGTTGATGGTTCGAATCATTCTCTCCGATCGTCCATTTTGCTGGGAAGTGTGAGGACAAGAGAATCGAAAATTTATCCCTTTAGAAGCAAAATAGTTTTGAAAATCACTGTTGTTATATTCCCCCCCATTATCACACTGTAAGTTCTTGATCGTGGTGTGAAATTGATTTTCAATGAAATTGGAAAAATGAAGGAACTTGGAAAAGACGTCACTTTTACGTCGAAGCAGATAAACCCATAGATAGTGAGTAAATTGATCAAGAAATAAGACATAATAACGGAGACCACTCATGCTTAGTACGGGAGACGTCCATAAATCGGAATGAATTATTTCAAATGGTTGAGAAACAAGTGATTCAGAAGCCACAAATGGAAGCTTAAGAGATTTTCCCAGAAAACATGGTTCACAAGAAGGAGAAAGTTTCCCTTTATTACATAGCATTGGATTTGATTTAAAAATGGAAGAAAGAGAAGCATGATTTGTGTGTCCCAATCGTTTGTGCCAAAGATCAGGGGTTGAAGCCAATAGAGCAGAGGAAACAACTGGCGTTTTATTGATGGATGGAGGAAGGGAATATAGCTCACCGGAGCTGTCACTTCGGAGCAGAGTTTTCCGAGTTTGGAGGTCCTTAACAGTGAAACCAAAAGGGTCAAAATCAACAGAACACCAATTATCTTTAGTGAATTTACGAACAGAGATCAAATTCTTAACAATATGAGGTGTAACAAGAACATTGTTAAGAGTGAGGGGTCTGGTTTGGGTTTTAATGGAAGAGGAACCTATGGCTGAAACTGGGATAGAAGAACCGTTACCCACAATGACAGATTGACCGGTAGTATGTTTAAGAGTAGAGTGGAGCTTACCTGCATCGGAGGCTAGATGAGCAGTGGCACCGGAATCCATGTACCAATCCGTAGTAGAAGGGTCTGTGATAGCTTCGGACGTGTAGGCTTGCATTGGAAATTCAACGAGATTGGCCTGGTGTGGTGAAGAAGACGTGCGCGGAGCCTGTGGCCACTGCTGGTATTGCGGCATCCAGTACGGTGGTGGTGGTGGCCAAAACGGTGGCGAATTCCATGGGTTGCGGTTGTATGAGAAGTGCCCCCTGTTGCCTCTGTTGTTGTTGCCTCTTCCGCCTCTGCGATTTCCCCTTTGATTGCCATTGCGATTGCGAAACGGCTGATTTTGCGTCGGTGACATGGTAGTGGCCGTAAGTGCAGTGGAGGAGGAGGGGCTGTCTGAGTGTGATGCAGTGGCGCGATTAGCTTTGTTGAGTCGGGTCTCCTCCCACTCAAGCATGGACTTTGCAGACTCATAAGAAGGAAATGGGTCTTTGTGCTTGATAACGTTAATTATGTTATCAAATTTCTCGTTAAGGCCATTGATGATGTACATAACGAGAGTTCGGTCGCTGACCGGTGAACCAACATTGGACAGAAGAGCTGCAGTTGATTTCATCTTTTGACAGTAAACACGAACTGTCATGTCACCGATCTCCATTGTGCGGAGTTCGTTGTCGAGTTGAATAGCTCTTGCGTCTTTGTTGTTGCGGAATTGGGCCTCCACGCGGGTCCAGACATCACGAGCTGTGCCGCCGGGTTGGAAGGAAGAGCGAAACAGTGGCTGCGCCATGGTGCTATATAGCCAAAGCTTTACGAGACCGTCACGTTTGAACCAAGCGGCATCGTTCGCATTAGCGGGTTGAACAGATCCATCCAAATGACCAGACACGTCATAAGCCATGCAGTGAGTGAGGAGAAGCTCACGCCAGGCGTCATAGTTGTGCTCATCTTCATCAAGGAGCACCGGAATTTGATTTTTGATGTTTGTAACACCAAAGCAGCGTTCAGCAGAAGGAGAGGTTGGAGCAGCCATTAATGGCGAAAAGGGAAGGAAGAAGAAGAGAGAAAAAGAGAGGAAAAGAAATGAAGGAGGATCAAAGCCCTAGATGCTCTGATACCATGAAATCTTGTGGAATTCCTTGATCTTTACATTATACGTACAAGGCTTTATATAGCCAAAATAGTTACACAAAAGAAGGAGAGGTTCCACATAATCTGGAACAATATTAACAATATAGCAAAATCCTATATACGTGTAACAGAATATATTTCATGTCTATCAGCAATGTCCTGTTTGGTACCAGTTTGTTAATGGAAACTCCGTTTTGTTTTGTTTTGTTTTGTTTGTTCCCTGATCTAAAATGGATTTGCTTGTTGTATCTAGGTACTTCATGAGGAAACTGAAGAAGGTGAAGAAAAGCAACGGGCAAATGCTTGCCATCAATGAGGTATGGATTGCATTTTCCCAGCTCAATATCTTAGATTTGCTGAAATATGGGTGCTTTTATATATGATCTTGTTGTTCTACTTTTTAGATTTTCGAGAAGAACCCTACGACAATCAAGAATTACGGAATCTGGCTGCGTTATCAGAGCCGAACTGGGTACCACAACATGTACAAGGAGTACCGTGACACAACACTCAATGGTGGAGTGGAGCAGATGTACACTGAGATGGCTTCTCGTCATAGAGTGAGGTTCCCTTGCATTCAGATCATCAAGACTGCAACAGTCCCTGCAAAGCTGTGCAAGAGAGAGATCACCAAGCAGTTCCACAACTCGAAGATCAAGTTCCCTCTTGTTTTCAGAAAGGTCAGACCACCAACCAGGAAGCTGAAGACTACATACAAGGCATCAAAGCCTAACCTTTTCATGTAGATCCAATTGGCATGATTAGGGTTCTTGTTCCTAGTCTGAACAAAACACTGGAGTTATCTTCTCGTGAAGATTTTTGAACTTATTTTTGTTTTAGATATGATACGATATTCAGGTGACTCATCTCCAATTTTCATCAGTTTTCAAAGTTTTGCTGCTTTAGTGTAATGTACTAATGTTGCAAAAAGTTCAGGCTTGATAGTTAAGGTAAATGTGGGAGAGTTGTCATAAATCAATCTGCTTTGGATGCAAACCGTCACTAAACTAGCAACACTTAATTCTCAGTCTGGTCTTTTCAACGGGTTCTTGTCAATTTTCATCAGTTTTCAAAGTTTTGCTGTCTGAGAGGTACTGTTTCAGAAAGTAAAAGCTATGGAAGTGGTTTTTGCTACATGTTCTCCGGGGAGCTCTCGGCGTCTGACACACACGCGCTTATCCTTTCACCCCAAAAGAGTTGAGAGCAGTTCAATTCATCATGCTCAGTGGATCACTTTTCCAAGATTTATCCATTAAATAAATTGCAAGTAGACAAGAGCAGATGGAAAACCCTTACACGACAAGTACATACAAAGCCCCTTTCCCGGCAAAGGATTTGCACTGCAAATTGTATAATCGAAATTCTCAATGATAGAATTAAAATTAACTAAAGTCTCAATCTTTATAAAGACCCACGAAAACTTGCGGACTCCAGAGTGAGTGTGAGAATCGGAGATGTCCTTTTTAGTAGTAGCAGCTTTAGTGGTGGTTGTAGCACTAGTGGTACTGTGGACATGGCGGTTCGTGAAGTGGGTCTGGATAAAACCGAAGATGCTTGAGAATTACCTGAGAAGACAGGGTCTTGCCGGAACTCCTTACACGCCTCTCGTCGGAGATATTAAGAAGAATGTTGATATGATGATGGAGGCGAGATCTAAACCCATCAATATAACGGATGATATCACCCCACGTCTCCTTCCTCTTGCCTTGAAGATGTTCAATTCTCACGGTATAGTGTCTTTCTTCGCTTTCCTCTTTTGTTTCAGCAGAGTTTGGGAGGTGAATAGTGTTTGACTCTGTTAGGTTCAATAGTTGGTGCTTGATTGAGTTATGTTGATGGAACAGGAAAGACTTTCTTCATATGGATTGGACCAATTCCAGCGATCATGATAACGAATCCTGAGCAGATCAAGGAAGTCTTTAATAAAATCTATGACTTTGAGAAGGCTGCTACATTCCCTTTGTTCAGATTGTTAGCAGGCGGGCTCGCGAGCTATAAAGGAGATAAATGGGCGAGTCATAGGAGGATCATCAACCCGGCTTTTCACCTGGAGAAGATCAAGGTTTTGGTTTTTGGCTGTTGTCTGCATCCAGTTAGACTGTATGTGTGTGTGATCGTTTTACCAACAATGATTCCTTTGGTATACAGAACATGGTTCCTGCGTTCTACCACTGTTGCAGCGAGGTTGTCTGCCAATGGGAGAAGCTATTTACGGATAAAGAATCGTCGTCTCTTGAAGTCGATGTTTGGCCTTGGCTTGTGAATATGACTGCGGATGTAATCTCGCATACTGCTTTTGGAAGCAGCTATAAAGAAGGGCAGAGGATATTTCAACTCCAAGGGGAATTAGCTCAACTCATTGCACAAGCTTTTAAGAAATCTTACATCCCTGGATTGAGGTAAAACCATTTGTCATGTCATAAACTAAACTTTGAAGATTGTGAGCTTATGAGAAGTTGTTATCTGGTGTAGGTTTTATCCAACAAAGAACAATAGAAGGATGAAAGCAATAGACAGAGAAATAGATGTAATGCTGAGAGGAATTGTGAGCAAAAGAGAGAAGGCGAGAGAAACTGGAGAAGTGTGGGATGATGATTTATTGGGGATATTGCTTGAATCAAATTCAGGGGAATCTCAAGGAAATGGAATGAGCGTAGAAGAAGTGATGAAAGAGTGCAAGTTGTTTTATTTTGCGGGTCAAGAAACAACGTCAGTTATGTTGGTCTGGACTATGGTCTTATTAAGCCATCACCAAGACTGGCAAGCTCGCGCACGAGAGGAAGTAAGGCAAATACTTGGTGATGATAATAAACCCGATATAGATTCTCTCAGCAACCTCAAAGTCGTAAGTGAACAAAAATCGCTACTTCCACCATCCTCTTGCATCGGAAAACTGCGTATATAGTTACCAAAATCACTTGAACTTCAATTTAAAGTTTGCCGTTGAATGGTTTTTCAACAGATGACTATGATCTTCAATGAGGTTTTGAGGCTATACCCTCCGGTGGCTCAGCTTAAACGAGCTGTCAACAAAGAAATAAAGCTAGGTGAGGTTACCATTCCAGCTGGAGTTCAAGTTTATATTCCTACTATTATTGTCCATCACGACACCGAGCTTTGGGGAGATGATGCAGCGGATTTTAAGCCGGAGCGGTTCAGAGACGGGATCTCAAAGGCAACAAAGAACCAGGTCTCTTTTTTTCCCTTCGGATGGGGACCAAGAATCTGCATCGGTCAGAGTTTTGCTCTCTTGGAGGCAAAGATGGCAATGGCTTTGATTCTTCAGAAATTCTCCTTCGAGCTTTCTCCTTCCTATGTTCACGCACCTCAAACAGTAATGACCACACGTCCTCAATTCGGAGCTCATCTCATCCTGCACAAGCTCTGAGCTTTGAATTTCCAAGATGACGTGATCAAAAGTCACTGTTCTGTAAGAAAAAGATGTCATAGAAAGGCTTATAGCCATAGGTTTTGAAGGTTTCAAATTTCTCTCTGAAATTAGTCGCTAATGTTAAGGTCTTTTTTCAGTCAAGTCTTAAGGTCGTTTTCCTTTGTGGCTGCATTATTAATCTTGAAAAGTCTATATTAAGAAGCTAATTTTAACTCTACCATCTTGTAGATATAATACGATATTCAGTGACTCATCTCCAATTTTCATCAGTTTTCAAAGTTTTGCTGCTTTACTGTAATGTTGCAGAAAGTTCCAAACTTTAGAGTAAGGGAAATGTTGGAGAGTTAACTGTCCAATCTCCCTCCCATTATCATAACTCAATATGCTTTGGATGCACACCATCACTAAACCAGCAAGCAACACTTCATCCTCAGTCTGGTCTTTTGAACGGGTTCTTGATGGTGCATTGACCATTCTTCACCTGCAAGGCTTCAACTACTTTTGCCGTCTGAGGAAGTGTTGCAGAAAGTACATAGCTATAGAAATGTTGGAGAGTTCATTATATATAACCTCGCAATTCCATAAATCTCTACGGGGAACTCTCGGCGTCTGGCTGATAGGTACAAACGCGCTTATACTTCACCCCAAAAAGAGTTGAGAGAGCAGTTCAATTCATCATGCTCAGTGGATCACTTGTCAAGATTTATCCATTAAATAAATTGCAAGTAGACAAGAGCAGATGGAAAACGGAGACTAATCTCAATTGCTCCTCAGAGTCAAAGAATTAATCTACATACTCTCCTCTAATCCACATACTCTCCTCCTTTAAATAAAAGGACGAAACTACCCCTTTACTAGGTATACGTGGTACAACTGGTATCCTAGTTGTACCACCTCCTAGTTGTACCATCCTAGTTGTACCACCTCCTAGTTGTACCAGACCTTAGTTGTACCACCTAGTTGTACCACCTCCTAGTTGTACCACCTCCTAGTTGTACCAGACCTTAGTTGTACCACCTAGTTGTACCACAACATAGTTGTACCCGAATATTCCCTAGTTGTACCAGTTACAACCCGTATAAAAGGATTCGAACCCTGGGGGCGCGCGCGTGCGCATGGAGCTCGCAACCACTGAGCTATTGTGTTTTTCGTTGAACACTTACCGATTTAATTGTATTTAACCCTTATCACCCGAAATCAACCCTCATTAAGGGTAATTTTGTCTTTCTACCATTGAAGAGTATTTGAGACTAAATTTGGAGCTTGAGGAGCCCCTGAGAATTTGTTCCATGGAAAACCCTTACACGACAAGTACAGACAAAGCCCCTTTTCCGGCAAAGGATTTGCACTGTAAATTGTATAATCGAAACTACACTGAAAGAAAAAAAGTCTCAATCTTTATAAAGACCCACGAAAACTTGCGGACTCCAGAGTGATTGTGAGAATCGGAGATGTCTTTTTCAGTAGTAGCAGCTTTAGTGGTGGTTGTAGCACTAGTGGTACTGTGGACATGGCGGATCGTGAAGTGGGTCTGGATAAAACCGAAGATGCTTGAGAATTACCTGAGAAGACAGGGTCTTGCCGGAACTCCTTACACGCCTCTCGTCGGAGATATTAAGAGGAATGTTGATATGATGATGGAGGCGAGATCTAAACCCATCAATATAACGGATGATATCACCCCACGCCTCCTTCCTCTTGCCTTGAAGATGCTAAATTCTCACGGTATAGTGTCTTTCTTCGCTTTTCTGATTCAAGGAGTGCTCTTTTTGTTTCAGTAGAGTTGGGAGGTGAATTGTGTAGAATTGAGTTTGACTCTGTTGATGCTTGATTGATTTATGTTGTTGGTACAGGAAAGACTTTCTTCATATGGATTGGACCAATTCCAACGATTGTGATAACAAATCCTGAGCAGATCAAGGAGGTCTTTAATAAAGTTTACGACTTTGAGAAAGCTTCTACATTCCCTTTGATCAGATTGTTAGCAGGCGGGCTCGCGAGTTACAAGGGTGATAAATGGGCGAGTCACAGGAGGATCATCAACCCGGCTTTTCACCTCGAAAAGATCAAGGTTTTGGTTTTCTCTCTTGTCTGAATCCTCCTGTGATCCCTTGTACTATATGTGTATATAGTTTACACTTGTATATGTGTGTGATCGTTTAGTAATCTTTTGTTTGGTTTACAGAACATGATCCCTGCCTTCTACCATTGTTGCAGCGAGGTTGTCTGCCAATGGGAGAAGCTATTTACAGATAAAGAATCGCCTCTTGAAGTCGATGTTTGGCCTTGGCTTGTGAATATGACTGCGGATGTGATCTCACATACTGCTTTTGGAAGCAGCTATAAAGAAGGGCAGAGAATATTCCAACTACAAGGGGAATTGGCTGAGCTCATTGCACAAGCTTTTAAGAAATCTTACATCCCTGGATCGAGGTAAAACCACATCCTCCATTGTATTTGTCATGTTGCAAACTAAAGATTTTGAGAATCTGTTGTTTGGTGTAGGTTTTACCCAACAAAGAGCAATAGAAGGATGAAAGCAATAGATAGAGAAGTAGACGTAATACTGAGAGGTATTGTGAGTAAACGGGAGAAAGCGAGAGAAGCTGGAGAACCAGCAAACGATGATTTGTTGGGGATACTGCTCGAATCAAATTCAGAGGAATCTCAAGGAAATGGAATGAGCGTAGAAGAAGTGATGAAAGAGTGCAAGTTGTTTTATTTTGCGGGACAAGAGACAACTTCAGTGCTTTTGGTCTGGACTATGGTTTTATTAAGCCATCACCAAGATTGGCAAGCTCGTGCACGAGAGGAAGTGAGGCAAGTACTCGGTGAAAATAATAAACCCGATATGGAGTCCCTTAACAACCTTAAAGTCGTAAGTGAAAAAAAAAACACAACTTTCGCCATCCTCGTCCATCTAAAAACTGCATTTATAGTTAACAAAGTCAGTTGAATGGTTGTCTTTGAATGGTTGTTCAACAGATGACTATGATCTTCAATGAGGTTTTGAGGCTATACCCTCCGGTGGCTCAGCTTAAACGAGCTGTCAACAAAGAAATGAAGCTAGGAGAGTTTACCCTTCCAGCTGGAATTCAAATATATTTACCAACCATTCTTGTCCAGCGCGACACCGAGCTTTGGGGCGATGATGCAGCAGATTTTAAACCCGAGCGGTTCAGAGACGGGCTCTCAAAGGCAACAAAGAACCAGGTCTCCTTCTTCCCCTTTGGGTGGGGACCAAGGATTTGCATCGGTCAGAATTTTGCTATGTTGGAGGCAAAGATGGCAATGGCTTTGATTCTACAGAAATTCTCCTTCGAGCTCTCTCCTTCTTATGTTCACGCGCCTCAAACAGTCATGACCACTCGTCCGCAATTCGGAGCTCATCTAATCCTGCACAAGCTCTGATTTTGTATCTCCATGGTGATGTCATCAAAAGTCTCAAATATGTAACAAAAATATGTCATAGAAAGGCTTGTAGCCGTATGTTGTGAAATTTACAATATCGTTGTCTGAAACTAGTAGCTATTCTAAAGGTAAAGGTCTTCTTCAGTCAAGTCTAAGGTCATTTTCTATTGTGGCTGCATTATTAATCTTGAAAAGTCTATACCAAGAAGCCAATTTCAACTCTTCAATCTTTAGGATGTGTTTTGGATAAAGCCAATCGTTTCTCATGTCATAGGCCAATAGAGAGAGACAACCAAAGGACTTCGAGGAAAACATAAAAGTATTATGGATGATCTAGAAAATCCAGAACATTCGTTGAATTTTCCTCTGCTTCAAACTTTAATGACTTGACGCATACGTAAAAATAACATCAATTTATCTATCTATATAATACAAAGCATTTTCATCTGACATCTTCAATTCAGTTAAAAAAGAAAAAGAAAAAAACATCTAACGAATTTCTCAAGGAAGTGAGTTTATGAGTGATACAAAGATATCAGCGGTAGCAGTTGCGGCTGCGATAGTGGTGGTAACTGCGGTTGCGGTATGGATATGGAAAGGCCTGAATCTAGCTTGGTTTAAACCAAAGAAACATGAGGCTTATCTAAAGAGACAAGGGTTCTCTGGAACTCCTTTCACCTTTCTTGTCGGAGACGCTAAAAGGGAAGCCAGTATGGTGGAGCAAGCAAAGTCCAGACCCATCAGTCTAACCGATGATTACACGCCTCGTGTCATGCCTCTAATATTACAGACCGTTAAGGATCATGGTAAGAAACTGTTTGATTTGAACTCAAAACAGAGATCTTCTGTTTTTCTAATTTATGGGTTGGTTAGTGTTGAAATCCTCTGTTTCTATGGTCGGTTTTTGTTTAGGGAAGACATCTTACATGTGGATGGGACCTACAGCGAGTGTGATTGTGACGAAACCAGAACACATCAAAGAAGTTTTAAACAGAGTTTACGATTTCCCGAAGCCACCAGTGCACCCAATTGTGGAGCTTTTTGCGACTGGAGTCGCGTTGTATGAAGGAGAGAAATGGTCTAAGCACAGGAAGATTATAAACCCTTCTTTTCATATTGAAAAGCTCAAGGTCTTTCTTACATCAACTCTCATGGTTTTAAACTTGTTATAAACGCTATGCTGATGTTTTGCTTTTTCGTTTATTTTGAAGATTATGATACCTGCGTTCTACGAGAGCTGCAGCGAGATGATAAGTAAATGGGAGAGGTTGGTAAGCCAGCAGCAAGGATCATCGAGTGAGATCGATGTTTGGCCATATCTTGGAGATGTAACCTCAGATGTAATTTCGCGTACAGCATTTGGTAGTAGCTACGAGGAAGGTAAGGGAATCTTTGAGCTTCAAGAAGAACAAGGCCGGCGAGTTTTAAAAGCTCTTGAGTTGGCTATCATCCCTGGATTGAGGTAAATGGTATTTAGGTTCTTTCGCTTTTATAAATATGGAAAGATCATATGGTTCTTCTCATTGTTTAGGTTTCTACCAACAAAGAATAATAGGAGGATGAGGCAAATAGACAGAGAAGTGAAGTCTAGACTAAAAGAGATCATCATAAAAAGACAGAGAGCTATGGAAGCAGGGGAGGCTCCAAAGAATGATTTGTTGGGAATACTTTTGGAATCGAATTCCGGAGATCATGGTATGAGTATCGAAGATGTGGTAGAAGAGTGCAGGCTGTTTCACTTCGCTGGCCAAGAAACCACGGCGGTGTTGCTCGTGTGGACTATGATTATGCTAAGCCATCACCAAAAGTGGCAAGATCAAGCTAGAGAAGAGATCTTAAAAGTCATTGGAAAGAACAATAAACCTAACTTTGATGCACTCTCTCGACTCAAAATAGTAAAAAGCATTATCTTGTGTATTTTTCTGATAACAGGAGGATTCTAGGCCAAAATTTAGACTAACGTTTTCTCGGAACTTTTCTTTTGACAGATGAGCATGATCTTGAACGAGGTATTGAGGTTATACCCACCAGGGATACTACTTGGTCGAACCATAGAGAAAGAAACAAAGCTTGGTGAGGACATGACACTACCAGGTGGTGCACAAGTAGTCATTCCTGTTCTTATGGTTCATCGTGATCCCGAGCTTTGGGGAGATGATGTGCATGAGTTTAAGCCCGAGAGATTCGCAGATGGGATCTCAAAAGCCACGAAGAACCAAGTTTCGTTTCTTCCGTTTGGATGGGGACCAAGATTTTGTCCTGGCCAGAATTTTGCTTTGATGGAAGCTAAGATGGCTCTTGTCTTGATTCTGCAGAGATTCTCCTTTGAGCTGTCTCCGTCGTACACTCATGCACCTCATACGGTTCTTACACTTCATCCTCAGTTTGGTGCTCCGTTGATCTTCCACATGCTCTGAGATCGATTCACATAGTACACAAAGTTTCGAAAATCCTCTGTTTTTATTTTGTTTTTCTTAAAAATCAAGATTCAGTAGCATATATATAATATAACCCAATAATTATACCAGGAAGTCATGAGAATTCAACTACAAAATTACCAAGTCCGACACCAAATACAAAAGAAGCAACATTTTATGACATATTCTCGTAGAACATAAACTTTTGAGCATGAACACCGTGAATTCTATAACAACTTTCATATTTTGTTTAATAGAATTTTTGACTTGACAAATACTTTCCTTAAAAACCTTGAGAATTAACATGCACTAACATAATCAAATTTGACCATTTTATTTGCAAAAACAATTGATGACAAATACGTAATAAGTTGACTCATGTGTTTCTCTTTAATAATGTGGATTTCGCATGGGTTATTGATTAAGTCATCATTAATAAGTTTTTAAGTAAAAACAAAAAAGAGAAATCCATATTATTAAATAATGCATTTAAAGAATGTAAAGACTTAAGGCATGTAAGACAGATGTGGCCAGAGGTCGTGAGGCACCTGACTAAAGGCCAAAGTTCGACGGTTACAAACGATATTTATTGTCCGAAACACAAATCCATAAGTATGAAAGACAAATCAGCACATGCATTTTCTTCATCAAAATTCTCAAAACTCAAAAAAGACCAAAAACAGTAGCAAATGGAGATATTAATTGCATCATTGGCTATAGTTGTTGTATTGTGGTGGCTATGGAGAATTTTGGAGTGGGTTTGGCTTAAACCTAAGATGCTTGAGAGTTACCTGAGAAGACAAGGTCTTGTCGGAACTCGTTACACGCCTCTTGTCGGAGATGTGAGAAGGAATTTTAGCATGTTGAAGGAAGCAAGATCCAAACCGATGAAACCAACGGATGATCTCATCTCACTTGTCATGCCTTACTCTTTTCACATGCTCAACACTTACGGTATAGATTTTGAATTCTTTTTTTGTTTACAAGAGATCTAAAATGGTTCTTCTAATATATCTATGTGTATGTGGCTGCAACAGGAAAGACATTTTTCACATGGCTAGGACCCATACCTGCCATAACAATAATGAATCCACAGCTGATTAAAGAAGTGTATAACAAAATTTATGATTTCGAGAAGACGCACACGTTTCCTTTGACTACATTGCTAACTGATGGACTTGCTAATGCCGATGGAGATAAATGGGTGAAACACCGGAAGATTATCAACCCGGCATTCCATTTTGAGAAGATTAAGGTTTTAGATTCTCTTCTCAAAATATTGTTACAAAACCGTGTTAATATTGCTCTTGGCTGATTTAGTGATGACACACATTTTTTGTGTGCCTTGATTGTGATTTTGTGTATAGAATATGGTTCCTACGTTTTATGATAGTTGCAGTGAGGTTGTGTGCCAATGGGAGAAGTTAGTTTCAGATAAAGGGTTGTCGTGTGAGGTTGATGTTTGGCCATGGATTGTGAATATGACCGGAGATGTGATCTCTCGAACCGCTTTTGGTAGCAGCTACAAAGAAGGACAGAGGATATTCATACTACAAGCAGAATTAGCACACCTCATCATACTAGCTCTTGGGAAGAATTACATCCCTGGATATCGGTAAGAAACTTTACTTTTTTTGGTCTCTAATTTTAGCATGACTCTTGTTTATAATATTTTAAAGTATATATGAATCTTTTTGTTCTAATTCCCAGAGGTTTATACTAGATTATTGATTCTCTTCTTGGAATTTTGAATTTATTCTTCGTTGTCAAATTTTGTATGTGTAGGCATTTCCCAACTAAGAATAATAGAAGGATGAAAACAATATTTAAGGAAATCCAATTTATACTAAGAGGGATCATTAGCAATAGGGAAAAGGCGAGAGACGCTGGAGAAGCACCAAGTGACGATTTGTTAGGTATACTTCTTGAATCAAATTCAGGGCAAACTAAAGGAAATGGACTGAACACTGAAGAAATCATGGAAGATTGCAAGTTGTTTTATTTCGCGGGACAAGAGACCACTTCAGTACTTTTGGCTTGGACTATGGTTTTGCTAAGCCAACACCAAGACTGGCAAGCTCGTGCACGAGAGGAAGTGGTGCAAGTTTTTGGCGATAACAAACCTGATCTACAAGGCATTAACCAACTCAAAGTTGTAAGTATTAAACCAAACCAAAACATTTTTAAGCTGATACATTTTCTTCAATTTTGTTTTGAAGATGTTGTTGTATGATGTATCTTACAGATGACAATGATTATTTATGAAGTCTTGAGGCTATATCCTCCAGTAATCCAGATGAACCGAGCGATCCACAAAGAGATAAAGCTAGGTGATCTGACACTACCAGGCGGTGTTCAAGTCCATATGCCTATTCTGCTAATCCACCGCGATACTAAGCTTTGGGGCGATGATGCAGCAGAGTTCAAGCCCGAGAGATTCAAAGACGGGATCTCAAAGGCAACAAAGAACCAGGTCTGCTTCTTGCCTTTCGGGTGGGGACCGAGGATTTGCATCGGTCAGAACTTCGCTCTGTTGGAGGCAAAGATGGCTCTGGCTTTGATTCTTCAGAGATTCTCCTTCGAGCTTTCACCTTCCTATGTTCATTCACCTTACAGAGTCTTCACCATACATCCACAGTGTGGGGCTCATATTATCCTGCACAAGCTATGATACTATACTCCATGTGGTGTGTTATCAAATGAACTTGTTATACGTATGGGAAACAAGATTTCATAGAAGAATCAATTCAAGATCATAGTCATATAATTTTCTTCATACCAAATGGAAATGCCTTATGGGAAGAGATCATATTTGGAAAAAAAGAATTATTATATAAAAAAAAATGAATAAGAATTCCACCACAATCCATAAAAGTTATAAATAAGAAGAATCTACAAATTTGGGAAAAATAAATATTTTATAATCCATAAAAATCTGTAAAATTTAAAATCTCTAAACTTTTGAAATACATAAACACATTAAAACAAAATGATCAATTGTTTAAAACTCCAAGTAAAGCAAAATATCAATTAGTCAAAATAAAACAATTGTCCAAACACAAACTAAAAAGTATTTAAGACGTCAGGGTAGTGGTAATATCAACATCCATACCTTCTTCGAAACTATCACTCTCTTCTCTGGGAGAGAAAATGGAGATATCAGTTGCATCCGTAACAATTTCAGTAGCTGTAGTTGTTGTGTCATGGTGGGTATGGAGAACTTTACAGTGGGTTTGGTTTAAACCAAAGATGCTTGAGAGTTACCTGAGAAGACAAGGTCTTGCCGGAACTCATTACACACCTCTTATCGGCGATTTGAAGAGGAACGTCAACATGTTGACGGAGGCAACATCCAAACCCATCAAACTAACCGACGATATCACACCTCGTCTCCTGCCGCATCCCTTCCAAATGCTCAAGACTCATGGTATGTGTCCTGGTTGGCCTTTTGATACCTTTTTGTTTAGAACTGTTGGACAGTATCTGATCTAGAAAAGGTTTCAACTATTGTATCTCTATGTGGTTGAAACAGGAAGGACTTTCTTTACATGGCTTGGACCCAAACCAACCATCACCATAATGGAACCAGAGCTAATCAAAGAAGTGTTCAACAAAGTTTATGATTACCCTAAGGCGCAAACGTTCCTTTTGAGCAGCCTTATAGCCACTGGAATCATTAATTACGATGGTGATAAATGGGCGAAACACCGAAGAATCATTAATCAGGTTGTCTGTTCATTTTTTCTGAACTAATTTGTGCATTCTACTTTATGTGTAGAATATGGTACCTGCGTTCCACCAGAGCTGCAGCGAGGTTGTTGGCCAATGGGATAAGTTAGTGTCGGATAAAGGGTCGTCATGTGAGGTAGACATTTGACCTGGGCTTGTGAGTATGACTGCAGATGTGATCTCTCGTACTGCTTTTGGCAGCAGCTACAAAGAAGGGCAGAGGATATTTGAGCTCCAAGCAGAACTAGTACATCTCATCTTACAAGCTTTTTGGAAAGTTTACATCCCTGGATATCGGTAATAAAAAATCTCAACCTGCCTGGTTTTAGAACTTCACTAGTGCAGCAATCTAAAAAAGATTGTGAACCAGGCTGTGTCATATTCTCTCCGTCTTTTGTTTGTGTAGTTATCTCCCTACGAAGGGTAATAGAAGGATGAAAACAGCAGCTAGTGAAATCCAAGTTATACTGAGAGGGATCGTTAACAAAAGAGTAAGGGCTAGGGAAGCTGGGAAAGCACCAAACGACGATTTGCTGGGTATACTTCTTGAATCAAATTTGGGGCAAGCTAAAGGAAATGGAATGAGTACTGAAGATGTGATGGAGGAGTGCAAGTTGTTCTATTTCGCCGGGCAAGAGACAACTTCGGTACTTCTGGTCTGGACAATAGTTCTGGCCCACCACCAAGACTGGCAGGCTCGTGCACGAGAAGAAGTGAAGCAAGTTTTTGGCGATAAAGAACCTGATACAGAAGGCCTTAACCAGCTAAAAGTTGTAAGTAAAACCAAATCATAAACCTTCAGTTGACTTTTAGTACTTTTATTGTGTTTAGATGATTTTGTTGAATGTTTCCAACAGATGACGATGATATTATATGAGGTTCTCAGGCCATATCCTCCAGTAACTCACCTGACCCGAGCGATTCACAAAGAGATGAAGCTAGGTGACTTGACACTACCAGGCGGTGTTCATATCAGTCTACCTATAATGCTAGTCCAACGCGACACCAAGCTGTGGGGCAACGATGCAGCAGAATTCAAGCCTGAGAGATTCAAAGACGGTCTTTCAAAGGCAACAAAGAGCCAAGTCTCCTTCTTTCCATTTGCATGGGGACCGAGGATATGCATCGGCCAGAATTTTGTCATGTTGGAGGCAAAGATGGCAATGGCGTTGATTCTACAGAGATTCTCCATTGAGCTTTCTCCTTCCTATGTTCATGCACCTCAAACAGTCGTCACCATTCACCCACAGTTCGGTGCACATCTTATCCTGCACAAGCTATAATTCTATAACACCATGTGCTGTTGTCAAATAAACAGAGGAAAATAATCCACATCATAATATAAATCTTTTTGTTAATTGAAGTAAGAACTTTGTGCTCACCTATGTCTTGACAAACCAAACTATTTCAGAAAAACGAGTGAAACGCATGGACCAAGATATTTCTACCTCTTTTCGTCGCTTTTCACACAAAGTCCAAATTGGTGGCATATGACTGTGAGGGTCCAAGTAAAGCAAAAGATCAACTAGTCACTACAAAATAATTGTCCAAAACACCAAAATATTAAGTATTTAAGACATTAGTGGTTATGTCATCACCACATCCATATCTTCTCCGAAATTCTGTCACAAATTCTCTACCTCTCTCTCTCTCTCTCCCTCTCTCTCTCTGGTAGAGAAAATGGAGGTATCAGTTGCATCGGTAACAGTTTCTGTAGCTGTAGTTGTTGTGTCATGGTGGGTATGGAGAACTTTACAGTGGGTTTGGTTTAAACCAAAGACGCTTGAGCGTTACCTGAGAAGACAAGGTCTTGCCGGAACTCCTTACACACCTCTTGTAGGCGATTTAAAGAGGAATTTCAGCATGCTGGCTGAAGCAAGATCCAAACCAATCAAACTAACGGATGATATCACACCACGTGTTGTGCCTTATCCGTTGCAAATGCTCAAGACTCACGGTATGGTTCCTGGTTGGCATCTTGATTCCTCTGTGTTTAAAACTGTTAAAAGGTTTCAACTTCTGTATCTCTATGTGGTTGAAACAGGGAGGACTTTCTATACATGGCTTGGACCCATACCAACAATCAACATAATGGATCCTGAGCAAATCAAGGAAGTGTTCAACAAAGTTTATGATTTCCAGAAAGTACATACGTTCCCTTTGGCCAGATTAATAGCCGCTGGACTCGTTAGTTATGATGGTGATAAATGGGCGAAACACCGAAGAATCATCAACCCAGCTTTCCACCTTGAGAAGATCAAGGTTTAAAAGTTTATCTTCCATAGTTCCAGTTTAGATTGCTTTATGTATGTATGCCCATTTGGCTCTGAACCAATTTGTGCCTTCTGCTTCAATTTATAGAATATGGTACCTGCGTTCCACCAGAGCTGCAGCGAGATTGTTGGCGAATGGGACAAGTTAGTGTCGGATAAAGAGTCGTCCTGTGAGGTGGACGTTTGGCCTGGGCTTGTGAGTATGACTGCAGATGTGATCTCCCGCACTGCTTTTGGCAGCAGCTATGTAGAAGGGCAGAGGATATTTGAGCTCCAAGCCGAACTAGCACAGCTCATCATACAAGCTTTTCAGAAAGCTTTCATCCCTGGATATCAGTAATTAAAACCTCAACTTGTCTGCTTTTAAAACTTGTGTAGTGCTGTAATCTATTAGAGATTTTGAGCCATGTTGTGTTATATTCTCTCTGTCGTCTGTTCGTGTAGTTATCTCCCTACGAAAGGTAATAGAAGGATGAAAGCAGCAGCTAGAGAAATCCAAGTTATACTGAGAGGGATCGTTAACAAAAGGTTAAGGGCGAGAGAAGCTGGGGAAGCACCAAGCGACGATTTGCTGGGAATACTTCTTGAATCAAATTTGGGGCAAACAGAAGGAAATGGAATGAGTACCGAGGATGTGATGGAAGAATGCAAGTTGTTCTATTTCGCTGGGCAAGAGACAACAACAGTACTTCTGGTTTGGACAATGGTTCTGTTAAGCCAACACCAAGATTGGCAGGCTCGTGCACGAGAAGAAGTGAAGCAAGTTTTTGGCGATAAAGAACCTGACACAGAAGGCCTGAACCAACTCAAAGTTGTAAGTAAACCGAACCAAAAAACATTGAAGTTCTTTTGTTGCATTTTGATGATTTAAGCTGAATGATTTGATCCCTCGCAGATGACGATGATATTATATGAGGTCCTTCGGCTATATCCTCCGGTAAGCCAGCTGACTCGAGCCATTCACAAAGAGATGAAGCTAGGCGATCTGACGCTACCAGGCGGTGTTCATATCAGTCTACCTATAATGCTAGTCCAACGCGACACGGAGCTGTGGGGAAAGGATGCAGCGGAGTTCAAGCCAGAGAGATTCAAAGACGGTCTTTCAAAGGCAACAAAGAGCCAAGTCTCATTCTTTCCTTTTGCGTGGGGACAGAGGATCTGCATTGGCCAGAATTTTGCACTGCTTGAGGCAAAGATGGCAATGGCACTGATTCTACAGAAATTCTCCTTCGAGCTTTCTCCATCCTATGTTCACGCGCCTGACACAGTCTTCACCATTCACCCACAATTCGGTGCTCCTCTTATCTTGCACAAACTCTAATCGTATAACCCCTTTTGTTGTTGTCAATTATACACTAAATACACAGATCGTAATACAAAACTCAATTCTTGATACGTTTTGAAGTCAGAACTCGTGTCTCACAGAACAAATCTCAGTTGTGAAACTAAAACCCAAGAAGAAACGAAACTGAGTGCAGACTATAAACAAGAGATAACAAACCCTTTTGAGAATGGCTCAGTATTTGTTTTTCATCGACGACTCTTCTCTTCCGGTTTCTGATTAGCAGCTGCGACGTCTTGTATCCAGAGAAGCCGTAGCCAAACACTTAATACCAATCAAACAGGTCGAAATTACGTCGCGATTTCGCCTTATAACATTCGAGAACGATAGACGAGATCATCCAAATCGATTGCTTCAGAAAACCCCAAGACGAAGAAGAAGCCCCGGAGGATAGAGTCGCTGAACCCCCAATTTCTTCGAACAAATTGCAACCAACGGTGAAATTCGCGGAGGAGAGGTTCTATACGATCGACGGCGCAATGTCTAAGAATGAACGACGCCGTTTGAATAGTTTTTTTTAATCATTTTTTCTCCTTTCTTCAAACGCCGTCGTTTGACTTTGACCCTGGCTAGTGAAACTCAATCAAATTGCATGGACACATCTTTTAAACATCACCAACAAAAGCAAAATCATGTCTTTTTTTTGTGTTCAAAAAGCAAAACTATGTCTTTAACTCGATTATTCCTTCCTAATACACTTACTATTAAGCCTGGGCAAAATATTCGTTCGATCCGCTTCGATTCGGTATTCGATTTGATTTGATTCGAAAAGTCCGAATATCCGTAAGATTTTGGAGCAAAGCAAATAGAAAAATATAATATTCGTTAAAACCGAAGCAAATACCAAATACTGTTTTTTTAAAAGTTGGATATCCGCTTTGATCCGTATTTTTCTATATATATTAGAATATATAATTATGTATATATACACATATCATAATATAGTTTGTGTATTTGTGTTATCTGTTTTTTTTTATGTTATGTTTTGATCAGTGGCATTTTAAACTATCGAGTTTTGGTTTTTGGAATTTGTTTGATGGCATATTCTTGATCGGTGATATCAACAATGGTTACATTTGTTTTTTTGGAACTTATTTTGAAAACATGTCAAACAAGAACTTTGAATATCTGATATTTTATTATTTTATATAGTCTATGGTTTTTTAAAAAATATTTAGATGTATCGAAGCGGATATCCGCAAATATCACAAAATAATCCGGATATTCGAATTTTCGGATATCCGGAAATTTCCAAATCAAAGCAAATCACAAAATCGAGTATTCGGTTGAGACGAATCGAATATCAAATATCACAAAATTTCCGGATATCCGCTTCGTGCCCAGGCCTACTTACTATACACCGAAGCTATTTCTAATTACATGTGAGCTGAGTTAAATCATCCAAATTAGAAATTTTTCGTTTTTGTCCATATGTGAATATGAAATTATTTTGTAACTATTTGAAAACATCGAATTGTTTGTTGTAAAACAATGATTTAGAAATATTTTGACAAAACAAAATATTTCAACGTCGTGGTAAAGAAAAAAGAGAGTAAAACGCGTGGAAGGTAGTGATTGACAAAGAAACGTCAAAAAGTTGAAGACGTTCATGACTTGGCCACCACTCAAGTCATGTGACCAATATAGTTCTTCATCTCTTTGTCGTTTTTAACACAAGTCCAATTCTGTTTCTTATGGCTTCGTGGCATGTGACTGTGAATTGTGAACCTCCAAGTAAAGTAAAAGATCAAATAGTCACTACCGCATAAATTGTCCGAAACACATAATACCAAGTATTAACCTTTATATTCCGAGAATTTTTTAGCAACTTATCTACCTCTATGGCTCTATCTCTCTCTCTCTCTTTTCTTTATTCTCTGAGAGAAAAAAAAACGGAGATATCAATTGCATTGGTTACAGTTTCAGTAGCTCTAAAGTGGTTTTGGTTTAAGCCAAAGATGCTAGTGTTTGGTTTGGAGAGTTACCTGAGAAGACAAAGTCTTGGGACAAAAAAAGAAAGAGTAAAACCCATGGATGGTATTGGTAAATGACAAAGACACGTCACAGAGTTGAAGATTTCGTCCCTTGCCCGCCACTCAAGTGATAACTTCTTATGCTGACCAATATATCGCCTCCTATTTTTTTCTGCTTTTTACACAAGTCCAAATTTGCTTCTTGCGCCCTCGTGGCATGTGACTGTGTGGCACGCGCAAAATATCAATTAATCACTACAAAAGAATTTGTCTGAATACAAACACTATAAAGTAATTATTTAAGACATCAGGGATGATGTCATCACCACATCCATATCTTTACCACAATTTTCAACCTTTATATGCCGACAATTTTAGCAAATTCTCTACCTATCTCTCTCTTCTCTTGGAGAAAAAATGGAGATATCGGTTGCATCGGTAACCATTTCAGTAGCTATAGCTGTTGTGTCGTGGTGGATATGGAGAACTTTACAGTGGGTTTGGTTTAAGCCAAAGATGCTTGAGAGTTACCTGAGAAGACAAGGTCTTGCCGGAACTCCTTACACACCTCTTGTCGGCGATTTAAAGAGGAATTTCAGCATGCTGGCTGAGGCAAGATCCAAACCCATCAATCTAACAGATGATATCACACCTCGTATCGTGCCTTATCCCTTGCAAATGTTCAAGACTTACGGTATGCTTCCTGGTTGACATCTTGATCCTCTTTGTTTAGTACTGTTGTAGGTTTCAACTTTTGTATCTCAATCTGGGTTGAAACAGGGAGAACTTTCTATACATGGCTTGGACCCATACCAACAATCACCATAATGGATCCTGAGCAAATCAAGGAAGTGTTCAACAAAGTTTATGATTTCCAGAAAGCACATACGTTCCCTTTGGCCAGATTAATAGCCGCTGGACTCGTTAGTTATGATGGTGATAAATGGGCGAAACACCGAAGAATCATCAACCCGGCTTTCCACCTTGAGAAGATCAAGGTTTAAAAGCTTTATCTTCCATAGTCCCGAATCAGATTAGATTACTTGATGTATGTTCATTTGGCTCTGAAACAATTTGTGTCTTCTGCTTCTATGTAATAGAACATGGTACCTGCGTTCCACAAGAGCTGCAGCGAGATCGTTGGCAAATGGGACAAGTTGGTGTCAGAAAAAGAGTCGTCCTGTGTGGTGGATGTTTGGCCTGGGCTTGTGAGTATGACTGCAGATGTGATCTCTCGTACTGCTTTTGGCAGCAGCTACGTAGAAGGGCAGAGGATATTTGAGCTCCAAGCGGAAATAGCACAGCTCATCATACAAGCTTTTCGGAAAGCTTTCATCCCTGGATATCGGTAATAAGAACCTCAACTTGTCTGCTTTTATAACAAGGCCTTTTAGAGCTTGAGTAGTGCTGCAATCTATTAGAGATTTTCAGCCATGTTTTGTTATATTATCTCTGTCGTCTGTTCGTGTAGTTATCTCCCTACGAAGGGTAATAGAAGGATGAAAGCAGCAGCTAGAGAAATCCAAGTTATACTGAGAGGGATTGTTACCAAAAGGCTTAAGGCAAGAGACACTGGGGAAGCACCGAGTGACGATTTGCTGGGTATACTTCTTGAATCGAATTTGGGACAAACGAAAGGAAATGGAATGAGTATTGAGGATGTGATGGAGGAGTGCAAATTGTTCTATTTCGCCGGGCAAGAGACAACAACAGTACTTCTGGTTTGGACAATGGTTCTGTTAAGCCAACACCAAGATTGGCAGGCTCGTGCACGAGAAGAAGTGAAGCAAGTTTTTGGCGATAACGAACCTGATGCGGAAGGCCTAAACCAGCTCAAAGTTGTAAGTAAACAGAACCAAATACCTTCAAGTGACTTGAGTTCTTTTGTTGCATTTTGATGATTTAAGCTGAATGATCTGATTCCAATCCCTCACAGATGACAATGATACTATATGAGGTCCTAAGGCTATATCCTCCAGTAACTCAGCTGACCAGAGCCATTCACAAAGAGATGAAGCTCGGCGACTTGACACTACCAGGCGGCGTTAACATCAGTCTACCTATTCTTCTAGTCCAACGGGACACCGAGCTGTGGGGAAATGATGCAGCGGAGTTCAAGCCGGAGAGATTCAAAGACGGCCTCTCAAAGGCAACAAAGAGCCAAGTCTCATTCTTCCCTTTTGCATGGGGACCGAGGATCTGCATTGGCCAGAATTTTGCACTGCTTGAGGCAAAGATGGCAATGGCACTGATTCTACAGAAATTCTCCTTTGAGCTATCTCCTTCCTATATTCACGCGCCTTACACAGTCATCACCATTCACCCACAGTTTGGTGCTCCTCTAATCTTGCACAAGCTATAATCCTATAACCCCTTGTGTTGTTCTCAAATAAACTTTCCACACACAGATGATACGATACGAGTCCAGGTCATAATACAAAACTCAAACTCTTATTTGAGTTTAGAAGTGAAAACTTGTGATTCTAAAGGAACAAATCTCAGTTGTGAAACTAAAATCCAAGATAAAAAAGGATCGAAACCAAGTGCAGATATCCAGATTGTAAAAAGAGATAACAAACCCTTTTGAGTATCCGGAGCAGCCTTAGCCAAACACGTAATGGCAATCAACCAGGTCGATTTCGCCTCAACAATGCTCAAACATAGATTCTCCAAATCGATCGCTTCAGAAAACCCCCAAAATGAAGAACCCTCAAAGGATCGATTCTCTCAACCCTCATTCCATAGAAACAAATCGCGAAAGCGACGGTGAAGTTCACTAAGGTCTCACGACGGCGTTCGTATAGTGTTTTTTTTTTTTTTCCGTTTTCTGAAACGCCGTCGTTTGATGATGCCCATTGTAATTTTCAGCCTTTTTCTTATGTTGCCACATCTTTTAAACAACACCAACAGAGCAAAACCATGTCTTTAAATCGATTTGCAGGCAATGCAGAAGTAGAAAACGTCCTTCTTGAATATAGCTTTAAGTAGATTCACATGTCCTCTATGATTTCAATGTTATTGTGATAGAACAACAGAAGCAGTATCTCATTATATGATTCCTTAATTTTTTTTTTTTGCTAAGATATGATTCCTTAATTTGTGCAACCAAATTATTGATTTGTGTGTCATTCTTATGCTTATGCAAAGAACATGCTAATCTTTTTTCTTTTTTTTGTATCGTTCCAGTTTTATCTAATGTACCTCCACTTCAAAACCGAAGCCGACACTCAATTCATTACCTATATAGTTCTTCCTCTTTTTGTGGCTTTTCACACACGTCAAATTTTGTTTCTTACGGCTTCATAGCATGTGACTGTGAACTAAGACATCTGGGTTGATGTCATCACCACATCCATATCTTCTCCGAAATTTTCACCCTTTAAGTTCCGAGATTTTTTAGCAAATAATCTACCTGATCTCTCTCACTCTTCTCTCTGCTCCAGAAGAAAAAAATGGAGATATCAGTTTCATCGGTAACAGTTTCACTAGCTGTAGTTGTTGTGTCTTGGTGGGTATGGAGAACTTTAAAGTGGGTTTGGTTTAAGCCAAAGATGCTCGAGAGTTACCTGAGAAGACAAGGTCTTGTCGGAACTCCTTACACGCCTCTTGTCGGCGATTTGAAGAATGTTATCAACATGTTCACTGAGGCAACATCCGAACCCATCAAACTAACATATGATATCACACCACGTGTCGTGCCTCATCCCTTGCAAATGCTCAAGACTTACGGTATCCTTCGGAAGGATTCCTTCCTAGTTCGCCTCTTGATTCCTCTCTGTTTAGGATTTAGAACAAAATTGTTGCAGAGTAATCTGATCTATAAGCGGTTTCAAATCTTGTATCTTTATTATGTGGTTGGAACAGGAAGGACTAACTTAACATGGTTTGGACCTATACCATTACCAACCATCACCATAATGGATCCTGAGTTAACCAAGGAAGTGTTCAACAAAGTCTATGATTTCCAGAAGGTGCATACATTCCCTTTAAGCAAAATACTAGGCACGGGACTCGTTAGTTATGATGGTGATAAATGGGCGAAACACAGAAGAATCATCAACCCGGCTTTCCATCTTGAGAAGATCAAGGTTTAATGCTTTCTTTTTAGTCATGTATAAAGTTTTTGTGTCTTCATTTGGCTCTGACCCACCCAAATTTGTGCTTCTATGTTTAGAATATGGTACCTGCGTTCCACCAAAGCTGCAGCGGGGTTGTTGGTGAATGGGACAAGTTAGTGTCGGATAAGGGGTCGTCATATGAGGTAGACGTTTGGCCTGGACTTGTGAGTATGACTGCAGATGTGATCTCTCGTACTGCTTTTGGCAGCAGCTACAAAGAAGGGCAGAGGATCTTTGAGCTCCAAGCAGACCTAGCACAGCTCATCATTCAAGCTTTTAGGAAAGCTTTCATCCATGGATTTAGGTAATGAAAAACTCAACTTATCTGGTTTGATATAAGGACTTTAGAGCGTGACTCTTGATCTTTTAGTAGCAGAGTTCAATCCAGAGAGATTCAAAGACCGGCCAGAACTTTGCCCTGTTGGAGGCAAAAATGGCAATGGCGTTGATTCTACAGAGATTCTCCCTTGAGCTTTCTCCTTCCTACGTTCATGCGCCTCAAACAGTCGTCACCATTCACCCACAGTTTGGTGCACATCTTATCCTGCAAAAGCTATAATTCTATAACACCATGTGCTGTTGTCAAATAAAGAGAGAAAAATAATCCAGATCACAATATAAATCATTTTATTAATGGAAGTAAGAACTTTGTGCTCACATATGTCTTTATTAATTGAAGTAAGAACTTTGTCGTAGAAACGTTATCAGTTTTTCAAAAAATATTTTTTTAACAATTTAATTAGTCAGAATCTCTTTTAGAACCTATGGATACTAAAGTAAATAAAAAACAAAATATGATATCCAAATTATACGTTACTTTAGTTTTACTTTTTGTTTTTTAATAACTTTAGTATCCAGGGGTTCTAAATTAAAAGAGGTTTTGACTAATTAAACTATTAAAAAAATATTTTTTGAAAAACTGATAACGTTACTACTGATAAAGATGCTCTTATATACCCCTAGAATGGTCACAAGTTCTCTACCTCTCTCTCTGGTAGAGAAAATGGAGATATCAGTTGCATCGGTAATAGTTTCTGTAACTGTAGTTGTTGTGTCATGGTGGATATGGAGAACTTTACAGTGGGTTTGGTTTAAACCAAAGATGCTTGAGCGTTACCTAAGAAGACAAGGTCTTGCCGGAACTCCTTACACACCTCTCGTCGGCGATTTAAAGAGGAATTTCAGCATGCTGGCTGAGGCAAGATCCAAACCAATCAAACTAACGGATGATATCACACCTCGTATCGTGCCTTATCCCTTGCAAATGTTCAAGACTTACGGTATGCTTCCTGGTTGACATCTTGATCCTCTTTGTTTAGAACTGTTAAAAGGTTTCAACTTCTGTATCTCTATGTGGTTGAAACAGGGAGGACTTTATTTACATGGCTTGGACCCATACCAACAATCACCATAATGGATCCTGAGCAAATCAAGGAAGTGTTCAACAAAGTTTATGATTTCCAGAGAGTACATACGTTCCCTTTGGCCAGATTAATAGCCGCTGGACTCGCTAGTTATGAAGGTGATAAATGGGCGAAACACCGAAGAATCATCAACCCAGCTTTCCACCTTGAGAAGATCAAGGTTTAAAAGCTTTATCTTCCATAGTTCCAGTTTAGATTGCTTTATGTATGTATGCCCATTTGGCTCTCAACCAATTTGTGCCTTCTGCTTCTATGTATAGAATATGGTACCTGCGTTCCACCAGAGCTGCAGCAAGATTGTTGGCGAATGGGACAAGTTAGTATCGGATAAAGAGTCGTCCTGTGAGGTGGACGTTTGGCCTGGGCTTGTGAGTATGACTGCAGATGTGATCTCCCGTACGGCTTTTGGCAGCAGCTATGTAGAAGGGCAGAGGATATTTGAGCTCCAAGCCGAACTAGCACAGCTCATCATAGAAGCTTTTTGGAAAGATTTCATCCCTGGATATCGGTAATTAAAACCTCAACTTGTCTGCTTTTAGAACTTTTGTAGTGCTGCAACCTATTAGAGATTTTGAGCCATGTTGTGTTATATTCTCTCTGTCGTCTGTTCGTGTAGTTATCTCCCTACGAAGGGTAATAGAAGGATGAAAGCAGCAGCTAGAGAAATCCAAGTTATACTGAGAGGGATCGTTAACAAAAGGTTAAGGGCGAGAGAAGCTGGGGAAGCACCAAGCGACGATTTGCTGGGAATACTTCTTGAATCAAATTTGGGGCAAACAGAAGGAAATGGAATGAGTACCGAGGATGTGATGGAAGAATGCAAGTTGTTCTATTTCGCTGGGCAAGAGACAACATCAGTACTTCTGGTTTGGACAATGGTTCTGTTAAGCCAACACCAAGATTGGCAAGCTCGCGCACGAGAAGAAGTGAGGCAAGTTTTTGGCGATAAAGAACCTGATAGAGAAGGCCTTAACCAACTCAAAGTTGTAAGTATAAACCAAAACAAAAACCTTTTAAAGTGACTTCACTACTTTTGTTGCATTTTGATGATTTAAGATGAATGATTTGATCCCTCACAGATGACGATGATATTATATGAGGTCCTTAGGCTATATCCTCCAGTAGCCCAGCTGACCCGAGAAATCCACAAAGAGATGAAGCTCGGAGATGTGACATTACCCGGCGGTGTTCAGATCAGTCTACCTATTATGCTAGTCCAACGCGACACAGAGCTGTGGGGTAACGATGCAGGGGAGTTCAAGCCAGAGAGATTCAAAGAAGGTCTCTCAAAGGCAACAAAGAACCAAGTCTCTTTCTTTCCCTTTGCGTGGGGACCAAGGATTTGCATTGGCCAGAATTTTGCATTACTTGAGGCAAAGACGGCAATGACTTTGATTCTACAGAGATTCTCCTTCGAGCTTTCTCCTTCCTATGTTCACGCGCCTTTCACAATCGCCACCATTCACCCACAGTTTGGTGCTCCTCTTATGCTGCACAAGCTCTAATCACATAACCCCATGTGCTGTTATCAAATAAACTCGTCTTTTTACGTATAATCCAAGATTAAAAAAAAAATTGAAATTAATAATATACAGTCTCACCACAGAAGAAACTAAATAAAACACTTCAGACTTCAGAGCTTGACCAAAGTAAATATCAAAAGAACGAAGGGAGGAGATATGTAATGTACCGTTTTTTTTTTACTGAAGTAAAATATTATAACAACCAGTTTAAGATACAGAACAAAAACAAAGGGAACAGAGATATGTAACGTTTTCTTTTTATTTTATGTCGACAAAACAAAATACTGCAATGTTTAGGTACAGAAAAAAAATATATGTAAAACCCATGGATTGGTTGGTATTGGTAAATGACAAAGAAACGTCACAAAGTTGCTGCTCATGCTTCCATTTATCACATTTGGAGGCAAAGAAACAATGTTCTTCACAACAACCAAATCGTTCCACCGTCAACTATCTTCAAATTCATCGACCGTGAGATACGCAACACTATCACTGGTAGAAGGCATAGAAAGAGATGGAGGAAGCTTATGCTTCTTTGGATCCGTTAAGTTGGATTTCCTATCTTCTTTTAAAAGAATTGTATTCTTGTTTTAATTTTTTTTTGCCAAGATTACACTACTTTTAGGTAATGCTCTTGTAATACCTAACATTTCATTTATGATATTTACAATTTAGCAAAAAAAAAAAAAAAAAAAAAAAAAGTTGAAGACGTTCGTCCCTTGCCCGCCACTCAAGTGATGACTATGAGTCTTATGACCAATATATCTCCTCCTATTTTTGTCACACAAGTCCAAATTTGCTTCTTGCTACGCCTTCGTGGCACGCAAAATTTCAACATCACAAAAAAATTGTCTGAACACAAAAACACTATAAAGTATTTAAGACATCAGCGGTGATGTCATCACCACATCCATATCTTTTCCAAAATTTTCAACCTTTATATCCCGACAATTTTTAGCAAATTCTCTACCTCTCTCTCTCTCTCTATCTTCTCTGGGACAAAAAATGGAGATATCAGTTGCATCGGTAACAATTTCAGTAGCTGTAGCTGTTGTGTCGTGGTGGGTATGGAGAACTTTACAGTGGGTTTGGTTTAAACCAAAGATGCTTGAGAGTTACCTGAGAAGACAAGGTCTTGCCGGAACTCCTTACACACCTCTTGTCGGCGATTTAAAGAGGAATTTCAGCATGCTGGCTGAGGCAAGAGCCAAACCCCTCAAACTAACGGATGACATCACAACACGTGTCGTGCCTTATCCCTTGCAAATGTTCAAGACTTACGGTACGCTTCCTGGTTGGCATCTCTTGATTCTTTAGAACTGTTGCAGAGTATCTGTTCTAGTGAAAAAGGTTTCAACTTTTGTATTTTTATTATATGGTTGGAACGGAACAGGAAGGACTTACTTTTCATGGTTTGGACCTATACCAACCATCACTATAATGGATCCTGAGCAAATCAAAGAAGTGTTCAACAAAGTTTATGATTTCCAGAAGCCGCATACATTCCCTATAGCCACATTGATAGCTAAAGGACTCGCTAATTATGATGGTGATAAATGGGCGAAACACCGAAGAATCATCAACCCCGCTTTTCATCTTGAGAAGATCAAGGTTTAGTAACCAGGAATCAAGTTAGATTGTTATATGTGTGTATGTTCATTTAGCTCTGACCCAAATTTGTGCTCCTATGTTTAGAATATGGTACCTGCGTTTCACCGGAGCTGTAGCGAGGTTGTTGGCCAATGGGATAAGTTAGTGTCGGATAAAGGGTTGTCATGTGAGGTAGATATTTGGCCTGGGCTTGTGAGTATGACTGCAGATGTGATCTCTCGTACTGCTTTTGGCAGCAGCTACAAAGAAGGGCAGAGGATCTTTGAGCTCCAAGCAGAACTAGCACAGCTCATCATTCAAGCTTTTAGGAAAGCTTTCATCCCTGGATTTAGGTAATGAAAAAACCTCAACTTATTGATATAAGGACTTAGAGCTTGACTCTTGATCTTTTAGTGCTGCAATCTTCTATTATAGAGATGAACCATGACTTCATAATCTTTGTGCCAATTTTCTGTGTAGTTATCTCCCAACAAAAGGTAACAGAAGAATGAAAGCAAAAGCAAGAGAAATCCAAGTTATACTGAGAGGGATCGTTAACAAAAGGTTAAGGGCCAGGGAAGCTGGGGAAGCACCAAGCGACGATTTGCTGGGAATACTTCTTGATTCAAATTTGAGGCAAACGGAAGGTAACGGAATGAGTACCGAGGATCTGATGGAGGAGTGCAAGTTGTTCTATTTCGCCGGGCAAGAGACAACATCAGTACTTCTGGTTTGGACAATGATTCTGTTAAGTCAACACCAAGATTGGCAGGCTCGTGCACGAGAAGAAGTGAAGCAAGTTTTTGGCGATAAAGAACCTGATGCAGAAGGCCTAAACCAGCTCAAAGTTGTAAGTAGAACCAAATCATAAACCTTTAGGTGACTTTTTCTTTGTTTTGATGTTAGATTTAATCCCTCGCAGATGACGATGATATTATATGAAGTCCTCAGGCTATATCCTCCAGTAACCCAGCTGACCCGAGCCATTCACAAAGAGATGAAGCTAGGCGATCTAACGCTACCAGGCGGTGTTCAGATCAGTCTACCTATTCTGCTAGTCCAACGTGACCCGGAGCTGTGGGGAAACGATGCAGCGGAGTTCAAGCCAGAGAGATTCAAAGACGGTCTTTCCAAGGCAACAAAGAGCCAAGTCTCCTTCTTTCCCTTTGCGTGGGGACCGAGGATATGCATCGGCCAGAACTTTGCCCTGTTGGAGGCAAAAATGGCAATGGCATTGATTCTGAAGAGATTCTCCTTTGAGCTCTCTCCTTCCTATGTCCATGCGCCTTACACAGTCATCACCATTCACCCACAGTTCGGTGCTCAGCTTATCATGCACAAGCTATAATCCTACAACCCCTTGTTGTTGTTGTCTAATAAATAAACTTGTTATACGCAGATGAAACGAGATAGATCATAATACAAAAATCAAATCTTTTTATATATGTTCAAGTCAGAACTCGTGTCTCACAGATTATAACCCTTGGAGGAGTGATTCTCAAGTAACAAATCTCAGCTGTGAAACTAAAACCCAAGATAAAAGGATTGAATTTAAGACTCGCGCAGTATTTGTTCTTCATCAACGACTCCTTCTCTATACCAAAAACATGCAATACCAATCAGACAAGTCGATTACCTCTTGATTTTTCTCCTCAACATTGCTCAACTAAAAATCTTAGAATCTCTTGAAATTTTGAAACAGAGGAACACCAATAGACAAATCGTCAACGACGTCTGAGATTCTCCAAAATCATCGCTTCAGAACCCCCTATCCTCCGAAACCCTAATTTCAGAAAACAAATCGAGAGATCAACGGCGAGATTCGACAAGGTCCTGACGGCGTTTAAGTTCGGACTGAACGACAACGCTGGTAAGTGTGGACTCCGGTTAGTGTTGGGTTTTTCATTTTACTCTTTCCGTTTCTCAAAACGACGTCGTTGGGCCGTTGGCTATGGGCTTGAGTAGCCCAGCCAGCCAACCAACCATGTCTTAAAATAGACCTTTTTTTTTGGTCATCTGAGTTTTTATTATTGAAATTTTGAAAAAGATACAACAAACCATACAGTCACTCATAGCCCAAACAAGGGAAACGAAGCCGACGGACGAATTGATGTCCTCGGAAGCAAAGCCGGAGGAAGACGTGATTTCCCCGGAGACTAGACCCTAAACAAGGGAAACGATAAAGCAAGACAAACATAACAGAACTTATAGGAAATACTCGAAAGAGATCGCACCCATAAACTAAGAACAAAAGCCTAAAATCTTAAAATCGAAAGGATCCAAAAGCCCGAGAAAGCAAAGCGACCTCTTCAAAAGAACCTCTGAATGTGATTTATCAAAGCTGCCCCCGGCCAAAACCATGATAACATCCACCTCCTCCTATCACAATGAGAGCCAATCTCTCGAAACCAAGAACCAAGACTTCATAACCCGACAAGCAAGACACCAAATTGAACCACAAACACGCTTTCGGATGCGACGAGGACGAACTCAACGTCATTTAACGTCTAGATAAAAGTCTACAAAAAGCAATCAGACCTAAACAGATCTAGAAAGCAGAGACAAGGAGAGAAGTCTAACCCCTCGATACACACTATTCCCATGCCCGAGAACAACGAATCGAGCCAGCTAACAAACCAAAGACCAACAAGAAGAAGAAGATACACTTGCAGACTCAAAAGCAAAACCCGATTTCAGAAAAGACGAGGCCTCTGCTCGGGAAGGGTAACGAGCCAAAAAGGAACCGAAGACAGATCCGAAGAGAGAAGGAGCTTGCGGGAAGAAAGGTTGGGCAAACGAGAGTCACAACCAAACAACACCTGCGGCATAGAGACGAGAACAAGCACAAAGAGGCAAACAGATCTAGGTCGGGGAAAGCAAAAGGAGGCATAATAACACGAACCACACCGAAAATCAAACAGATCCGGAGACAACCTCAACGCATAGACCACCAAACCACACAGATCTGACCTCTCAACCGCTTCCGCAAAAAAAAACCAAAACCACAGCTCGAACAAGACCGACGGCTCCCCAAACGAAAACCCAAATGACTGCAAACCCAGAGCAACATAAGGCAAAAACAAGGGAGAAGAACCGGCGCCGGCGCTAAGGAAGCCGCCCAACGCCGGTAATCGGAAAGCAAAGCTAGGTTGAAAAAGGATGTAAAATAGACCAATTTCGATATATATATTTTATTTAAATTTTAGATTAAGATTTTAAATTTTAGAGATAAGTTTTTATGATTTTGGGGATAAACTTTCATTTTTTGACTTTAGAGTTAGTTTCTCTAAGTTTATAGCTAATAATTTGGATTAAAACTTATAATTTAAATTATTTGTTAATTTTCTTTTAAAAATATGACATAAATAAAATGTAAACTACTTCCATATTTTTCTCTAATAGAATGTACGGTGTAGACTAGACCCTGGCACGTGGATTTCGGTTTTTATTTAGTATCCGCTCGTGCGGCGCAAGGAAATTCTTCTAGTCAGCCACCGAAACTGGCTTGTCAATTAGGGTTCTTGGTCAATCCTTAAAAAAGTTCTATTGATTTTCGTTATCTATAGATTATGAGTTTATGACCTCGATTACATCGACTACAATTTTTGGCGAATTTATGTGATTGGGGTTCTCTGTGATCGTCCGTTCTCGATACATCATCATAAGGTATTGAAGTTAATTTTCCTATTCTAATTAGGATAGGTCAAAATATAACCTAGATCTCTCGTATATCTATATATATACACGTCATTAGGTATTGAGAATTCATCCATAGCTTCTGAATTTCTCGGTCTCCTGTTTCTGTCTCATCATCGGGGTTTTGATAAGGATGTCTCAGTCCAAAGTAGCTATGAAGAAAGATTCTATGAGGAAGAATAAGAAACTGGTTATAAATATTGCTCTAGATAAAGAAGTTCTTGCTTTGCGATTAGAAGCTGATCATGATCTTGGTTCTTTAAGAGATGAGAAAGAGAGTTTTAAATCATCAGAGAGACGAAGAGATGTGGTTTGTTCCAAAGCTGAAGATATTGTTGATAAGGCAATTGATGATCATTCTAGTATTAGAGGAGATGGGATCATGCGGGAGGTTGATGTCGGAACAGGTTTATCGGGCGCGTTAAACCGTCTAAGAGAGCAAGGAACTTTCAAGGGGGAAAGCAAGATTGTAGGGGTTAAGGACAATCATGAAGATGACAGATTCAAAGATAGATTTAAGGATATAGAGATTCAGAGGGTGGACAAGTGGGGAAGGATATTGACTGAGAAGGAAGCGTATCGGTCACTGTGTCATAGATTCCATGGGAAGGGACCTGGGAAGAAGAAGCAAGAGAAACAGAGGAAGAAGCATGAAGATAAGTCAAAACAGATGGAATCTACTGAGAGAGCTGTGGAAAGAATTAGAGATGTTCATGCCATATCCAAGAGTCCTTACATTGTTCTCTAATCATAAACTTCTCTTTGATTTGCCTTTTATGATAATCTCAAAGACATTTAAATAAAAACTTCATAGGTTTGGTATTTTAATTTGCCTGATATTTTCAAGATTTCTTGTATGTTTCTACATCAAATAAACATTGCTTTTCACCTATACTTCCATTTCTTTTGGTATAATCTAACGTTTTCGCATTCTTCTTTGGATTTATTTTTCGGGTTTATCAGGGAAACAATTTCAATGCATCCCGAGACAGAACAAGCCGTTTTAGTGACGGTTTCACCTTCCAAGAAGACTAAGCTATGCAGTGAGAACTTTGAAGACAAATTCAGCAGCTTGCATGAGAGTGTTCTTAGCAGAATTTTGAGTCAACTTCAAACTGTTGAAGCTGTTAGTACTTCTGTCTTATCAAAGTCATGGAGGAACATGTGGACAAACATCACAGAGTTATATTTTGATGATCCAAAGCAGAGGGATCCAAGTGATTCTCGATTTACTGACTTTGTTGAGCGCGTGCTTAGCGACATTGGAAGTCCGCAGATTAACAGTTTCCATCTACGTTCTGTTAATTCTTACGATGAGACTCTTCTCTTCTCGTGGTTATCAAAGGTACTAAAGCGCAATCTTCAGAGGCTTGTTGTCACTTGTCACGACCTTGAAATCATCAATTTCTCTCCTCTTTTTCTTAGTCTTGTTTCGCTTGTGGAGTTAAGACTCCGTACAAAGAGCATTCTTGACATTTCGGCTCCTGCTCTTCTCCCGAACCTTAAGTTCTTTAGTCTCGAGGATGCTAGAATCTTCAACATGTCTTCTGTCTCAAAGAACCTCGTTCTGAACTTTCCTGTCCTGGAAACTTTTGAAGCCTCTTATTGCTGCTGCTTTAGAACCGATACTGTGATCCTAGATTCTCCAATGCTCAGGATCTTTGAGATGTTCAAGTGTACCTCTGAACACGTACCGACTTCTGAAGTGTGTAAGATCAGGGTGTTAGCTTCAAAGCTTGAGAAAATCACATTCTCCGGGGACGATTCCCGAAAGATTCATTTGTCTTTTCCACCGTCTTTACCTGATGCTTATCTAGCCCTCAGCAAATCGGAGTGGCCCAAGAAGTTTCTACATAGCTTCACATGCGTGAATAGTTTGGCTCTCGGGGTTAGTTAATAGTTACATTAACTTTTCAAAGCTTTTAATGGCTCAAGTCACTCACAACGTACTCTTTATCTCAATGTCCTTCTTAGCTTAGCAAGGATTTTCATGTGATCGCAGTACCCAAATTCAGACAGTTGGCTTACCTGCATTTGATATACGACATGACACAACATTGCAAATTAATGCAGTTCCTCGAATCCGCACCAATACTCGAGATGCTCAGCATCCGCGTAAGTGCTAACTATATCAAATGTTGTGACACCATTATCTTTTCTCTTGTTTTCTGATCTTGCCCTTTTACGGTGAAACCACCAGGACCTGACATCTCCTCGTTCAACCCCTACTACAAAGTCCTTAAAGGAACTACGTTCAGAAGAATCTCCGGATTGCGTTAGAACAATGCTCAAAGTCTTACAAATCAGGAATTTTAAGCCAAACAGGCTGCAGATATCAGTGTTGAGGTACGTGTTGGACAATGCTGAGATTCTTGGATCAGTCATCCTTTCTTCTCCCAATCCAATCACAGAAGAAGCTAAAGCAAAAATCTTGTCTTATCCTAAAGCCTCCCCTCATGCCTCTGTCTTCTTCGAATGACCAAAAGTTGACCTTTTGCAAATCCTAGTTCCTTGTGGGTTACGGCAAAGTTATTATCTTTGTTTCGATTGTCACTGGAACTTTGATATTAAAACTCTTTGTGGATTCTTTGATTCAAAGAAAAGAATATGCCTTTTGGACAAGTTTAAAGACAGAAACAAGTGTTGATGTGCCCTTAACCACATGCAACTTCTTCTGCCACTCCCACTTGGACCACTTCTATATGCATTATATTATGATTTGTTTATATGATGCAGCATCCTCCATTATATTGTCTTCTTTTATCAACTAGATTATTGCATTATTTCTTGTATAGTAATATAAATATTAGACTAAATCTCATAAAGATTGCGTTATGGTCCTCTGTTTTTCTGGTTTTATTGATTGAAAAAGTAGTTTTGGAGTTTTGTGTAAAAGATACTTTATTTTAGTTGATGTAATAGGTGACACAAACTTATTAGCGTAATAATTTTGATAGTGATGTGTTTTTAATATCTATACTATTAATTGGGAAGCACTCAAACATAAATAACCTTATAAAGTGTAAAGTATTACAAAAATGCCATTGTTTTTTGTTTTTAAATAATATATTTAAATAAAAAATAGTAAAATTCTTTAAAATAATTATTAGTTTAAAAAAATTAAACTCAATTTCTCTCTCATATTAATTATGGACGAAAATTAAAAAAAAAATTCTAAAAAGTTGTTAACCAATGAGAATTTTAAAATAAGATTTGATATCCAACTAAAATTTTATCTAAACCAATCCTAATAAACTATTTTATATCAAAAATAAAAAGAAAAATAATACCATTTTAATTCAAAATAAAAAAACACTATCGTTTAAAAAGTTTTATCAATGGAGGATTTTAATATTGAATTTGAAATTTCGTAAAAAAATTAAATACAAATATTTATGACTCAATTTTGTTATAATATTTTCACAAATTTTAAAATATAAAACAAAATTTTATTTCACAATTTCTAAAAAAACGATATTAGATATTAACAAATATTTATATTTACTATGAAATAAACTCAAATAATGATAAGTAATTATCGTTATGGCCTTCGTTTAGAGAAAGTTTCGGAAATATCTAAACAAAAGATTGTACATATTAATTTCGAAATATTTTGTGTTTTTTTTTTCTTCTCAACCGGATCTTCCTTAAACAAATCCATAATATATTGCACACGGTTTTTGAAATAATGTGAACTAATTATATATTTTGCATTCAAAACAAATTATGCAGCAATAGCATATCCCTTTTATAGATGTATCTCAAATTTTAATTTTAGTCTCAAAAATCGAATTAATTATGATTAAACAATGAAAAGAAAAATATGCAAAATTTAGCTAGAAACATTAATAAATTTGTTTAAATATATTTATAACTTTAACAGTATACATATTAATCCGCAAAACTCACAATATATATTGTAATATTGTATGGTATTTAAAAGTAAGCAAACAAGAATTTGGAATATGATTTTAATGGAATAAAATGGAAATAGAAATTACGAGACGAGATGGGAGGGGAACATATATTAAAAATCAAACTAAATACCCAACTGACATGAGTTCGGGTTATGAGCACTATATAAAATAAATTTGTTTACACACGTAACCATGTACATACGTTTTCAATTACACATACTCTATTTATGACAGATATGGGACCATAATATTTTTATTTTACGTATACGTGACAGATTATGGGACAAGAAAATTTATGACAGATACCGGACGGGATATTTTCATGTTCTAAAATAGTTACGCCTAGCTAATATACATGAAATAACCCAAACTAAAACCGAATTCATATCCTATTTAACATATGTAATCAAACTGTTAGAACTATTTTGATTAGTTAAGAAAATAAAAATGTAACACCACTTAACTTTTGCAACTAAATTAGTCCGGATCTTAAAATATAATTATGCATTAATGCAACTGAATTTTGTTCATTACTCTAACTTTATAATATTTATATTATTACGAAGTTCACTAATACAACAAATATTTTATATTTTTAAAATCTCTATAAAAATTTCTATAAAAATATCTCTATACGTATGTGGATCCAGATCTAATACACTAAAATATATATATCATAAAAAGTTAAAAACAACAAAATAATCTATACTGAATTAAAATTTGTTAAAAAAAATTTAAAATATGAAACCCCGCACGTATGTGCGGGTCATGATCTAGTTGAACTATAAATTAGGTTCGTTGATTTTAGAAGGCCACCAAACAAAACAAGAAAAAAATCTGCTTGGCAGAGATATTTCGGCTCTTATAATTTACACCACTTTAGAATAAAGCCAAATCAAAGAAAAATTATGGTCAATTTATCATCTGTACTGTCTTTGATTGTTGTAATTGATGATTTTTTATGGGTTTGAAGCTACTGTCAAAACATACTATAAACTAATTTTCGATGATTGAACTAGCTTAATCTTAATGCGAACTAAAAGAACTACATAGAATTGTATATATTCTGAATCAGATCAAGTCCAAAAACCGGATAGTTATATTTTATGTTCAAAAATTTAATCTGAAAGCTTAAACGATGAGCACATGTTGGTACTTCAACGGTGACATATTATATTAAGTAACTCCCAAACGTATGGGAACATTTTTTGATACCCGAGTTTTATACACCAAAAAATTTAGGACTAAATCAGCCATTTTTTGTGCAGTGACGTAGAGATACCGAGTTTCACGTTTTAATAATGGGTCTGATTGGTAACAAGCTGTTAGCTGGTAGCTGGAGCTGTTAGCTGTTAGTGAATAGTGCAAAGCTGTACAAAAGAATAAAACACGAAAGCTGTACAAAAAAATAAAGCAGAACAAATTTTTAAATTTTACTCTGATTGGAAACATTATAGCGGTACAAATAATAAATAATATTATGAGTTTAGAAAAAAAATTACATAGAAATGTATTTTAATATTTAATTACATATGAAAATTTAAAATTATGTGATGATAATTAAATGGTTATGAAAAAATTAAAATTATACAAAAACGGTCCGATTATGGTCCAAAATACGGTTATGGTTAGCTTTTGGTCATGCCTAGTCGAAGATAGTATGCATGACCAAAAGCTAATCGTAACCGTATTTCAGACCATAAGCGGACCGTAACCGTATAAAACGGTTAGAAACCGTAACCGTTAACTGTAAAAAATAATTAGTTACGGTTAAAAAATATATTAACTGTAACCGTTAATTAACCGTAACCGTATTTAACTGTAACCGTTGTAACCATAACCGTATTTAACCGTAACCGTTTTAACCGTATATATAATAGTTAATGTTACATTTTAAAAAAAAATATAATCGTAACCGGTGATTAATTAACTGTAACGTAATAACCGTAACAGTGGTCATGCCTAAAAAATAGTGAAGAGCTAATTTTAGTTTGATATAGTTTTTTTATTTTAATCTGTTTTTATTTTTGTCCAAAAAAAAACTTGTTTTTGTACCGTTATAACCGTAACCGTAACCGTTATAACCGTAACCGTAACCGTTATAACCGTATTTAACCGTAACCGTTATAACTGTATTTAATCGTAACCGTATTTAACCATAACCGTTTTAATTTGTTTTTGTTTTTGTCCAAAAAAAACTGTTTATGTTATACTGTACCGCTTTTCATAAAGCTTTTGTGATTGGTAACTGTCAAAGCTGTACAAAATTGTACAGCTTTATGTGTGTTCACCGATCAAAGCCAATATTAGCTTATTGTAGAATTTTATTATTTAAAAAGGGTCACCGGAACGAAGAAAGCGTGATAGAAAATGAAAGTTCAACTTTAGCTTAAATGTTAAAACATGATCACTTATTTGACACCTTGCCCTACATTTATATTAATATATATACTATATGTGTGGCTTACGATTTTGAGATTCTTTTTCATCTATAATATGTAAATAAGTCTTTTTCATGCTTTTAGCTAATGCCTAATGGACCGACTTTACATCTCACCCATATGTTTAAAAAAATCTAAACTCTGAAGAATTAAAATATGCATCCAATAAAATTATATACTAAACCATAAGTTAACATAATAAAGTCGACAAAATATATAGTTATGTTGTACGTTGAATGGGCAAGATACAATATACATTTGAGTCCAATCTTAACAATACATTAGTCTATTCGTTTTTTTAAATCAAATAAATTAGTTACTCAAATACAGTATAAACAAACGATCATTTGTATAAATAGACCTTCATACCAATAATAATTTATTTTCACAAGTAATATTATAATATCTTTGTATTATTTATTTTATACTTGAAAGAGAGCCAATGAGACTTGCAAGTAAGTTGCAATCTTTGAGCTTAACGTTGTAGCGGCAACAACAGTAAGGAAGGTCGCATGTCACTTGCGGATGTCATTATCCTATTTTAGTTTTAGACACTTAAGGGCCTGATTGGCAAGTGCTTTAGAGTCTTTACAAAGCAAAAAAAATTTCTAAAGCATTGAAATAGATCCAATCAAGCTTTAGAAGCTTTAGCTTTCCTTTTTTTTCTCACAGCCAAAATATTTCCATAATTAATTTTTTTGGCTGTAGAAAGCCTTTTTTTCTAAAGCATACAATTTTTAACTTTCCAAAATTTTAAATGTTACAGCAAAAATACTACAGCACTAAAATCTACATTCACAGCCAAAACATCTACAGCCTAAAATCTACAGTAAAAAATCTACAGCTACAGCCGGAACCAATCAGGCCCTAAGTCTTCACATTTTATTGTAATCACTACTATTTTTATACATTTATACAACTTTTGAAAAAACTAAAAACTCTTAAATATCATATTATTAAATTTGCGCCATGTGTATACATGTGAAACGTTTTAGGTAAGTTTTACGGCTATAATAAACTTGTCGATTATGTTATCTTTATCAAATTTATTGACTGGACCATTAATGAAAGAGATCAAGCAAACAACTTAACTGTTTTATGATGATCTACTCTTTTTGGTAAAATTAGATGGAAAATCATTATTACCAATAAATAAACAAAAACTATGAAAATATCAGATAAGGCTCAATTTATGTTTTAGAAAAAATAGTGGTTGAATTTTTATTAATGAAATAATTTGAGGGTTCAACATAGAAATATTTAAATTGCAACATAGAAATATTTAAATAGTAAAACCGGTCCATCGGTAGTTGCCTCACAACGGGTCAATTTCAAAAAGATCACCGACAGTGGACCTAACCATACTCTTTTAAACCCTCAGAGTTGTAGAAAATTACGATATTGCCATAAAATTCCTCGTGACCTGTCCCCCGTACCCAATAAGTACCACGAAAATTGCTAAATTTAGGAAAATCAATTTTGTTTTTTGAGGAAACAACAAAATTAGAATACACGGAAATTAAAGAAAAAAAGAAATCACATTGGTTGTATATAAATCACATTTCTCATCTTCAGATTCTTTTTTATCTATCCGTCTTTTCTCCGATCGCTGAATCTTGAGGATCTCTAGATTTTCTCATCTCTGTAGAGTCCTCTGGTTTTCGGAGTTCTTGTGAGAGAATCTAGGGTTTTCTGGTAAATCTCGATCGGGTTTTGGTTTCTGGGATTTTGATTTGTGATTCGAAGAATTGCCATTTTCTTTGATTACTCCATTTTTTATTGCGATCTCTACCGAGATCATTGAGGGATTTTATTAAATTGAATTTTTGAAATTGAGGAAGACGATAGAGTTGTTGAGCGGTATTGATCTTCTGGTGTGAAATATTTGGTCATCTTTTTTATATCTTGCTCTTTTGTATTCCTTGTGTATAATCTGGGAAGAGACTCTTTGAGTTTAAAGATGCAACAAAGTCAGGAGAAGAAGGTTGGTTTCTTATGATTCATTTTTTCTTGACATATTTTTACTGGATTTTGATCATTTATGTGTTAATGCTATGTTTCAGAACATGAAAGAAATGGAGTTTTTCACTGAGTATGGTGATGCTAATCGTTATCGGATTCTTGAAGTCATTGGGAAAGGAAGCTATGGAGTTGTTTGTGCAGCTATTGATACACATACAGGAGAGAAAGTTGCGATAAAGAAGATTAATGATGTCTTTGAACATGTCTCTGATGCTCTTCGTATTCTTCGTGAGGTTAAGCTTCTACGGCTTTTAAGGCACCCTGATATTGTTGAAATCAAAAGCATCATGCTTCCGCCTTCTAAGAGGGAGTTTAAAGATATTTATGTGGTTTTTGAGCTCATGGAATCGGATCTTCACCAAGTCATCAAAGCTAATGATGATTTGACTCGTGAACACCATCAGTTTTTTCTTTATCAGATGCTTCGTGCTTTGAAGTATATGCATACAGGTGAAAATTCTGTCTTTTGTTTCTCTGAAATTTTGCTGTAATTCGAAAACTTTGTAATTGATTGGATTCTGTCTTGGTGCAGCTAATGTCTACCATCGCGATCTTAAACCGAAGAACATATTGGCAAATGCAAACTGCAAGTTGAAAGTCTGTGACTTTGGACTAGCAAGAGTGTCGTTTAATGATACACCTACAACAGTCTTTTGGACGGTATGCACCCTTGTCTACACATTTTGCTGTTAACTGTTAATTCAGTTCTGGTAATCTCTCCAGTGTTTTTGAATTTCCTTCTTTTTTGTTCCAGGATTATGTTGCCACAAGATGGTACAGGGCACCGGAGCTCTGTGGATCGTTCTGTTCTAAGGTTGTTGTATTTCTTCTTCTTCTTTCTTGTATTCTTGTTCCCTTTTTCTCTGTGGTTGTAAAGTTATAGGTTTGGTGTAGAATCTATGTGGAATAGAGGATGTTATAGATATGTCTGGTACTCTACACGTTAGAGTTGTGTCCTATGGGATAAAATGAACCCACACATGAAACAGTTTCTTGTTCAACCTCAGGTAGCCTAGGCACTTTTTCAGAAATTTTCGCTCAATATTCTGATATGCAGTTTTTATTGTTTGCAGTATACTCCAGCAATTGACATTTGGAGCATTGGCTGCATCTTCGCTGAGGTATTAACAGGGAAGCCTTTGTTTCCTGGAAAAAGTGTTGTCCATCAGTTAGACTTGATTACCGATCTTCTTGGCACACCAAAATCAGAGACCATTGCTGGAGTATGTTCTCTTTGCTTCTACATTACTGAGTTCTTTTTTTTTGCTGGGAGGAGACATGCATAACTTATAATATGTCTCTAATGCAGGTTCGAAATGAAAAGGCTAGAAAATATTTGAACGAAATGAGGAAGAAAAATCTTGTCCCCTTTTCTCAAAAGTTTCCTAACGCCGATCCTTTAGCATTGCGCCTTTTGCAAAGACTGTTGGCTTTTGATCCAAAGGATAGGCCGACTGCTGCAGAGGTGCGTGTTCTGTCATTTCTCGTGTTACTAGATTCTTTTCTTTTCTCCATCATTAGAATAACTGACTAACTTCTAGTGCAGTAAGCTCTAGTTCATATTCTAGCTCCTCACATGGTGATGTTAACATTGTGATGTTTTTTTACAGGCGCTGGCTGATCCTTACTTTAAGTGCCTTGCTAAGGTTGAAAGAGAACCTTCTTGTCAGCCGATCTCGAAGATGGAATTTGAGTTTGAAAGACGACGGTTGACAAAGGATGACATTAGAGAACTAATATACAGGGAGATACTAGAATACCATCCGCAGCTGCTCAAGGATTATATGAACTCTGAAGGCTCAAATTTTCTATATCCTAGGTTGTTACTCCTTCCCCTTTTAAACCATAGTCATGTCTTCCTTTTGTAGCAAAATAAATGTGAGACATTACACTTTCTCGTTATTCATTTCCACTGACGATTGAATTTTACATTGCAGTGCCATTGGTCATTTGAGGAAACAATTTGCGTACCTAGAGGAAAATAGTGGCAAAAGTGGGCCAGTCATACCTCCAGACAGGAAGCATGCTTCACTTCCACGGTATGTTTTCTAATCCGTTCATAACAAGGGTGTAGAATATACATCTCTGTTGATTCAGTATGGCACTTGTGATTAATATTTACCTCTTCATCTTTGTAGATCTACAGTTCACTCCAGTGCAGTAAACTCCAACGCTCAACCCAGCTTAAACGCATCAGACAGTCGACGTGTTTCTATTGAGCCTTCAAGAAATGGAGTAGTTCCATCAACTTCAGCATATTCAACAAAACCTTTAGGGCCTCCACCAAGAGTACCATCAGGTAATTCCCGAACTATAATCTATGAAAGTAATTGACTTCTTCTCTGGGGCTGGAAATTGTAGCAATCTCTTATCACAGTTAATATCACAAATAGATGCACAGTATTGTTCTCAAAGTCAATCGCCTTCGTTATGTCTTAACAGGTAGACCAGGCCGTGTTGTGGAATCATCTGTAACTTATGAAAATGACAGAAACCTTAAAGAGTCGTCCTATGATGCAAGGACATCATATTACAGAAGCACAGTACTCCCTCCACAGACCGCATCTCCTAACTGTTTCTTCCATCCTAACACCATGAACCAAGAGAAGCGTGGTGGTACAGAAGCTGCATCTCAGCCAAAACCGCAGTTTGTACCCACCCAATGTAACTCTGCCAAACCAGCTGAGCTGAACCCAAACCCTTATGTCCAATCACAACACAAGGTGGGTATTGATGCTAAGCTGTTGCATGCACAATCCCAATATGGTCCTGCTGGAGCCGCCGCAGTTGCAGTAGCAGCTCACCGGAACATTGGCGCTGTTGGGTATGGCATGTCTTAGAATTTAGCACATTGGCGCTGTTGGCTATTGCCAGAAACTCCTCTTGTTAGTCGTTATGTAATGTAAGTATTATTCGATCAAGCCTGATTTGAACACATTTGAGATTGTAATAAAAATGGTTCAGTTTAACCCCACCAACCGTCTCAACGAAATCCAAATGTGCTCTCGGAAACTGTTCCGGTAAGCCTTGATCATCCAAGTGATATCTTCCTGTCGGAAGAGATTTATTGTTGTCTTTCAAGATCGGGACATTGTTTACTATGTCAAAAAGAACAAAGGGTTACAAATTTTTTTTTAATGTTAATACAAATTGACCTCTTGGCTAATAAAACAGAGCACTGCCAAAGAATTTACAAGTCCTAAGATGTGGTTGGTTCGTAGATTTTTCTAGTCCGTAAACTATTGTCTTTCACACAACAGAAATAGTAAATTATACTCAATGGTTACAAAAAGATCTGATGTCTACCCAAATTAGTCGTCGAGCGTCATATACTCAAGACCATGCATATGAGAAATCAATAGGCTTAACCAAGGGTGGATAGATTCAAATTCCGGGTGAGTCTGATCGCCAGTAAAAAACGTGTGAAAACCGTTCTTGAGCCTAATCCAGCTGCAACCTGGTGTCTTCTTCACATTCTGCTCTTTCATTGTGTCTCTAACGTCCAAGACTTCCTCATACTTACCAGCTTCCACATAAACATTAGACATTAATACATAACCGCCGCAATGCTCTGGCTCGAGCTCATATAACCGCTTTCCTGCCACCAGTGCGAGATCTTTGTTCCCGTGGAGACGACAAGATGACAATATTGACCTCCAGACTACAGGATTATCGCAAACGGGCATTGATATTGCTAACTCATATGCTTCCTCCAGCTTGTCTGCACGGCCAAGCATGTCTATTACACAAGCGTAGTGATCACTTGTTGGGAGAATGTTATATACCGTCTCCATCTGTGCCAGAAAATTTTGCCCTTCACTCACAAACCCTGAGTGGCTACACGCTTGTAGCAACCCAACGAATGTGATTTCATCGGGTTTGACACCGGCTCTGCACATACATGAAAACATATCCAAGGCTAACTCACCGCAGCTCTGCACACCATAACCATTGATCATGATATTCCAAGAAGCTGAGTCTTTAACCCTCATCAAGTCGAAAACCAATCGAGCGTCCCTCAAGTCCCCGCATTTCACGTACATATCCATCAAAGAGTTATGTATGTATTCATTACTGGAATTGCGGTTTACAAGTCCATTGACGATCATGTAGCCATGAATCTCTCTGCCCTGCTTCAGTGAAGCTAGACGACCGCAAGTGGGCAAAACAGTTGTCAATGTAACAATATCAGGTCGGATTCCAGAACAAAGCATCCTTTCGAAAAGAGCTATGGTTCCATCATGATCACCACAGTAGTCATGAACACACAAAACAGAGTTCCAAGTAAACAGGTCTCTCTCATCCATTGCTTCGAATATACTGTTTGCCTCTTCTAGCCATTTACTCTTTCCATACATATCAATCAACGCATTAGACACAACAATATCAGAATCAGATCCCGTTTTCACCGCAAGACCATGGATAGACTTACCGTTGTCAATATCCCCTGACACAGTAAATGTTGATAAGACGCTAGTGATGGTATGCCTACTCATGCCTACACCTTCTTCACGCATTTTACTAAAGACTATTAAAGCATCCTCAAATCTAAAAATCTGTGAATACCCATTAACCAAGGCATTCCAAAGCACACTGTCATCTCTATCAGGCAATTCATCGAACACCTTCTGAGCATCCTCCACTGACATGAACTTCGAGTAAGAAGTAACTAAGGCACTCCCTACATAACAATCGGAATCAAACCCAAGTTTAAACGCCAACCCATGAACCTTCTTAACATCAGAAATCTCCATAGCATCGCTTCCTTTTAGCAAACTAGGAAATGTATACTTATCAGGTAAAATCCCATTAGCTCTCATTTCTCTGTACATCTCCATCGCATCCGAAGGAGACCCATTTACCACAAACCCAGAAATCAAAGCGTTATAACCAAACACATCGCGTTCTGATCCACCAAAGACCAACACCGCACGCCGCATAAGACCACACTTAGCGTACATGTTAACGAGGCTCGTGACGGCGCGTGGCGAATCATCGAGAAACCCTTTTCTAACCATGAAACCATGGATCTGTTGGCCGGAAACAGAATCTTTTCTCTGTGCACACCGTTGCAATGTGGCGATAGATGTAGCAACATTGTGGTGCTCGTATCTCTTCGGGTGTTCTTCGATTTGCCCAGAAACTGTCGAATATAAAGATGCGAAAGTAGAAGGATTTATAGCTGCGAAGAAATCTGGGTTACGTGGGAGAAGCTTCAGAACTCCGGCAGACAAATTTTGAATCTTGATCCGTAGAAACAAAACGGTCATGGTTTTTTGTCCCACCACGATTTAAGAAGATGATGTTATTTGAAAAATATTAATAATGTTAATGGGCTTACGAAGGAAGAGAGGGGAGAGGCCTTTTACTAAAATAGGCCCATTTAAGCTGTTAACAATATTTAAAAGTCCCACATCGCTTATATGGAAGAAAGAAGCCGCGTTTATATATCGTTGGAGTTGAGTAAGTGATTGCCCCTTCGGGGACATCCGATAAAATTGGAACGATACAGAGAAGATTAGCATGGCCCCTGCGCAAGGATGACACGCATAAATCGAGAAATGGTCCAAATTTTTTTTGCAAAATTTTCCACATCGATTTCTTCTTCCTCTGTGTTCTTCTAGGTTCGATTTCTGGGTTTTTTTCTTCTCCGTTTCGTGAATCATAAGTGAAGTTTTTGGTGCAAATCTGCGCGTAAAAAGTAAGATTCCAGGTTTCTCGAACCCTAAAATTCGACCTGCAATGAACATAGTTAGATTGCTAAGACAATCTGATTGGTTCGTTGTTTCAGTTCTGATGGTCGGGGAGAGTTTGTTTCCAGACGGCGACACCAATGCTTTTGACCTTTTGTTAACCATATTACGGGTACACAAAATGTATAAAGAGAGATTTCCGGTTAGGTTATCGGTTTTGGTTGAACCAACGGAGCCATTTATTTGCCATTAGCGTCTAATTGGTCATAGGGGTTTTCTAGATATTGAGTCAAGGATTGAATCAGGCTTTTGGCCATGTAAAACTTCATCAATCCAAACACTGAACATAATCATACAGCCTTGAGAAAACATAAACTTGAATGCTCTGTCATCTTTTGTAAACATGAACTATCAAACACAGAAATTTAAACTGCTCTATCATCATTTTCTTTTGGAGAATGAAATTAGATTGACCAAAGATTGGAACATAACATTGCTTTCACAAAAATATGATAAACTTGATAGCATTTAGGACCAGTCTCACTAATCAAATAAAGAAGAAAAAACGTTTTAAAACAATCAAATACATATGAGTGGAAGCTTCAGAGTTGCAAGCAAAAGCATGGTCATCATGGCCTTGAGCTTTCTCTTACTTCTTATCTTCATCTCTGGCAACAATCTTGTACTTTCCACTTTCCTGTTGCTGACAAACAAAATTAATCATCAAAATTGAGCCTTAACAGATACATACACAACTAAACAGATCAGAGAAAATCTTATACAAATCTTACCCTTTCCCATAGTTTAGTATGCTCATTACAGAAACCAACAACAATACCACCACTCTTCTTGTCTTCACGATACTCAATGCAAAGATCTTCCTTCAACCCACAAGTAACATGAAAAGCCAACTTACATCTCATCTCCGAACACTCGATAACACAACCGCGTCTAACCGTACACAAATAACACCTATCTTTCCATCTCTTACTCGGTATCTCGCTACAACAAATCCCTTCTCTTCCTTCAGGATCCTCAAAGTAAACTTCAGGCACAAACAACGCGCAAGTAATATGAGCCCATCTACCATCATTAGTAGGTTTCATCGCTCCCCCTTTAGTTGTACACAAGCAGCAAGAGAAAATCTTTTCTCGCTTCTTCGATGATATACACTGTCTACAAAACCAATCACCTTCTGGTATAGCCTTAACAAGAGGATTCCCATAGCAAGAAGCATGAACCATCAAATCACAACCATCACAGAACACAATTGGATTCGATGGATCACCATCTGTGCTTTGACATACAACACACATAATCCCATCTTCATCTTCTACTTCTACTTCTCTATCAGATAGATCTAAAACTTTTTCTTTCCATAAAGGATCTATATTCTCTTTATCATCATCTTCTACCTCTAAACTAGATTCAACTATTAAAGTTGACTTTTTCTCAATTGACTTCTCCTCAACAGAAGGAGGCTTATACTCTACATTCAGATCAAAAGGCGAAAAGGGGTTACCGGAGAGCAAATCAGGATCAATCGCCCAAATCCTTTTCTTCGCCGGAAGACAATGATAGGTGGGATTGGAGTTCTCGGCATCGTCGTCGAAATCAACACGAGTCTGCTTCCTCTTCTTCGCCGGCAACTGCAACGACTTCGCCTCTGGTTGGTTCGGTAGCTGGTGCTGTTGCGCAGCTTCGAGATCTCGCTGCATCAGTCTTAATCTTTTGAGAGGAGGTAGATCTTGATATTGAGCTTCCATGGCTTATAGTTTCAGATCTCTGGGTTTGTGTGAATGGAACAGTCGTAGATCTCAGGGAAATTAAAGGGGAAACGAAAATTGATATTTACCCGCCAATTGTTATATGTGCGCCAAATTTCTGAAATTTTGTTCTGATTTTTAAAATTTCGTTAATTTTCTTCTTTTTTTTTTTTTTGGTTCATCAACCGAATTTAAAATTTTAGAATTTTACCCGCCAATTGTTAAAAGGTGCGAGGGAGTTTGATCTTATATGGGCCTCGATTCGGGCCATTGTTAATGGGCTTATTTTTATAAAAAAACACTGTGGCCTCTATTTTTCTTAATTAACAACACTTTAATATGTTGGCTTTGTTCACATTCTATCAGACTATTAGAGCAAAGTTACAAAAGGGAGGCTGCTTTAGTTTCATGAGTTTCCTGGAAAAATTGACGATTTTGACTTCTTCATCGATGTCCTTGTGGTGGCGGCTGCTGCTGCTGCTGCTGTTGCGGATCATAGCCACCAGCCCACGGAGCTTGCGGTCCGTATGGAGGAGGATAATAGCCAACAACGCCTGCTTGTGCCTGAACCAGCATTGTCATCATATCAGAACATTAGTTTCTCTGTGTATAAATGTATGCACCTAAAAAACTACAAGAATAGCAGATATATAAAGACAGTTGTGTTCAGTTAGATATTCTGTCACAGGTTTCATTGACCACAGCACACATTGTTGTTGACTCGAGATTGGTCTAATAAATCGCTTAAGCCAGTTCTGTTTTACACCAGATTGACTTGTTTGAACCTTAGGCTGTACTATTGGCTACTGAAATTCGGTTCAAATCAAAGATTCAAAGTTCAAAAGTGTGAAACTGTCTAGTTAGAACTATGGTGAGTGCAGACATAGCATCTACATCTACTATAGCACACGCAATGCTCTTCTTGGTAAAAACTAAAAAAGAGATTCCCATGGGAAAGAGATAAAATTCAAAAATTTATCACTTACTGGATTCATGGCATAGTTGGGTTGATAAGGATTCACAGGATACCCAGCCTCAGGATTTCCATAGCCACCACCATAAGCAACTCCACCTGATCAAGAACATGTTTTTTGCTTAACATTGGTAATATGCATTCAACTGTTGATCGATTCTATATTGCTACTAATGCATTTAATAGGCATTGTGATGACTGCTTATAAAGGTTTACACTTATTCAAGATTATCATACCAGGATTCCCAACAGGACCAGTTGCATGAGCCCTCGTTTCTGAGTTAACAATCTCTGCTCGAAGCTTCTCCAGTTCCCGAGCCATTGCAACTAATTTATGCTCCATAATTTTGCCATGCTCGTAGTTTTCAGCGTACCCTTTCTTCTCATAATCAATAGCCGCTCTACAAAACAGAAATCACAGCTTATAATACATATTATCATCAAGATGAACAAAGGCAAATTTAAAAAAGAGACTGGTCAAACCTTGCGCGTTGCAGCTCTTGCTTTGTGTTCTCAATTTCTGCAGTTAGTGTTGGTATCTGCTGCAAATCTGCTGTAAGTCTAGCCAAATCTTGAGTCATGACATGAACCTGACTCGTTAGTTCCTGCCTACCTGAAGTAAACTCTTTGATATCCGCACGGACCTTTTGAATCTCAGCTCGCATAGCATCAACCTCACGCAATTCCATTTCGGATCGCATAGATTTATCATACATCTCCCTCATCATAATCTCTTCCTCAGCTCTCAAGGAATCAATGTAATGCATCATTCTTTGCAATTCATGCTGAGCAACTTCTAGCTCCTGTTTAAGCGCAACATGAGTAGCAGCCAGCCTCTGGTTATCAGCAAGTAAACCCTGCACATCTTGATTCTGAGCAGCGAGACGATCCTCCAAAATCGAAAACTGTGGAGGAAGACCTCTTGCATCCACTCTAAATTGGGTTTCTCTACTATCATCAATCATAGAAGGACGAGGAGGAGGCACTGGTCCTCCTCCCAAGCCTCTAACGAAAGGCTGTTGATGAATCGGAGCTTGTAAGCCATTGTAAGATCCACCTTTCATTGAAGGAGGAGGAGGTCCACGATTTCTTCCAGACATTATCTTAATGTTTAACACTCTGATCTTAGAATCGTTGAAAACTGCTAACAGAAACCAAATTCTCAAGGATCAAAATCTACAAAGTTTCAAGAGGTCTTATGCTAAATACTAATCAGAAGCGCAATTATAGTTTCAATTTCTGGTAAATTCGAGCACATCAGAATCACGAACTAACCTTCGACGACGAACAACAGAAGGTTTCGCAACCGGAGAAAACACAAATTAGGGTTCCTGAGATAACGCCTAAGTCACCAAATCGGAGATCGACCAGCTTAAAACTCTTCGAAGAATGTTCGCACAACTGTAGAAACTCCGATGAGCTCAAGGGAGACCAAAACCTTCAAATTCTCTCTAATTCGCCGGAAAATATATAAAGCGGAGGTTTGTTTACTAATAGTAATATTTTGAATTACACCTTCTATTTTTCGTATTTACAGTATCTCTCCATAATACTACCTTATTTTCAATTTTTACCCACTTGTTTCAGATTTTTCAATTTGTACCAACTTGTTTCGGATTTTTCAATTTGCTCCTCCATCTTTAATTTGTGGTACCTCAGGTCCATAGGTTAGGTCCACCCAACAAGAACATGAATAGACGTTGTGTGGCTCGTGATCTCATCAAAACCTTGTGTCCCCACAAGCTTATATAGATTTGATATTACAAACTAAAACAAACCATGCAAGTAACCTCAAATCTTAAATATAATTTAATCAAAATTTGACTACCTACCTGATTACAATTTGATCATTCATTTTTTGCTAATTTTAACCAAAATTTGACTATCTACCTGATTAACTCTTATCTTAAAAACGATACTAAAGTTTATACAACTTTCCAAAAGCTTACAATCATACAAAACGTTACAATCATACGACTAATAACAAATGTTATATTTAATTTTTTTTGTATGCACAATAAATTTATATAGTTTCCGTTACAAAGACTACAACGGATATATTTAACACCGCAGTTATATCTATACCCAACACAATGAACCAACAAGTTGAGATGAAAGATTTTATTGATGGGTAGATAAAAACTATAGGTTATAAATATCATAATGATGAATAAATCTATAACGGTGGAATTCACATGAAGCTCACCAATTTCACCTATATACTTTGCTCTCACGACAGACTCCTAAAAAAGACCCCAAATTTAGCAAACAATGGAAGCCTTGTGGAAGTTGGAGGAGAAACTGAAGCTAACTACGAAAGAAGCTGTTGTGATCTTGGTCGAAACAGCGGCTGCGGTAACGCTACTCTGCATAGCCGCAGCGTTTCTCAACCGCAATTCTCGAGGGAAGCAAGTAGCAGACGCAGAGTGGGCGTCCGAAACAGCGTTTGCGTCAAGGACAATGGAGGAAAAGAGGAAATGTAAGTGGAGCAAAGTGAAGAAAACATTGATGGGTTCGTTTTGTTGGAGCTCTGCAGCTAAGTGGATGGAGATGGAAACAAGGCGGCCGCCACCATTGCTTGCGGCTAAAGAAAGGAGTCTTAATGCGGTTGATCCTGTTTGGCAGCGACCGATTCTGATGGGTGAGAAATGTGAATTGCCTCGGTTTAGCGGCCTTATATTGTATGATGAACGCGGCCATCCGCGTCATCATCCTCAACTTCAAGAACAAGTGAGTGTTAAATTACTCATTATCTATATTTGACAGCAAAAATGTTGTTTTTTTTTGTTGTCAGAGATGAATAGAAGTTCTTGTCATTGCGGTTTTGTAGGTAAAACAAAGTTCTCTGGTAAGAACAACTCTGAGAGATTTGCTTTGATAGTGGTTTTCTCGGCAAGGAAGTCTATTGAAGTTTCGTGTACAACAAGTTAAAAACCAACGATGAAATTAGGTCAGATTCTGAGAATGCTAAAAAACATCTGTATGTATCAATGTCTTATGTGATGTAGATGCAAAATTTCTTTCCTTTGTTTTTTTGTGTTTTTGATTGCTTAGAGGTACAAGGAAAAGCAAAATCTTACGAACAAACAATTTGCTCCAAATAGATGGGTTTTTTTTGTGGGTGTGTGTGTTTTTGATTGCTTGGAGGGGCAGTGGAAATCTTATGAACAAACAAAATAGAAAAATCTTTAACAAACAAACAATATGTTGGTATAATATGTTCTTCAAATCAACCCACCTGAGATTGCCATCTCAAAGAAACAAAATCTTATGAACAAAAAAATAGAATAATCTTCAAAAAAAAAAAAACAATATATGGACAAATGTTATCGACGCACCATGAGATTTCCACCACACAAAAACACAATTCACACCAGTGAATCTGTTATGTGTCTTCAGATAATCTTAAGCAATTGAGCCATCAAAACTGAAAAAGACCTCCATCCTTCGATCATGACAGAAGCCGAGAGAATAAACATCTTCACGCCATGAGAGAACGAAAGCCGGTAGATAGTCACAAGGAGCTACACAGAGTAGACAACAATAACAACAACAAAGAATCTTGATGTAACCACATTTTCTGGTTTTTCCCCCCCACTGTAGATTTGCTTCTTTTCCCGAACCTCACACATAAGAAACAAGCAAAGGCTCTTTTGTTTCTTCTGCTATAGAATTCCTGTGAAAGTAACAGTACAAAGCCAGCTGCACAATACCAAGAATTGTTCCTATTCCATTTGGTGTCTGAGTGGAAAAAGACAAAAAGTTTTGTTAATACTCTAATGAAAAAAAGCATAGATTGCAATAGCAATTATTGTAGAGTAACTTACATAAACAAAGGCGTCGCTATTGAATAACCCGTATAGAAGGAAGGAAGCGCTCATCAAGAAAGTTGATAGTGAGAGGTAAAACGGCATAAACTCAACGCTCTTAGTCCGAATCACTAGGTTCTGCGAAGAGCAGACAAGTCAGGCAATCAAGAAAGTTGCATAGTCTTGAAAAGATTTGGCGACATTTTTGGGAACTTACGATAACAAACAAAGGCGAGGCAAACATTGAAACAAGAGAACCGCAGCTCAAGAACCCGACAAAGTACCATCGTGTGAGCTGGTCAGGTATCTGTAGACTTCCAGCTACAATCACTCCAACCACAGCAAACACCACAAAAAGCAAACCAAGCATCTTCATCTGCCATGATCAAAATGTTGATTAGAGTTGCTAAAGAAACACAATTTCCGTGTGACTAAGAAGTAGAATCAATAAAAAAACCTTGTTCTTCTTGTCTGTATGCAAGATGAATAGGATAATGTAGCAAAGCTGAAAAGTGGCTCCAACAGAATTCACAGTCATAAGCATGGTATTGCTGTGTGATACGAAAGGTGTACCATACCAAAGGCAGATCAAGCAATTTAAGAGAGCGTAAATGTATGGTAAACCGGAGAATTGCTCCGTAGATTTGTTCCTCATGATCCTCCTAAACGTTGGCCTGAAAAAAAACAATCAGTCAAGTCCATAGAACTCTGTTTAATACAAGGAAGGAGCAAGTTTAGTAAGTGAAAAAAAGAACTCACATTGGTGAAACGAAGAGCCCAAATGCAAATATGTTGCCTGGACACAGAAGAACGATGAAACAGTATTAACAAATGGAAAAAGTTTCTATCTTTTGTTTGTGAATTGCATAAATTTGGACTCTACAAGAAGCAGATTTCTTGAATTTTCCGACAAAAATGAGCAGAAACAACATTTTTTTTTTTTTTTTTTTTTTTTTTTTAACAGAAACAACATTTGAATCTTATTAACGTTGTTTCAGTGCCCAGAAGACGAAAAGTGCGGACCAAAAATGGACAAACATATATACTGATTTGGGTATATTCATGGAACCTAAGCCAGATCTGGTTATATAGTTTATGGAATTATGAAAGGAATTTGAATATTGGGTTTTCCAAAATTAGCTAAAAATTTACCAAAAAAAAAGCAGTGAATAGATTAAATTTATTTCTATTTACCTGCGATTCCGGCAACATCTTTACACATGGATAAAGAAGCATTGAAAGCAAAAACATCCATGAGGAAGCTTCTCTGTCTTAAACTCTCTGTTTTTTTTTCCCACTTGAGAACAACAAAACTTCTTTTTTTTTCGTGCTCTGTTCTGTTCTTATGGAGACGGATTAAAACGCAAAAGAGAGAATTAATAATAGAGATGCAAGATTTCTTCTTATAGAAATGAAAAAAAAAACTGAAACCCAGAAACTTCAAAGAAGACTTTCTTAAAAAGGTAAGGAGCAAAAGGCTGAATGTGTACGACTATATATATGCGGTCCAGATTTGGCTGTCTCTACTGTTCAACTATCTTACAAACAAATTAATTACAAAAAAAAAGTGTCGTAAACTTATATATATATTGTTCATAAATTCCAGTAAAATAATATAGATCATGAAAAAAATTAAGCTAAAAGTAAACCATGCATAAATCATCTGAAACTTATCTTATAAAAGTCAAAATTTGATCCCATTGATTAAAAGATTGAAGACACTCGAAAGGTTTTCGAAATCATGTCCTAAAAGAGACACTTAAATTAAATGACTTCTCTGTTTTAGCCTGAGCTGTAACGTTGATCCCAGCTTTATTTTTTTATGTTTTTCGACATTGATCCCAACTTGATTATCTGAAATAGTTGCTGACCAATCAATTTTTCTCGTTTTTGGATTGAGTGTTGAGCTTCTTTTTTTTTTTTTTTTTTTGTGTGGTCTACATTTGACATTCTCTTACTCTAGAATTTTAAAATGATACAAGAATATAATAATAATTAACATTTGGTGGTCGTGTGCTCTAGTCTACTTCAACAAGCTTTCGTGATTAACTCTATGTGTCTCGCGCTGAGTCACTCGTCATAATCTTAAAACCCTGCGGCTGAAAAATCCAATGGCACACGTAAATTACACTTTCTTTTCTAAGAGCATTGTTAATAAACCCCGTCAAGAGAACAAATCCCATTTGGTTTCCAGAAAACCATCATAATCTTACTATTCTTCCAGGACTCATTTTGCCTCTCAGTTTGGTCAACACGTTCACTATCCTATTCCTAGCGAGACGCTACTCATACGCTCAGTATTACAATTAAAGCACAATAGTATATTCAGTTAAAGAACAATAATTTACGTTATGAGTGAAGTTATTATGTACGTTATGTGAAAATGTATAACTTCACGCGAGTGAATACAAATATGTGATCGAGATCAGATAATATAAAATAAAAAACATTAACTTGTGAAGAAATTAACGATTTTCCGATAAATCATTAGATTTTGTCTTAAATTAATATATTGATATCACCGATTAAATAGTTGATTAAGCCATGTCGCTGTCTCGCTGAACTACGTTTAAAAGCGAAGCCACGCGATCTGTATATAACAAAGCGTGTGGACAATCAATCTTTAAATCTAGCTAACATTACGCAAATTTCACGAATTTTTCTATATATATACGTATTCCATGGGTTTGACTTTTACTTTGTGACACATATATTCTTCATTAAGCGGATTGGTTAAACAGTTTTAAACCTTTCTTTACAATAAATAATTACTATCACATAAACGTAACTCATGTAAAAATAAATCGAGCCCTTAGTCACTGTCACTAACCATTCAAAACATTTATTTTTAATTTTAGTTGCGTGAATTATCTAATTACAACATTTATAGTAATCAAGTGACTAAGCACTTAAGCTTATCCAATTTTCAGAAAATTATACGATTCGATTTCTGGTGTATACAAAATGTATACGGCATTAATAGATATTTTATAATGTAACGTAAAAATATATTTTCTTTTTGTAAAATTATATAAGAAATATCAACTAGATTAACCAGAAAAACACGTGAATTAAGCAAAAGAAAAGTCATTATGAGACTTTTGCGATTGATTATAATTTTTTGGTGGCGCTCTGAATGGCTTGGTTTTGAATATGCTTTAGTCATTATATAATTTAAATATTCGGAGAAATATATAACCTACGTAATAAAATGTGTCTAGTTTTGTTATTTGTCTAAATAATAATTATGACCAGGCTTTAACGAATGAAAAGTTAACAAGTTATGATTAATTATTGCGTTAGAAAAAGTTTGAGAGACATAAATGATAAATGATAAATCAATAGATCACATCACGTAAACATCAACAAATAATTTGTTGATTTTTAAACGTGCAAATACTTCTGTCGCAATTTCCTTCAATCGTACAGTGGAAAAAAAACACGCATGTGTTAAAAAGAAATGTGGATGAGAATTGATACGTAAAAGTTGCTAAATTCATGAACAAGCCAGTGGTAATATGCCATGTGCACCGCAAAAAATAATCATCAACTACAATGGGTCAAATTTCTTCTATTTCCAAGTAGTGTCTATCTATACAAAATTAATTCTATTCATACTCTAGTTATTATTTTCCATATTTTGAATAAACTTATTATCTTTTCTTTTCTTCTTTTATATTTTGTATATATGTATATGCTTAAGGAATTACATCTCTTTTTTTTCTGCCATGTAATTCCTAAACAAAAATAAAATTCGTAAACTAATTAAATATCCGAAAATCTATTTTTTAAATAAAACTGAAATGTAAATATTGATTGTCTTACAAACCATAGGAGAATAAAACAACTAGATAGAAAATCAAACTTTAAAGGCTTAGTTTGTCGTTATTGTTGTTTTCGGTTTGGTTTGCTCTCATAGATGGAGGCACTTGGTCTGGAAACATGTTTTGCATCATGTTAGTCCAGAAATCGACATCCTTGAGTTTCAGGCCCATTTCTTCAATCTTCTTCTCCACCTTGTTCAACTTTTCTTGTGTCTCGAGATACTTATCTTCGTAAAACAAAGATGGAACCGCGGAAGTACTCGGTCTGACATTGTCCTCCATTGACCCACATGCAAAACATTTGTCTTTCTTTATTTGAACTTCCTGAAAACCCAAAAATTATTTTTAAGAAATAGTTAGATGATATATTTAACATTATGGTTAACTAAATTTAAAATGTGTCACCTCTTTGTATATGTCATCTTTTTCAGTTCGGGTGAGATGGTCTGACTGGACGGAATCATCTCCTTGAAACATTTGAGTTAGTCTCTCGTCCTCCAGGGCTTTGCACTTCTCAACTATTAACTCGGCTTTTTTGTCGGCAAAGGTCTCGTCCGACTTTATCTTGTTGGTCTCCTCTATTGAGGTGTCCATATTAAGGAGTTCAGCAATCTCCTCGTCCCGGTTTAATTGTATACTTTCTGTGGGTGAGGCATAACCGATACTTGTATCGATTTTCTTGAAAATTTCATACAAAACAGAAGCAATTCTGCGTGCGTTTATCAACTTCTCTCGCTGACTATATTCAGATAAATTTTCATAGGTAAATGTTGGCTCGCTGAAATTGAACTAGAACTAGCAATAGCCAGTAGATTATAAAAAGCAAAAGAATTAAAGGATACCTATTATCCAAATTGAATGATGCATCATGTCTGATAATGTATTCCTTGTAAGCATGATAAACACGTTTGAGTTCCTTCGTATCATTCATTTCTTTTCTTCTTCTTGAAGTAAACTCGTCATCCTACAAGGAAACAAGTTAAAGAAGACAAACAACAAAATAAATAGATATGAAAATTCATGAATTGTTCGGAAACTGGTCCACATCATTCATATGATCGGTCATATACTCATATCTTAACAAAAATCAAGAAACTAGCTAGAGGTAATCAGTGTCCCGTTTTCTACTCTTGGGTAGTGACTTGCCTTCTCAAGCCCTCGAAGCAGAGAATCTTTGAACCGCCGTACACCTCTACCGTTGGAATACGGGTCGATGCGGTGAGCTTCTTCAAAAGTATAAAAACGGCCTGCGACAAAGATTAACATATAAATTATGATTCTTTAGCAAGAAAAGCAAGAATTTCGACCCAAAGAAACAGAGAAATCCAAAAGTAGTAACAATTGACCTAAACTTTAGGGAAGAGTAAACTCACATAGATAAGCAACACGAGGTTCTTCAGACTCAACCAAGTTTGCTACACGAAGAAACCTCTGAATCTCTGAAGCTAATGTCTCCGGAAGCTTCTCGCTGTGGTAGGGTTCCCACACATATTGTTCCTGAAAAGCGAGTGGTCTCGTGAACTGGCTGGTTGGCGAATCTTCGGGTAAGATGGGATCCATATCAAGAAAAACATCCGTGGGATCCACGGGAACGATTTCTTGAGACATTTGGGAGATGAAAGCTAGCTGATGATTAATTAATCATCTACTGTTTTGGTTGGCATGGAAATAGGTGGAGATGGAAGGAATTATATAAAGCAGCACTTGCTTAGCGAGGTGAGTTTCTACGCATGGCGGAATTTTTATAATCAACTACGTAAAGGTTTTTCCCAAAAGAAACAAAATAAAAACGGTGTTGAAGTGTAGAAGTGAAACTGACATTTGTTATATGTAATGTTATTGGAGGGAAAAAATGCTTCTTTACTAAATCCGCACTAGAGAAAGTAGTTTCCTAGCAAAAGTTAACACTTTACACCATAATCCAACGTGCTTGGGAGAAGAAAAACCATTATAAAAAAAAAAGTTGAAATAGACCATATATAAAGCAGCCAAATCTTATTTAATTTACATTATGAATTGGAATATAATTAAAGCATATACTTGATGTGCATATGTATCTATTTCTTAGTCAACAAGTATATACCAAAAGATAGAATACAAAAATAACTTGGTCTCTCCAAATCAAACCAAATTGTAAAATGTATATCTTTTTTCTCGTCATTTAAAATAATCATTTTGTTTATTTACAGTAACGGATGTATTATGCATAGACCATTATTAGTGAAGCTTGGTTAATTAATGTTAGTTTTGTTCTAACTAAATGTCTTGTTTTGTTGAATGTGATGATTGAACTTAAGGGGAACTTGATATGTAAAAGGGTTATAGACTAGACTTTCAAGCGCCTATCGTCCACACTATATGAGTCCTGGATATGTTGATTCAGAAAACCCCATGTGCCATAGCTCATGGGCTTAGTAATATGTTATGCAGTTTTTCATAAGCAAGTCATAATTTAAAGGGAAAAAAGGACAAACAAGAAAATTGTTTTTTGTTCAAAAGATTTTTATTGTATTATAAAAAATTATGTTTGTTCGTTCAAAGTTCAAACTACACAAGTTTAAATTTAAACAATACCCAAGAATGAAACCGAAACTCATGCGGACATATGAAAATTTACGTTGCCTATATTTTCGGTTTAAAGTAAGGATAATCTATAGTAAATGAGAAACAATTAATTTCAGGTGAAAAAAAAAAACCATTTTATTTCAAAATGGCAATCTGGTAATTTAGGGAGTCCTGCTGGTTCTCCGTAACTGTCTCAAAAATCAATTTCAGAGGCTCGTTTTCATTCACTCTCTTTCTTCTTCACTGTTTATTTATTTCCATTGATCTCTGCCCTCTCCTCGAATTTTCCCTCCTTTTATAACATCTCTGCATATATTCTTCAAGCTCAAGGTTTGATCTTCACCTGACAATCGATCCGGTACGTGAATCTCTTTCTCTGAGCTAAATTCGTTAGTGTACTGCAATTAAAGCCATGTTCTGAGATTTTGTTTTTCAGTTGATGATTCTTGAAGCTTCCTCATCGTATTTCATTGAATCTGTTGCTCACAATCTGGGGAATTATTTGATTGCTTACATTTGTCATACTTGTGGATCTAGATCTGCATCTTTTTTCCCCTGATCATTTCGAATTTCGGCTAATTCCTTGTATCTATTAGAATCTCATGAGCTTGATTATTGTAGATCTGCTTAGTGTCGTCTATCTGTTTGACTAATTAACATTTTTGGAATTTGATCTGTTATATAAAATGTTGCAGATGGCTACATATATGCCTAAGAACATCCTCATCACTGGTGCTGCTGGATTCATAGCGTCCCATGTTGCTAACAGACTAGTTCGTAGCTACCCTGAGTACAAAATCGTTGTGCTTGACAAGCTTGATTACTGTTCTAACCTGAAAAACCTTAATCCTTCTAAATCCTCTCCTAACTTCAAGTTTGTGAAAGGAGATATCGCCAGTGCTGATCTCGTCAACTACCTTCTCATTACTGAAGAAATCGATACCATTATGCACTTTGCTGCTCAAACCCATGTTGACAATTCTTTCGGTAATAGCTTTGAGTTTACTAAGAATAATATTTATGGTACTCATGTCCTTCTGGAAGCTTGTAAAGTCACTGGGCAGATCAGGAGGTTTATCCATGTGAGTACTGATGAGGTCTATGGAGAGACTGATGAGGATGCTTCTGTTGGAAATCACGAGGCTTCTCAGTTGCTTCCGACTAATCCATACTCTGCCACTAAAGCTGGAGCTGAGATGCTTGTTATGGCATATGGTAGATCATATGGGTTGCCGGTTATAACAACTCGCGGGAACAATGTTTATGGTCCTAATCAGTTTCCTGAAAAGTTGATTCCTAAGTTCATCCTCTTGGCTATGAATGGGAAGCCTCTCCCAATCCACGGAGATGGATCTAATGTGAGAAGCTACCTCTACTGCGAAGATGTTGCCGAGGCATTTGAGGTTGTTCTTCACAAAGGGGAAGTTAACCATGTCTACAATATAGGGACAACGAGAGAAAGGAGAGTGATCGACGTGGCTAATGACATCAGCAAACTCTTTGGGATAGACCCTGTCTCCACCATTCAGTTTGTGGAGAACCGCCCATTCAATGACCAGAGGTACTTTCTGGATGACCAGAAGCTGAAGAAATTGGGATGGTGTGAGCGAACCAATTGGGAAGAAGGACTGAGGAAGACAATGGAATGGTACACTGAGAACCCTGAGTGGTGGGGAGATGTTTCTGGAGCTCTGCTTCCTCATCCACGGATGCTGATGATGCCTGGTGACCGACACTCTGATGGCTCTGACGAGCACAAGGATTCGAATGGTAATCAGACATTCACGGTGGTTACTCCCACCAAGGCTGGTGTTTCTGGAGACAAAAGATCCTTAAAGTTCCTCATCTATGGGAAGACTGGGTGGCTCGGTGGTCTTCTGGGAAAACTATGTGAGAAGCAAGGGATTTCATACGAGTATGGAAAAGGGAGACTAGAAGACAGAGCTTCTCTCATTGCGGATATTCGCAGCATCAAACCAAGTCATGTCTTTAACGCCGCTGGTTTAACTGGGAGACCCAATGTTGACTGGTGTGAATCTCACAAATGCGAGACCATCCGAGTCAACGTTGCTGGAACTTTGACTTTGGCAGATGTTTGCAGAGAGAATGATCTGTTAATGATGAACTTTGCCACCGGTTGTATATTCGAGTATGATGCTGCACATCCAGAAGGTTCAGGGATTGGTTTTAAGGAAGAAGACAAACCAAATTTCACCGGTTCTTTCTACTCAAAAACAAAGGCAATGGTAAGATAATATCACATAACCAAATCACATCTGATCCTCAGTCTCTCAAAACTCTGTCCATAAAAATCCTCTTGTTTCTGTTTTTGCCAGGTCGAAGAGCTTCTAAGAGAATTTGACAACGTATGCACTTTGAGAGTGCGGATGCCAATCTCATCCGACTTAAATAACCCGCGAAACTTTATCACGAAGATCTCGCGTTACAACAAAGTGGTGAACATCCCAAACAGCATGACCATACTAGACGAACTCTTACCAATCTCAATCGAGATGGCGAAGAGGAACCTAAGGGGAATATGGAACTTCACCAATCCAGGAGTGGTGAGCCACAACGAGATACTAGAGATGTACAAGAGTTACATCGAGCCAGATTTCAAATGGTCCAACTTCAATTTGGAAGAACAGGCTAAGGTCATCGTCGCACCACGGAGCAACAACGAGATGGATGGTTCTAAGCTCAGCAAGGAGTTTCCAGAGATGCTTTCCATCAAAGATTCGTTGATCAAATACGTCTTCGAACCTAACAAGAGAACGTAAAACACAGACACACACACACTTCACCTCTCTCTGTTCACTATAATGTTTCTATATGATTCATTTACTCTTTTTTGCATTCTACGACTTACATGTAGCTCTCTTCACTCATTCTACGTCACAACACATGTTTGTTTACATTAAGATTATATTACACAGATCAATTTATTGGAGTTGGTTTTTTCCTTTCATTATTGATTCCTCCTACTCCTATTTATAATTCCTGTTTTGTTTTCATGTCAAGCAAGATATAGAAAAGATTTGAAGACACAGAAAAGAAGAAGAAACGAAATTGACTGATTTTAACTTATTTCCCTTTGCTTTAAAACTTAAGGATTATATTTGTTACAAGAACAATATCTCTCATATGTTGATCTTCCTAATGCATAAATAGAAATTGCAAACTCAAAATGCGAAATAAATTAAACCTCTGTACTTTCTGTTCCATCTTTTGCAACACGACCATCTAAAAGCATTTGGCTTTCTCTTCAGTCTTCACCACCTTAGAGAACTACGAGTGACATTCCATCATCTGTTCATCCTACCACAATTCAAAAGCAACAAAGTTATTCACTTAGAATGATGAAGAAAACGGTGGAAGAGATGAACATAAAGGAGCTCAATACCTTGAACTTTGTTCTTCTCTTCACAGAGTTTGAGTGTATTGTCTAGACAATGGTAAAGATTCTTGGCTCGTTACAGAGATTTCAAGGTAAAAATCAGTAGGAGTTGATGATTGATTGGCTTTTGAGCTCTTATTAAGGAAAGAAGAAGACTTAAATAGAGTTTGGGATTGTACCTTCTGTTTCTGTAGACAACCAGTCATGTGCACAGAACAAAGCCTGTCTGATATCAGGGTTCAAGGAACTCTGGCTATCAGCGATCAACGGTGTCCCAGAGTTAAATGTTGAATTAGGCGCACAGATTGACATCGGCGTCCCCAAAATGTCACGGGCCAGCAAAGAGAGGATAGGGTATCTGGGTGTATGGACCTTCCAGTAATTCAGAATGTTGAACTCGCCACTACGGGGAAAGATCGGTTCAGACAAGTACTTGTCCAAATCCGATGTTGTGTTTAGGTTCTGAGAAGTCTCGTGGAGAAACTTGTCGAATCCTTTCAATCTGTCTCTAGTGTCCATAGCTCTACCTAAGCCAGAGCCAGAGAAGGAAGAGTCTTCACCGACAATAGCTGAGCACATCGAATATGCATCAAGAAGCTCCTTGACACCATTCGACACTTCCTTGATACGATCCAGAGCGGTACTGCCATAGATCTTAGAGTAGTAATACTCTACCAACTTCATCTTGAATCGCGGATCCAATATCGCAGCGATTGCTAAAACAAGGCTGCATTTGTTCCAATACTCATCGAATTTAGCCTTCATATTTGCTGCGAGAGAACTCAAGAAATTGTCCTGGTTCTTGCACCACTCGATCAACTGGATGTGGATATCACACATCTCAGCAAAGTATACATTTGCTGTTGGACATTTGTTTCCTGAAAAGTCAGAGGCAATATCGAATACAAGTTTAAGGTAACCGGTAACGTATCTTGTCCATTCCCACTCCTCGTCGGTTAGAGATGAATCAAATCTGTGATCGTGATCACGCAGATGGCAAAACGCACCCTTGTACTCCAGTACGGTTTCAAGCATCACGAACGTAGAGTTTGAGTTAACAAGAGAATCAAGAACCAAGATCTTTTGGGAGTTGATACCGGCGAGTTGAGCGATTTCGTTGAACCTTACTTGTGTTGATTGTGAGCTCTTGACATATCTCACACTTCCTCGAATCTTTTGGATCACATCTCTCATAGCCTCCAAGCAATCTTCGACAAGAGAATTCAGAAGATGAGCGGCAGATTTCAACTCAAATAACTGCCCGTTGATTAAGATCTGGCTGCTCTGAGACATGTGATCTTTAATTCGCAGGACAATCTCTTCGTTAACAGAAAAACTGTCAAACGTAACAGCGAAAAGCTTGCTCTCAAGACTCCATTCAATCAAACATCTGATGATTACTTCCGAGAGCATATCTTCAGTATGAGAAGGATCCAATGTGATAAAGTTCAGAACATTCCTATGTAGCCTCCACTCCTCATCGATATAATGAGAGGCCAAACACACATAGTTAGCATTATCCCGGGAAGACCACATCTCCACCGAAAGATTGATCTTACCGTATAAATGATTCAAAGTGTGCTGCACTCTCTGCTTCTCCCTAATGTAAATCTCCATACATGAATCCTCAATTGTGCTATTTGGCACAGCTTCAAACAACGGCTGAAGATTCCTAGCAAACACTTTGAACCCAACATGATCAACCATGGCTAACGGATAACCGTGCAAAATAATCATACGTGCAAGATCAACCTGACTCCTTTCTTGACTAAACCTTCCTCCACTTCCTCGGCTAAGAACCACCTCGTCCCTACGTTGGTCCTGATCAAACTTAGGTCTAAGATACTCTTCTTTCGCTTGACCCTCATCAAAATTGATAGTAGCAACAGTAACTGGATTCTCTTTTTTCCTTCTTTTAGGTGTCAGCAGCTGAGACATGTCGTGATTAGTTCTTTTGAGACACCGCATAAGATGGTTCCGAAGATGAGTTGTTCCACTGTTGCTCGAACCACTGAGTTTCTTATTACACTGAATGCAAACAGCATAGCACACATCAGCCTTTCTCACTCTCTCAAAGTAATTCCAGACAACAGATGTCAACCTCTTTGACTTCTGCAAGATTATCTCATTTGATTCATCCATCATACAAAACTTGTACGGCTGCGGCACCAAAATCCCTATTCATTGATTAAAACAACACAATTAGACTGAAACAAAAAGATCAGTTCTTTACACAATTACAAATTTACAATAGTTCTGTGATCATCCTAAAGCATCACCATCAGCAATCAAAACCAAAAAATTCACTACGACGAAAGCTAGAACTGATTACCACATTCATTGATCAAAACAACAAACTTTAGACTGAGAAAAAAAAAACACTTTTTCATACAATTACAATGGCATGAGAGTAACAAAGATCATCCTAAAGCATCACCATCAGCATTACACAGTCATAGCTTTGATCAAAACCAAAAAAATTCACCATTGCAACAGAGATCAAATCACAATAACACAACCACGCAAATTGATTAACTTTATTGAAGGAAATCAATCAAAGCTAAAAACTTTCAGATGAAATTAGTCATACACTAAGAACAAAGAAAACCCTTTTGAAAATTTTGCGAGCAACGCAGAGTTTTTGATATGAAGAAATTAGCCGAGAGAGTGAAAGAAGAACAGAGCATAAGCAAAAGGTTTGAAATTTGGGCACCTTTGTTTATAAAAGAAAAAGCAAAGCCGTCAGAATCTGTGGAGACTAGAATCGGAGGATCCGAGGAGTTCTTTTAAGGGTTACGGGTGGAAGAAGCTGGATCGAAGAATATCAGATCCGATGGACGTTTTGGGTTTTAAAGACCCGTTTTTAGGGGTTCGGGTGGGTTAAACCGATGAAGACGAAACCGGATCCGGTTTTGGATCCGAATCTATCCCGGTTTCGTTGTATCCGGTTTTGGATCTGATTCCCGATCCGATCTATTTTTTCTTTTCTTAATTATAGTAATTCAAAATTAAGATGTTAAGATAATGTTTAATTAAAAAATATGATAAAATAAATGATACTAACTATCATCAAATACATATTTAAGGCTATATTAATTGACCTAGCTAAAAAGATCCAACACAACATCTTATAAAGATGGTTATGAATAATAAGTTAATAACAAATCTCTCAAAAACACTTTTAATCTAAACAATTTATCATAATCTTTCTCATGTACTTTGACGTCTAACAACTTCAATTTCATTTCCTTCTCCTCAATTCTATAAATTATATTTTCTTATTTTTGTTAAGAGTGTATGCTTACTTACCACTAGAGTAATTAGCAAAACAATAATGAAATAGTAGCGAACAATGAAATGAATGTTGAGCCAATCCAATAAAGCTGTTGAAAAAAATAAATGAAATGATTGTTTGTATCTGAAAATTATACTCCCTCCGTTTCAGTTTAGTTGTCGTTTTAGGATTTAAATTTTGTTTCATATTAGTTGTCGTTTTAGGTTTTCAATGCACATGTTTGGTGAAAATTCCAGTTTTATCCCTACTGTTTTAATGTTTTGGCCAATGAATTTTTTTATAAAATATATTAATAAAGGGTAAAACAGAAAATTTAATACTTTTCTTAAGTTGTGTGAAAAAACCTTAAATGACAATTAAAACCAAACGGAGGGAGTAATGAATAACACGGTATTCAATAAAATAGTATACTACAAGAAAATATGTAAAATTCTACCAATTGAGACCATTTCATATAAAGTCGTAAGGTTTTACAATTGCGCCTTTATTTCCTTGATTTAGTAGAACATCATAAAATGTCTCAAGGCCAATAATTTAGCTACAACAATGACTACTTACTGCTGAAATCATCACAAACTACTACTACAAAAGCACTCATACATATTATATACACCAAAAAAATCCATAATCTTCTTTCGTACGACGCAATGAAAAACTCTCTATCTCTAGAACCTTTTCAATTCAAGAACCGTGTTGTTGCATCCATGAAGGAGGAACACGGCCTGAAGACGGTTGATTAGCCGTAGGAGGGAGACTTCGAACATTAATGCTAAGAGGATATAAGCGATACTCGATATCGAGCTCTCTACAAGTTTTTGCCACTTCCTCTAGTAATAGACCTCTTCTTATATACCTCTCTCCCATGTCTTGATGATTCATTCTATGTGTCAACCACACGGCTATCTTCACACTATTCAAGTCATCCATGCTTAGGAACACAATCATAGGTGCAGGATACCAATAATCCTTCTTGTTGTCAACATAACTGCATCAAAACATAAGAAGATACTAGTTTACTCTCAAGAGACTTAATTAACCTAGTGTCATGGTTTAGGGTTTAAGGTTTAACTAACCTTAGTATTCTTTGTTTAATGGCAGTGATCTTTTCAGGAGGAGTTGCTATATGAACACAGAATTCAACCGCGTCTCCCATATCGGGACTTCGGTAATAGTTAGCTATAGGTTTTGTGCCGAGGACACTATTCGGGTATATGATCTTTTGATTATCATATCGCAAGAAAACAGTCGTCAATATGTTCATCTCCTCCACAACCAACTGGTGTATAAACAAGAAAAAATATCAGAACAAGGTATCATTATATGAAAAACAATTTTGTTGTATAGGAGGGAACAAACCTGAACACCGTCGATTTCACATCGGTCACCGACATCAAATGGGTGCATAACAAAAAGGAAAATGATGGCTTCGAAGATGGTTTTGCAAGAGTTTCCAAATACAAAGGCTACTAGAAGGAGCTGAGAGCTTAAGACGAGCAAGAATCTGGTTGTGGCGATTCCCAGTATAAGGAGCCAGATGATTATGACTATAATGCCAATCACCACGTTGATTATACGGTGAAGCCTGTTTACTGCTGTTTTTGTATCGTTTAATGTCAAAGCCAGTGCCCTCCTTTCTCTAAACGCCTTAACCTGTGAAGAATTCGCGAGATTAGATAACTCTGTTTCCATGTGAAGATTCTTGACATATCTATAATTTGAGGCTTATACCACCCAATTCTTGAGGCAAGACTTGCTGATCTTATTGCTCTCTGAAGCTCCTTCAAAGAGAGCCATGGCTCTTTCAGACTCCTCTTCACATAGAAAACGCAAGAAGTCTTCCAAATATATGTACCTAAAACCCGAAAACTCCTATATCAAGATTTTGAGCTGAAACTAAACAAATCAAGAACTTTGAGAAATATGATACAAATGTAAGCCTATATACCTGGAACCTGGCTCGGTGACATTGTGGAAAATCTTCCTAGCTGCACATTTAGCTTCGTACTCGCTTCTTATCTGCGTAGCGTCCTCATCCTCCTGAGATGTGTCCTGTACATTTTGATCCAAAGTAGAGATAGCGCCTTTTAGTACTATATTCATCAATCTCTTCATGTTCCAAGCAGATACATTCTTTGTGTTCATTCTCTGCAAATGATCAATCCTAATCCCATCCCTATCTTCTCCTTTCTTAGAACCAATCCGAGTCAGTCCCCGACGTTTCCCGACTTTCATAAAACTTTTAACAGTGGCCTTTAGAGCTGGAGGCAGCCTAGCTCCAGCTAATTTCTCTAAGCTCTTAACATCTTCTGATACTTGTTGCTCTTCTTCCTCCATTCTCTGAATCTCCATCAAAGGAGGACCAGAGAGAACTTCAATCACATATTGAGTGAACAAGGACTCCTGAATCCGATCAAAGTAAGTGCTCATGTGGAACGATGAAGCCAAAACTTTAACCAGAATTGTTTTAACCAACCAAATGATAAGAGCCACAAGCAAACATACCAACACTCTCGTCACATACCGAAGGGCAGTGCTCCGAGTCTCTCTTTCGACTTTCTTATCGAACAAGAAATGCCACGCAAGCAACACTAGCCCTAACCACAAGCAGTTTTGAACAGATTTTCGAACTCCGTAGACAAAGTACAAAACCCTTTTCCTCCAAAGGAAGTTTTTCTCGACCAAGAAGACAATGATTCTCACTATCCAACTCGAGACTAATCTCCCACATATCAACACCAAAACCGTCACTTCCCATTTCCACAAATCCAGCTTCCACCATGTCTTGCGTTGCAAGTTATGTATGGTTAAGCTACAGACCAAACTGGTGACTATCAGAACTAGACTTATCCATTCAAGAAAAACCCAGAAGCTAAGTTTATCCCTTTTGAATTCCTCCGGTAAATCCTCGTTTAGAAACGGATCTTCCTCTTCTTCTTCCTCAATCCCATTCCGACCTGGAGTACCCGCTTTAGGGCTTTTCCCAAGAAACCCAGATTTAAAAATCCCGGATCTCCGACCAGACTTCATCTCTGTTTTGTCAATCGCTGGATGTGTCGGTGTAGGAGGATCCTGCAATCTCGATTTGGTCTTGTTCCTGCTCAACATCGGTTTATTCGAACTAGACTTCACAACCTCTGCTTCGTCTCTGTTTCGACCTTCCTCGTCGCTACTTCCACCGAGAGATGTTCTGCTCTGCCTCCGTCGTACTGCGTCGGCTTTAACTTTAGTCGTGAAAGGACTCAAAGGAGAAGAAGATTCTGAAATCGTCGTTAAGCCACGTCGCGGCGTGTTGCTTGCAGTTGTAGCACGTGGCGGCGTGTTGCTCTGTAGCTCTGCCATGTTAAGCTCAACATCTAGAGAGATCTCGTCTCCTGAAGCTCTCTGCTTGTGGAGAAACTGACGAATTAGCTTCGTCGGAGGATCAGCTAACTCAGCTGAACTATGCCTCCGCTCCCTCGGCTGCGTGAAATGGAAACTGCCACCGTCTTCATCGTCGTCGTCGGCTCCTTTCTTATCATTCTTACCCTTTTCACCATGCCAAAAATCATAGCTTGATTCTTTCCGAATATTACCTCCCTCAGCATTGCTGCTTGACCCTGTAGCACCGACGGCTCCACTCTCTTGCCCGTTGATGTTCACTATGAAGTCCCGCCGATCAGTTGAATCGACGGCCGCCATGATTCGTTAGAGATCTCACAAAGGCAAAAGACTAGATTTTCTTACCTAAATGGAGCAATTATTTCCGGAAAAAATGGAGAGAGGTTTTTTTTGGGGTTTTCTCAGAAGAGACGAGTGACAGTGTACGATCAAAGAAGAAGATGAGGGTGTCCGTGAGAGGTTACCAAGTAAGTGATAATAAATGTTATAAATACAAAAAACAAAATAGCAGGTGGTATTTGATGATAATGAGAAAGTGGAAGAAAATTGTTCTGATATATCAACGTGTGAAAATTTAATATTTTGAGGAAAGATTTTGATAATGCAACTAACTTGATGATCAATGTGGTATATATATGATGTGATGTGATTTGGTGAGCTGAACTTTGTGCTAATTGCTAAAAGCAACAAAAACAATAATATGATAGTGTTTTTTTCTTCTTTCTACTATGTCCCTTTAAAAAGTAACAATAGTGTACGGATGAAAACGAATGCTATATTGGTAATGGAATTTTTTCAAATAATGATAACAACGGTTTTCGACTATGCAATTCTAAATTTTGGGTTGTATATTTTTTGGGGTAAAACCAAGATAGATTGTTATGAAAAAAGGTGTAACAAGTAGTTACTATACGTAGAAAAAGATACATGCAATTTCATGTCAGTTGTTTTATCTACTGATTAAATCAAAATAATCTTTTTGATGTAGAGGTACTAGCTAGATGTCTTTTTTAAAGTAGACTAGTTTTAAATGTTCTTCTAATTTTTTGTGTTGTGTCTAATAGAAGCAAAAAAAAAGGCACTTAATTAACAAGATCTTCTCATTACTATATATTTATTATTTCATTCGATTACACCTACTTATTTTAGTAAGTTTTACCAATTTGACCTATACTATTATATTCGAATTCATGTCAGATAGCACTGAAACATAATTTAGCTGACTGATTGAACCATTTTCATTTGGTTGGAATCATTACAAATCATCATTCACATATGATTTTTTTTCCAATTCCAATAAAATATTTATTTATCACCACCACTAGCTAAGGCACTAACTCTTTTTTATAATCCTAGTACGAAAAACGAAAACTCGTGTCGTGCTCTCGATGGTTTAGGTCTAATAAGTCAAAATGTACAAAGAGTTTGGAGTTTGGAAGCTCAATAACGCATCTAAAAACTCAAATCGTGTTGTTTCTAGCTTTATTTCGACAATATACATATACGTTAGATAGCTACATTTTACGGTTTTATTTGTAAATTTATCTAAAATATTGCTTCATGGCTAAGAATTAAGAGTGGTGCATGACTCTGCTTTTTTGTGCTTTTTTGTTTTTGTTTTTATAGACAATTGATTTTTTTTTATTGGAGTGTCAGCAATGTAGAAATCATGTCAGTTATCCACTACAATTACATGTTCATATATATAAGACTGGATTAGAATTTATAAGTTGCAAGTTGTATTTCCAACATTTGCCATATATATATATATATATGCTAGCTACTTTTATAAATCACACACAAATGATATTTTTTTTAGCGGTGGAAAGAAATTAGCAAAACGCCAGTTGGAGTGATAAGAAAGGTACACGTGGTTGGTTACAGATGGTCGACCTGGCGAATAAATACAAGGTTGGTTAAAAAGAAAACGACAGGAAAGCGACTCGTGAGAAATGAAAACGGCACACAAGCCAGATACGCAACTAACTAGAGGTCAATCGACACTCGACAGGATTGGACACTCCGTGTTATTATTATTATTGCTGAGTATATCTCTTGTAATTATCAACTTACTCGACTTGGATATAAATCATATAATATACAAGTTTATAGTTTTGGAAATCTTCAATTCTATTTGGCTTCCTGTTCAGATTTTGTTTTCTTCCAATTTTAGTTTTTTATCTCGACTTTACACGAAGACATGTTAATTTTCATGGACTTCTAACTAAAAATTCAAATCCTTTCATATTTTTCTAATGTTTGATTTTATATAAGTTTGATATTGATTTATTTTTTCTTTTGGATAAAATTAAAAGAAAATCAATCTAATCAGAGTTAAATCTAATACTATCATTTTCATATGCGACTTTTTAGGTTTAGTTCACATGTGTTTTTGTTCGATTACTGAAATATGTATACAAATCTACCTTAAACATCATTCAATGAGAGCAAATAAAAATAAAAAATCTATGAATTGAATGATGGCTAAAAAGAATACAATCAGAGGATAAACCGTGCACGGTTCGTTTTTATTAACTAAATCATGATATATCATGAAACAATTAATCAAATTAATTATGTTGGTCAAAAATCTGATTATTGCTGGAAATTGATTCTATGAATGTTTGGCAACCAATGCGGTCAAGTGTTTATAAAGAGTGTATTCCAAAAATAGTAACCTTATAGTAGTATATAAAACAATGTATATACAATTATAATTAGTGAAATACTAAGAAAATTAATCCAATTTGGTAGCCGATTAGGAATTAAAGATGGCTTAATCTCCAAGGTTATTCATGATGAATTAAACATGGTATGGAACCGTTTGGACGTTCCAAAAAATAAAAATAAATGCAGTGATTTGGTGAACAGAATCATGACAAGAAAAAAACAGGTTTTGAATTTGAATTTATTGTTCGTGATTAATAAGATCAAGAACCATGCATGGACCACATTTCGAATGTCTTGGTCCAATGATCATCAACCTAATGTTTTTGTCTATGGGCCATCTGATTTTTGATCGTGTGAGCTTAGAACCGCCGGCCGCGACACCCACCCACATATATTTACAGATCAACTAAAATACATTCAAAATGAAAATAAGCGTACGACGTATCACATAGTTATGGTGTCTACTGACTATTAATTAAAGACGTTCAACGTTTTTTTATTTCATACTTATTCAACAATATGCATTTCAATTGGATATAATTATGTCAAGCATGTATACATAAGTATACATTTAACAAGACTATACTAGTCTAACCAGTATTAAAGAAGACTCCGATTCAATTTTAGAATTCGTAACATTACTTTTAATTTTTAAAACATGATGATCATGCGGATAATCTCAGTTATTAGGAATGAGGTATGCCTAGTTTGAATAATCTATAACTAAGGATTTTTTTTCTTTGAGAAAATCTACAATTAAGGAGTTAAATATATTGTATGATTTTGTTATAGACAACAGACAAACTTCCTTTTAAAGTTATTGGGCACACAAAAGATTACGTCTCTACCACTATTCACACGACTAGTGAAATAAAAACCAATATTCTAAAAACTTATACATATACTGATATACAATATGATACACTTAGATAATATAGTATAATCAATAATCTTGATTAGGAGTAAATTTTGAGTATTAGATATCCACAAATACATGCAAGATAGGTTTTTTTTCTTTCTTTTTTGCTTGATAAAGGTTTTATATGCATGATAGGTCGAGGTGGGTTTCCGCAGAAGACCCTTCCGCATCCAAGAGGCAAGAGCGTATTGTTCCATTGTTGATACATTAATAACTTTAAAAGGAAGTTTGTTTGTTGTCTATAACAAAATCATACAATATATTCGAAGCAATTGTGACAGCATTAAGTGCACGTACTTTTTATTTATATTCCCATTTAAATTGTTTCCTTCTTTTTTTGTTCCTTTTTGGTTGTCTATGTACATAAAAAGGGGTGTATTGAAGGAAGAATTTAGAATGTTTAGGTATTAATGAGATTTGAGATGATTTTGGTGAATTTTTGGGAATTAGGAAATTTGTTATTAATATTCTCTCAAATCTTACCTAAAATCATGGGATTTGAATGTTTGAATTTTTAACTAAGAAATTAAAATCCCTGAAATCTCACCTAAAATTACTCAAATCACTTCAAATGTTTCCAATAACAATGGATTTAATTGTACATTTTAAAATTACTAATCTAATAATACTTGATTTTAGAAAACTTTTAAAATACATGTTTGAATAACATATGATTTGTCATTTTAATACAAATCACTCTAAATCCTTTATTCAATACATCCCCTAAGAAAACAGCTATATGTATATACAACGTATGTACTACAAAACGTTATTATTATATACAGTATTTGCATGTATGTAAGATCACGTTCTTTTTATATATATTTTGTTTGATATTCGTCCTTTTAATTTGCTTAGATTCCATATTTGTAATTTTGATTTTTTCTATTCAAGTATATATTGCCAGAATTTTGCTATTTCTGTTTCCTTTTTTAAACATATTTTTCTTAGGTTATGCGTATCATTTCTTCAGACAGTATGCATATATATGTAGGAATTAGTGTCTCTGCTCTCAACATCTTCTGAACAAAAAGAAAAATTGTCAAATTATTTTTTCTCACTCGATTAACCCTTATAATATTCTAGTAGCATGGATCTCCATTTTATAGGTTTTCTCTTTTTGGTTTTTGTTGTACAAGTGACCACAAGCAGTGGTACATCCAAACTTGTTTAAGATTTGATTATAAAAACAAAACAGGATTTTTTTTGGTCACGTTTCTAATCTATTTTGTTTCTTTGGTTTTTGGCATTAAGCTCATAGGAACATAACAACAATACCAGCACTAATAGTATTCGGAGACTCAATCATGGATACAGGAAATAATAATGACATCCCAACTCTTCTTAAGTCCAATTTTCCTCCCTATGGTCGAGATTTTCCTGGTGCTATTCCTACCGGTAGATTTTCAGACGGGAAAGTTCCATCGGACATCATTGGTAACTGTCAAACTCTTTATCATTTTATTTTTCTAATTGCTAATTAGTCGTCTACTTGTAGTCCTTTTTTTATGTACATATACGTAAACTATATAATATATTTCTTAAACATTGCAGCGGAAAAATTAGGGATAGCAAAGACACTACCACCATATTTAGGCTCGAATCTAAAGCCACATGATCTTCTAAAAGGTGTAATCTTTGCTTCTGGAGGTTCTGGTTATGATCCATTAACATCTAAATTACTGGTACAAATATTTACATTCGTTATATTTTAACTAGTATTATATGATATTTCTAAATTTCTTTTGTCTTTTGTACATATTTTTTTCAGTCTGTAGTATCAATGTCAGACCAACTAAAATACTTTCAAGAATACCTAGCAAAAATTAAGCAACACTTTGGAGAAGAAAAGGTTAAGTTTATATTGGAGAAAAGTGTGTTTCTAGTGGTCTCCAGCAGTAATGATCTCGCTGAGACTTATTTGGTTCGATCGATCGAATATAATCGTAACTCGTATGCTGAATATCTGGTTGAATTGGCTTCAGAGTTCATTAAAGTAAGTTTTTATTTTATTTTTTATTTTGTTATAAATCCAAAGCAATAAAATTCAATCACGAAGGTACTCTAAAATGATATCTCTATTCTTCTAACGTTTTAGGAATTATCTGGACTTGGAGCTAAAAACATTGGAGTGTTTAGCGGAGTACCAGTTGGGTGTGTACCCGCGCAAAGAACACTTTTTGGGGGTTTTAAAAGAAAATGTTATGAAAAGTTGAATAACATGGCACTTCATTTCAATTCAAAGCTATCTTCTAGTTTGGATACTCTAAAAAAAGAATTGCCCGGCAAACTAGTATTTATCGACGTTTACGATACTCTTCTCGACATCATAAAAAATCCTACAAATTACGGTAATTTTGACATGTATTGATATCTTTTTATTTATTTACGTACATCAATGTTAATATTAACATACTATATATGTTTGTGAATTCATGTAGGATTTAAAGTAGCAGATAAAGGATGTTGTGGTACAGGAAAAATTGAGTTGGTGGAATTGTGCAACAAATTTACTCCTTTTACATGTTCGAATGCATCGACTCATGTGTTCTTCGACTCTTATCATCCGAGTGAAAAGGCATATCAGATTATCACTGATAAATTGTTAGCAAAATACCTTAAGTACCTAAACAACTGAATCGGTTTATTAGTCGAGTGATATTAGTTTCATGAATGTACTTTGATTTTTTTTCTTTTTCTACAGTTTAATAATAAGGATTTTTTTTCATTAAAGTGTTTTTATTTGATTTGATTTACGATTACACTTATTTTTCTTAGTCTAACCGACTATCTAATTAATCATTGCGTCTCTTAATTTGTGCTATAATGTAAACTTAACTTTGGGTAACAAACAAAATAAAAACTCATGACTCATGAGAGGAGTATTGGAATGTGTTTTGATTTGAGGGGGATGCTTGTCCTATTGCCCTAATAGAATGTTGATTACCATGATTTACGTCAACAAATGTTATACAATTATTATCTATATATATTATTTAATTCAAAGATATAAAAAGCTTAATGGTGAAGTTTAAATTTTTAATCACTAAGCATTCATTAATCGTTTTTTAATCTTCCCTAATTTTATAAGTTATCAACAAATTAATTATTGTTGTGCACCGAAAGTGGATTTAATCAAGGTGGCAGTAATTACAATAGTAAATCCAAATTACTATGAGAACCACCTGGTCGATGTGATAAATTAGTGACAGCACATAGGATTAAATTATAAAAATAAGAATGAAAGTAACTTATAAACTTTTCGAATTAATTAAAATCGTTACAACTTACAACTTTACAACCTTATTCTCCCCTCTTATATGTCGGCAACTTTGTAGTTTATGGCTTTATGCCCATGTCCATAACATATTTACAGTGTCAACTTTAGCTAAATATATACATATCTTCAAAGATAAATTAAAATATTGATGAGAATAAAAATCTATGTACTTTGCCACTATCTATAATCTTCATTGTCTTCAACAGTTCTACCTCATAACCAATAATTCAAATCAAAAGATTCGCATTTTTAGAGAGATATATATATATATAAGAAATGCATGGGGGCCATGTAAAGTATCATGAAAATGTGGTTGTATAATAAGCACGTTGACAAAAGAATGTCATAGGCCCACGGCCAACCAATGGGATACAAACTTTTTACCCAAAATTATTTAGTTTGATTTTTGTTTCTAAGAAACCGGCCGTGAACTTGAATCGTTACAACATGCAATTTGATATGTTTACTTTTACTATTTGCAGTTTCGATGGTCGGAAGGAATTGTTATCTCAGATTCTTTTAACTTTCTAGTCTTGTGACATCAATGCGTTTTGTCAACCAGTTAATCGGTACGTACAAGATTCTAGTTAGGTTACTGGTCAAGATACGCCGATCAAACTGATCTTCGTTACCTTCTAGTTCGTTCGATCAGAGAGTTTATACGGATAAGTAATGTCATAATTAATTAACTATGAAAGAAGACTGGAAGAGGTTCTTTGGTTGATATAATTACAATTATCAAAGAGTGGACATTGATTTAATTATATTCAAGTAGGAAAAATAAAATCGTATTTCTTGGCTAATTGTGTTCGTGTGTAAACGAGGCCTATTAAAGTGGCTGTAACTGGTAAGTGGTAAGGTGAATATGTGTGCAAAAACTCTAACCAAATATGTATCACAAACTAATCCTGTCTCTAACTTCATCGCAAAATACTTATTATGCGTTACTCGTGTTTTCTTATATTTCATATATAAATTATTTAATAAAAGATATATAAAAATATGATGGCGAGGTTTAAGAATATAGCCAATGGCTTGGTGGATTCTTTGGCAAAATCTGCTTTTATTCTCGCCTCTAATGGATTTTGAGAGTTTATAATAAGAAATATTCTGGCCTAAAAAAGAACAAGGAACAATCATTAGTCAAATCCTTTTCAATATTATAAGTTATCAACAATTTTATTACTATTGCAAAAGAATATTTAATCAAGGCGGGAGTAATTACAGCACCAACCTAAAATTTCCCAGGAGAATCATGTGGTTGATGTGATAAATTAGTGCCATGCAACACCAACACATAATAGGATTAATGTATAAAATAAGAAAAGTAACTTATTCTCCCTTTTACCAGGTGACAATTATATATATAGTTATATACGAATGTCGTCGATGAACATATATTTACACTTTACAGTGTATACACCTTTAGATTATATACCGATTAATGGTTAAATCGTCTATACAATTTGCTACTGTTTATTACCTTAGTTGCATTTGGCTGTCTTCTAGAATTCTATACTTCTATGAGTTCTTCTATTTTTCTTTTTTGTCAAACATACTTCTATGATTCTATGATCCCATAACAACATAATGTAAAACCAAAAAACATTCTCATTTTGCAAGATATTAAATTGGGCTTATATGTTGTCAATAAATGTAATGTGCACGTTTGATGTAATAGGCCCACGGAGAAACAAATAGATAGGCCTTTTAATAAACGGGCCCATTTAAGTTGTTAGCATCATTCCTGCGCAAGAATAAATGATACATAAACAAATCGATTCTCGATTTTCTCTTTCGTTTTTTGGAACCCCATATATGAAAGTCTCAACGTTTCTAATGGTTTTTTCTTCATAGAAATTTCTCCAAAATTATGTAATTTAATTTATATTTCGAAGATATCAACATGTTTCTTTTACCAGTTAACCTGTACGTAAGGTAAAGCCAACTGAATGTCTGAATCGATCATTAACCTTCTAGTTAGCTCAGAGACTTGAAGAGCGAGCTTCTTTTGTGGATATAATTAAGTACGATTATCTAAGAGACTAAGAATGAGACAAAGATTTGATTTTTTAAGGAACCTAAACCAAAAAAATAAATAAAAATAATCATAAATTGGCGTGAGAAAGAGGCCTATTATCATCAACAGCCAAAGTGGCGGTAACTGGTAAGGTTAATCTGTGTGCCTTGTTCGCTTCCTTCAAAGCTCTTCTCTTTCAACTTCAATTCCATGGCCATCTCCGTAACGCTTTGACTGGTACTAAATTTCAGATCTTTTCCTTTTGTTACGAGTTTTGTCGAGTGTCAAACCCTAATTTTGACTTCAGGGTGTATAATCCCAAATCCGTAACTTTTCTCTCTCTGTCTCTCAATTTGTTAAATCAAGCTTCTGGGTTGTTGCACAGGTTCCAATTGAGTGGTTTTTAGCTCCGATCCTAGGTAAAAGTTCAATCTTTTCTTTTCTCAGGTTTCGTAGCTCGATTTCACTCATAAATTTCCGAGCTTTTGATTCGCATGAGGATTTGAATTGACAAGGAAAGATAAAGATGTCAGTGGAGAGATCTTTAGAAGCTTGGGAAGAGGTTCAACGACATGGGCAAGATTTAGCTGATAGACTTGCTCAGGGATTTACGGGTTTGATTCATATAAACCCACCTTCGTTTCCATGGCCGCCTAATCATAATCATTACAAGGCGAAACTATTCGATCTCGAGTTCCCTAGTCAACATTTCAGTGTTATTAGGGATTCTAGGTTTAGTATCAACCAACCCATCAACGGTGTCTCAGCGATTCTTGATATTGGGAATAAGATAGGTCAAGCTGGTGTTGATTTTGGTGCGGGTTTGAATGTGATGGTCCAACAATTCTTCAGGAGGTTGCCTATACCGTTCTTGCATGAGGATAATAACAAGCTTGTTGTCTCTGTGGATGGTGATAAGAGTACAAGGAGCCATAGAGCTTATGTGATCACAAAAGGTGATTTGGGATTGGCTGCAGAACGGTTGAGGGACTCAGGGTTTTCTAAGACAGATGATACTGCTTCTGTTACTATGTCTGAGGAGGAAGTTGCAGATTCCTATCTAAAAACGGCTGGATTGCTTGGAAGATCAAAGGTAACTGATTTTGTGATTCTTCTTCTTCTTTGTTTCACCTGATTTTTTCTACTTTCTAGGAATTTCTAGTAGTATAAGTGACTAGCCTTCAAGTTTGGCATTACTGCAGGGATGTATCTAGATTTAATTGTAATGTAAGATAGCTTATAGAGAATGAGAATGTAAAATCTTTTGGAAATATAGATGCTAGTTTGATCCTGATCCGGCAAGACTAGCATTAGGCTAGTGGTAATGTATTGTCACTGTGAATCCAGAAGAAACTACTGATGTTTCAAGCAAGATAGATAATGATAAACCTACTTGGAAATAATGGTGTTTTGAAGCAAGTACTGTAAGTGTAAGGTTTAAGCTTGGACGCTGTGCTGTGGGTTTTTGGGATATGTTCAGTAAAATTTCTGCGAGACTGAAAGTTGTTTTTTTTTGTTTCTGTGTGTTTGTTCTCTGTCTGCTTGTTGATCTTGTAACAGTATATTTCTCGGGGAATGCAGGGAACAATTGATATGTCATCAAGTTATGACAGTAGGACAAATGGTATGGAACATTCATTGGCAGCCAGAGGAGACCTCTGGAGGGTAGAAGCTTCACATTCGAGTTCTACTGCAAGCGATGGAAATTCGTCTCTCTTTCTTCTCCAGCTTGGACCACTTCTCTTTCTACGCGATTCAACGCTTCTTTTACCGTTACACTTATCAAAACAACACTTGCTCTGGTATGGATATGATAGGAAGGTATGCTTAAAAAAAAATTCCCACTTCAATGAGTGTTTTCTCCTTATAGAATTTTATCCCAAAACTCATGTAATTCTGTTAATTTTCGTTGCAGAAAGGTATGCATTCACTCTGCCCAGCTTTATGGTCAAAGCATCGAAGGTGGCTTATGATGTCAATGCTCTCTCTCAATCCTTTAGCTTGCGTAAGCCGCTCTTTCCCTTAAAGCTGCTATTGTGTTCTCAATTCTGTGGAACTGATTCCCTGAACTTGTCATCTTTGTGCTTTGGACAGTCGTTTATGGATTTGCAATTTCCAAACGGGCAGTTGACATATGTATCTGGCGAAGGACTGACGACAAGTGCTTTTGTGCCTTTTTGTGGCGGTCTTCTTCAAGCACAGGGTCAATATCCAGGCGACATGAGATTTAGTTACTCTTGTAAGGTTAGATAGCGATTGGAACCCGTCATGATCCGTGTGGAGCTTATTCTCATGAAACACAAATGTGGTTTTTAAAATCTCTTTGTTTGTGGAACAGAATAAATGTGGAACCAGAATCACACCAATGGTACATTGGCCTGACAAATCATTTGGGTTGGATCTTTCTCAACCCTTGGCTTGGCGTAGATCCGGACTACTGATGAAACCGACAATTCAAGTCAGGTAAACAGCTTTCTCTAACCCCACCTCCCTCTTAACCGAAAAGTATTTGTTTTACTTACATAATTCGTAAACCGGAACAGTGTATGTCCCACATTTGGTGGAAGCAATCCGGGGTTGAAAGCAGAAGTTATACACTCGTTGAGCGATGACTTGAATCTGATATGTGGCTATGCACTCAATGCACATCCTTCAGCATTTGCCTCTGTATCTGTAAGCAAAACTTCTTTTCCCTTTGTTCTCTCAAACCTCACCGTCTCTTCTCTCTCTCTCTCTCTCTAGTGACCATATCTTCTTCTCTATCGAAAAACTGCAGTTTGGACGGTCGAAATGGAATGGGAACATTGGACGCACGGGAATAGTTGTTAGAGCTGATACTCCTCTTGCAAGTATCGGCCAGCCTTCCTTCTCTGTCCAGCTTAATAACGCTTTCGAGTTCTGAATCTTTCCAATATAACATAGAAAAAAAAGACTGTGGCTATGTACATATGTTTCAAAAGACTTAAGACTGCTTTTCCCCTCTCGGTAACTTTTGTATATGGTAGTCTACTCGATTAACCCTCAAGTCAGTGTCTGTAAGTCCGCCAAATATTTTCACCACGTTAAAGATTTACAGTTTCACATTGCCTGATTTCAATGGGGGATCATGTGAGGGTGTTCTTAGAGAAAATATAATGTTAAAATAATATAAGATCATGTGTTTAGATTTTTTGTTTAGAAGTTGATTAGTGGGAGAACATGTGTAAGATCTTAAGATTTAATAATATAATAATCTACAAATTTTAAAACATATTACAATTATTAAAACATTTAAAAATAGCATATAAATTGCAAACTTTAAAAACTGAAAACTCTGCAACCTCAGCCAAAAAACCCTAGGTCGTTTTCGATTTTGGGTGAAATGAAAATTGTGTCTTCTATCCCTTTTCTCCCAACCAATGCCATCTCGCCACGTCACCCCGCAACACAAAGAAGAACTGATCCAGGATGAGAGCGGGCAGGCTGATCTTAAACCCATAAGCCCATTATTTTGGATTAAAAAAAGGCTTAGATCAGGGGGTGGTCCTGCAATGTAGATGGCCTAAAGACTAACGTTACAAGTATATATTAAAGTTGGTCCACATTTATTGCAAACCTAATTAGAGACCTCTTTCTTTTTTGTTTATTCCAATTTGACCATGTTTGACCCGATAAACCTACACTTTCATGGAACGATTTCCTGATTTGTACACATTATTATTATTATTATTATTATTATATGAAATAATTAGACTCCATATGCTTATTGAGAAATTGTTAGGTTAGAAAGTGATATACTTTAGCGTTGAATAAAGGTCCCACTGAATAAATGACTAAAGTTTGAGATGTCTTGACGACTTTTCATAATTGTTAATTGTCTCGAGTCTAATATGAGTGGCTTTGACTTGTCTTCCAGATTCGTTCTTCGATCGAAAGTTAGTGTTTAAGTTCAATGAATTAGTAAGGATGGTTAGGATTTAGGAAGTATAGAAGAAGAAAAATATATAGTTCGCAAATGGCAAAGATGATAACAAAACGTGCCACACTGTCTCTATTATTATGTCACGCAATTTTTCAAAACATTATGAAATAGATTTAGATTTCAAAATATAACTAAGGAACTAGATAAAAATTAGCTTTAACTATGATAAGAATCTATGTCTAAGTAGGAGAAATTCCTCAAGCGATACGACGAGAACATTCTTCTTTCAACATAGGAGGAAAAAATGGATTTGAATGTTAGATTTCACTTCCAAAAAATATTTGCAACATGCATGAACATTAATGTTGCCAAATCGACCACTATACATACTGAGAGTATTGAGAGAGTTATGGATGAATGTGTAATTAGTAAATTACCTATGTACCGAAGAACATTAATTATTATATTTTTTTTTTATAAACTACGAGAGTTCCGGATCTTTAACCCATAATATCTCTTGGTACCCGAAGTCAGTCTTTATTTTTTAGTCCATTTCTATATAAAAAATGTCTCTTCGTCCCAAAGAGAGACTGAACCAGGAGTCCAGGACACAAAAGAACCAACCCTTTGCACTACCATTAGACCATCTCTATTTTGGTAACAACATTAATTATTGAAAAGAAGTTATATAAACAATACCCGATTAAAAATTTCCTATCTTGCAAATTCTAGAAGAAGTAGACAAACAAAAAGAAAAAAGGAAATTCAAAAGAGAGAAAGCAAATTCGATTAGAAATACTTTTCATTTTCCAAACCAACATGTGATTTCCAAAACAATATGTATTAACATATATTTGCTCGTATGTTTTGGAACCGTTGACGTTGACGCAAACAACTACACAACGGATAATTGTGTTTAGATTTTCTGAGTCTCCTTCTGATATTTTTATTTAACATACGATTTTAGACAATATTTTTGTATAAAAATTTGTTGCCCCGTTCGCTTCAACTAGAGCTTTTTTTTTCCTCCCGAAATAGACATTTCTTCTCTTCTCTTCTATTGTGGCGAAAATATTGACTTGAGTGTAGAAAAATCTTTAAACAAAAACTCATCAACATTCTTCTGTAATCTAAAAGTTAAAACTCTACACGTTAATTAGTATTAATTAGCTCATCATCAAGTTAGTATCCTATCATTATTTTTTGACCTATACTTAGATTGAAATAATCAAAAGAAACCTCCTATACTTAAAATGTTACGCAATCCACGTCAAATTACGGGGTCTTACATTAATACATGTAATCAAAATAACTTTAGTACTTTTTCTACGTACGTACCTACTTACATAAAGCCAGAACACACTAATCACGACCACGTCCTTTTTTTTGTTTGCTAAAAGAAATCTTACAAAGTTTTTTTATGTTCTGATACACAAAAAAAAAAGGAGAAGAAAAAGTTAGTCTCCAGCGTGGAACTTGCTGCGTTAATTATTATTTTCATTCGGTCGATGAGTCTATCGATCTAGTATCCATGTATATAATTTTAAGAGAAAAAAGTAAATAACTAAAAATAGGTGATTTGAAAGAAATAATTGATGTTATTTAAAGAAACAAATAACTGAATTATTAATTTTTCATCAAGTTATGAGATTATTGGTACAATAAAAGTCTAGATATGTATAAAATATTGATTTTTATTTTATTTTTAATGTTTGGTTTATTGAAGAAGGATAATATCTTTTATATAATGACTATAATTAAATCAAAATTGATCTGGATTAGTTATGGTACTGCATATATGTGGGAATATATAATATAAGCTCTTTTGGTTTTGTTTTCTATAAATGAATCGTGAGTGACATTATCAAAATTTAAAATCAACGAGAATTAAAAATGAATTATTTTGATGGACTATACAACAATTCGCTGGCCCTCTTTGTTTTCTTTTTTTCTCAATCTGGCCCACTATGTTTATATGCAAGTAGCGAAATTAAACAATAGAAAATTAGAAACAGGCCAAAAATATAATAAGATACTCTTTTTTTATTTTTTAAATAAAATAATGTTGACTTAATTATCTCCTCTCCATTCCGAAATGTCTTCATGAGTCTCTCTTCTCTTCTTCCCCATTAGGCCTGGGCGTTTGGGTAAATGGTTCGGTTCTAGAACCGAACCATTCGGTTCTTAGTATTTTGGTTCTGAAATTTAGGAACCATATTGGAACCAAATCAAAATCGGTTCGGTTCCGGTTCGGTTCCTCTACGGTTCGGTTCGGTTCGGGTAATAAATTTTGGAACCAAATTATTTCGGGTATTTTTGGAACCGAAAAAACAAAACAATCATAATACAATATTCAAATGCAATTAGGTAAGTATGCAATCACATATTAGTAAGCATATCATTACAAATCCAAAAAATATTAGAAACTTGGAAAGTGTTATGTCAAAACTCAAAAGACACCCAAAGTTTCAAAGATACCGAAAAACACAAGTTTTTAAGACACCAAAATAACCCGAAGTTTAAATCTGTTACAATCTTATGCTTCTTCTTCTCTTTAGGTTTATGAAATATATATGGTGGGTTGTTGGGCTTGGGTTTAGGTTTAGGTTTGTATGGATTTGGGCTTTGGGATATATAGATATAGGTAAATGGATTATATTTTTCGGGTACCCATTTGGATATCGGTTCTTACCCGAACCGAACCAATACCCATGGATCTGAAATTCAAGATCCAATCGATATTTTTACTAGAACCGGAACCGAACCATACCCATCAATTTCGGTTCGGTTCGGTTCGGTTCTATGTGGATCCATATTTGTGCCCAGACCTATTCCCCATTCGTCACATAATTAAACATCGCTTCTTCACTCTCACCAAACCTCTCTTCTCTCTCACACACAACAAAAGAAAAAACCTCGAAACTTGCTTCAATTTTTCCGATTTCAGATCTTCTCAAACCCTAATGTTAAAATGTCGTTAAATCGACAACTCCTCTTCACTTACTTCTTCATCGTCTCTCTTATCCTCTTCTCCGGTTTCGTATCCTCTCAAACAATACCAAAAGAAGAAGGTAATTTGTGTGTATTTATGTATGTGTGTAGCGTATATGTTTGACTTGTAGTCGGTGTAATGATTTTGGTTCAATCGGACAATTTTTGAAATTTGGCAGTGGCTGCTTTACGAAGCGTAGCGACGGCGTTGAAGAAGAGTGGTTGGAATTTTAGTGTGGATCCATGCGGCCTCTCTGCCTCTCAAGGAGGATGGAGGAATCCTAACCCCGCTAAGGGATTAGAATACGCCGTTTCTTGTAACTGCTCCACCGTCATCTGCCACGTCACCAGCATGTGCGTTCTTCTCTCTTTTTCTACATCATCCTCTTTGTCAAATTATCATTTAATATTCTATTTTTAAACATTTGAAGAAATTCAAATGTGAATGATGAAATTACAACTAGGTCTCGTCTCGTTTTACAAAGAACTGAAAATAGATTTGTTTACTCAACTTGTTTTATTTAATAAAGTAGGTTTTAGATGCTTGAACGTGGACAAATTTATTAACGCCGTCGCTATTGACCTTTTTTGACGCGTCCGTGAATCTTTTTTTGGGTCGTTTTTGACGAGTCCGTGAATTTTCATTTTTTACCTATTCAACTTTTTTTTACTTTCGTGTTGGGTCGAAAACATAATGGGCCTGGGACCGTTTTTTTAAACGTGTTCTGTTTTTTGTTCCCTCTTAATATTGAAAAACAGAGTTCTCAAGGCACAAGACCTTCAAGGAACTCTCCCTAAAGATCTTTCAGGACTTCCTTTCTTGCTAGAGATGTAAGAAGCAGATTCACTCACCAATATTACAACATCTTCCACTCTTAGTATCTCTCATTAACGAACTTAACTGTCACGCTCTTCTTTTATCTGCAGTGATTTGACTAGAAACTATCTCAACGGATCTATTCCTTCCGAATGGGGAAACACATCACTTGTAATGATGTACGTATCTGTGTATCTCTTTTCATATTCACTATATATATGTAAAGATTGATTGAGTATGTTTGTTGTTATGATAAAAATGCAGCTCACTACTTGGAAACCGGATAAGTGGTTCAATCCCAAAAGAACTTGCAAACCTTAAAAACCTTTCTAGTCTGTGAGTACACTTTTGGATCTTGCTCTTCATTAATGTTTCAGTTTACTCTTTTTTAAAAAATTTCCGGAACATTTGTTTTTTTTTAGTGTCTTGGAATACAACCAAATCTCAGGGAAGTTACCTCCAGAGCTCGGGAATTTACCAAACATTAAAAGACTGTATGAATATTTGTTCCAAGTTCTCCCAACATTAAACTGTTCTTTTTTTTTTTTTCCTTTTTTTTTAACAGTTGAGACTATGTTTACTCTTTGTAGGCTTCTTAGCTCGAATAACTTGAGCGGGGATATCCCAAGTACATTCGCCAAACTTACTACATTGACTGATTTGTAAGTATTCCTGTGTGTTTTATTTGATCGTGGAACATATGTTTTGCTGGAGATTTCTGACTTTTTCTTTATATATATATAATTTTCTTTTGGTATAGACGTCTTAGTGACAACCAGTTCACTGGTACTATACCAGATTTCATCCAGAACTGGACTGGACTTGAGAAACTGTAAGCAATACGGATTTCATTTTCATATCCGTATTAGTTACTTTAGAATATTGAAATTAATGTTTGCTTTGCTTCATCAATCAGGGTTATTCAAGCAAGTGGTTTAGTTGGACCGATTCCTAGTGCCATTGGTCTTCTGGGAAACTTAACAGACTTGTATGTACACAAACTTTGCTTGTGGTGATTCGTTATTTTCGCCTCTCATGGACTGACTCACCTTCAATAATGTATATTTACTCTATTCCAAATTTGAAAATTTTGTAGGAGAATCACTGACTTGAGTGGACCTGAATCTCCATTTCCGCCACTAATAAACATGACATCGTTGAAGTATTTGTGAGTTTTGTATCTGAAGCCTCAATCTATACGAGTTTTGTATTGGTTTCTTCCCACATTCAACTAGCTAACTTCTGTTTATACTCGTTGTTCGTTGCAGGATTCTGAGGAACTGCAACCTTACAGGAGACTTACCTGCGTATCTTGGAGAGAAGCGACCCTTAAAGAATTTGTTAGTAATCTCTTTTTTCTTCGGCAACCATAAAATCAAATTATCAAAGATTGAAAAGAATTTAAGCTGACATTATGAGACTCGTTGTGCAGAGATCTTAGCTTTAACAAACTGAGTGGACCAATCCCCAACTCATATACTGCTCTTTCAGATGTAGATTTCATGTATGATGCTCTTCTCTTCTCTTCTCTTCTTTCTTCTGTTTCAAGAAAAAAGCTTTATATGGAGTAATGTTAAACTGAGCTGAAATTTCTTTTCCAATCTTGCAGATACTTTACAAGTAACATGTTAAACGGGGAAGTACCAAGTTGGATGGCAGACAAAGGAGACACGATGTAAGTGTTCTTCACCGATATATATGTATAAATTTCTTTGTAGTGACAACAGGGGAAGTAGTAATGTTTTCTTGGTTATTGTATCTTTTATTGCAGTGATCTTGCTTACAATAACTTTTCTAAAGATAATAAACCCGAAGAATGTCAACGAAAATCTGTGTAAGAAGAACAATAAACATTTCAAATTCGCATGCCTTCAAATTTGCTATAAAGCTTAGGTTTCTTGCTTCTTTTAATTTGCAGGAATACGTTTTCAAGCACAAGCCCTTTAGTGGCAAATAACTCGTAAGTCTTTCTTTCTTCTCATAACATTTTAAAAGCTTTGGATCTATAATACAACACTCACCAGAATATTGATATTACGTTTTGTTTTGCTACAGCTCAAATGTTTCATGTCTGACCAAATATACCTGTCCTAAAAGTAAGTCTTTCAAACTATATATACATTACAAAACCATATCTTAATACCTACCTATCTGCGTATCTGATTTATCTTCGGTTACTAATTATTTGTTCTCAGCTTTCTACGGCCTTCACATAAACTGTGGTGGTAATGAACTAACAGTCAATGAGACAAAGTATGACGCTGACACATCAGATACACCGGGTTACTATGGTGGTATAAACGGGTGGGTTTCTAGCAACACGGGAAACTTCTTGGATGATGATCGGACTAACAATGGAAAATACGTATGGGAGAATTCATCTGTGCTTAACATAACAAATTCTAGCCTAGATTCTAGGTTCTATACACACGCGCGTCTCTCGGCCATCTCCCTCACTTACTACGCATTGTGTCTTGGAGAAGGAAACTATACGGTTAATCTTCATTTCGCTGAAATTATGTTCAGTGACAACAACTCGTATACCAGTTTGGGAAGACGATTCTTTGACATATACGTTCAGGTAATTTGATTAAACTTGTTTCATGATTTTGTCATAAAACTTGTAAAGCTGAATAAATTGGCTGGTGTGATAATGTGCAGGGTAAACTTGAGGTGAAGGATTTCAATATTGTTGATGAGGCAAAAGGTGCAGGAAGAGCTGTGGTTAAGAAATTTCCGGTCACGATTACGAATGGGAAACTGGATATTAGATTACAGTGGGCTGGGAAAGGAACTCAAGCTATTCCTGTGAGAGGTGTATATGGTCCTCTCATATCTGCTGTATCAGTTGATCCAAGTAAACTTTTCTAAACCCAAAACTATCTCAGAGAGACTTCGCCTTTATTCGAGTGTTTTTGTCACTTGACTTTATCTCCTATGATCTTGCTGTAGATTTTATTCCACCAAAGGAACCTGGCACTGGAACTGGTGGTGGGAGCTCTGTTGGTGCAGTGGTTGGTAGTGTAATTGCTTCAACTTTGTTTCTTGTGCTTTTAATCGGCGGTATATTATGGTGGAGAGGCTGCTTAAGACCCAAGAGTCAGATGGAAAAAGGTACTAACAAAGACTTGCTTAAATAGTTGTTTTAATATTCCAATTCATTTTGAGTCATGCCTCTTTGTATATCTTCCTAAAGTCAACTGTGGTTTTTCACCTCAGATTTCAAGAACTTAGATTTCCAGATCAGTTCATTCTCGTTGAGGCAAATCAAAGTAGCCACGGATAACTTTGATCCTGAAAACAAGATTGGAGAAGGTGGTTTCGGTCCTGTACACAAGGTTAGCATCATACTGTAACATGACATTGTTATGTGAGATAGAAATATGAATGATAAATGATCTTTAGCATGTCGATTATATGAATACAGGGAGTGTTGACTGATGGAACCGTAATCGCGGTGAAGCAGCTATCGGCGAAATCAAAACAAGGGAATAGGGAGTTCTTGAACGAGATTGCTATGATTTCGGCTCTGCAGCATCCACATTTGGTTAAACTATATGGATGTTGTGTCGAAGGTGACCAGCTCTTGCTAGTTTACGAGTACTTGGAAAACAACAGTCTCGCAAGAGCTCTTTTCGGTTAGTCATTCCTTTTAAAACACCTTAAAGCTTAAAACATTCTATCCAATTCAATTGTTGTTTTGCTCATCAACAATGTATTTTGTTCCTATCAATTTAAAGGTCCTCAAGAGACTCAGATACCACTAAATTGGCCAATGAGGCAGAAGATTTGTGTCGGAATAGCGAGAGGATTAGCTTATCTCCACGAGGAATCAAGACTCAAGATCGTACACAGAGACATCAAAGCCACTAATGTCTTGCTGGATAAGGAACTAAACCCAAAGATTTCAGATTTTGGTCTTGCTAAGCTTGATGAAGAGGAAAACACACACATCAGCACACGAGTCGCCGGAACATAGTGAGTCAAACAATCAATCAATCACAAACAAGAAGTTTCAACTCTGAGATTTCATACATAACCAAAAACAAACTTTTTTTGTGTGCAGTGGATACATGGCTCCAGAATACGCCATGAGAGGCCATTTGACAGATAAAGCCGACGTCTACAGTTTCGGTGTTGTGGCTCTAGAAATCGTTCACGGAAAGAGCAACACGAGCTCGCGATCTAAAGCCGATACCTTCTACCTTCTTGACTGGGTAAATCATCATTTTCACCTCTAAAACCCTTAAACCTAAACCTTAAACCCTAAATCATGGATCTAAATCTCAATTTCTTTCACAGGTGCACGTTCTAAGAGAGCAAAACAATTTGTTCGAAGTAGTAGATCCAAGGCTAGGAACAGATTACAACAAACAAGAAGCAATGACGATGATTAAGATAGGGATGCTCTGCACCAGTCAAGCTCCGGGGGATAGGCCTTCGATGTCGACGGTGGTGAGTATGCTCGAAGGCCATTCAACGGTGAATGTTGAGAAGCTTCTTGAAGCTTCTTTAGACAATGAAAAGGACGAAGAGAGCGTGAGAGCTATGAAAAGACATTACGCCACGATAGGTGAGGAGGAGATAACGAACACGACAACCACCGATGGACCTTTCACGTCGTCTTCTACGTCAACCGCCAACGCCGGCGATCTTTACCCTGTTAAGCTCGACTCTTCTTATTGGAACACCAGAACTTAAGAAGTATTGATTATGTTTTTGCAAAATATAAAAAGAAGATATGGAGTTAAGCTTTTTTTTTTTGGTGAATGTTATGGAGTTAAGCTATTATGAGGTTTTGATTCTTCCTTTTGTAAAGTTTTTTTTAATTATGATTATTTTATTTAAGACAATTAGAAAATTACGTTACATGAAACAGTAAATGAGAATATTTATCTTTCCTTTTTTTAAATGAGATAGTGTTGAGTCAGGACAAATATTATTGTTCTGTTAACTTCTTTTTTATTCTTTTTTTTGGGTGATTACTTTCTTAAATATGAGTTCTTTTTAAAAACATTTTCAAATTTCTCAAAATTATTTTTGACGTATTAATTGCACCGGTAATGGCATTTATCCTCTTAATAAGATTGGTTTAGTCAACCATCCTATTCATAATTTAATACGTTTCATGATACATCTAATAAAAATTATTTGGCTAACCAGAACAATAATTTTAGATTAAATAAGTGCGACCGAATAAATTGTTGGTCTGTTAACATCTGTTTCTATGGACAAATGATTTGGCTTGTAATAGTTTAATAGGATTATCTATATCGTCGTTTAGGAAATTCCTTTACAAAATTACAATTAAACTAAAAGGAATGATTAAATATCATCAATCTATAGGTCCTCAAGCTTTTCACGGGGTCGCACCGGCAAATGAAGATCCTTATAAATAGACAAAACAAAAAGAAAACTCTTCACAGAATCTTTATGGTCCGAACAAATCGATTTATTTCAGAAAAACAAAATTTTAAGCATGATCTCGAAGTAAATGGCAGGAAATAAATATCGACTCTGTAACCGACATTTTGCAATTTTGAAGGTTAACAAAAACAAAAAAGATCGTTAAGTTGTGATTGGTAAACATAAATATCGTACTTAAAATCATATCATTTAATTTGTTGACCATATGTAAATTACATTACTTAGATTTCAAAATCCAAAATCTTTGAAACCAATGTTAGTAAACTCCGTCATTAAATAGTAAATGCACACAAAGAAATGTTGAGATTTTATTACCAAAAACTATATGTGGCATTATATTTCACATATTTGACTGATAAAAACCAAACAAAAAAAGCTTAGTTTCCTTTTTTATTATGACAAATGTAATTTACATATATATACTATATATATAGATGCGTGGGTGTATAAAAACCAGCTGCGTATTTGAATCTCTCTCTGTCTCTCTGTCTTCTCTGTGTTAAAATGGGTTCAAGAGATAACGCCATTTCTTATGGCTCTGCATTAGTTTTATCGCTTCTTCTTCTTCTCCTCCACGAAGCAGAGGGATGTGATATGTTCACAGGGCGGTGGGTGAAGGACGATTCTTACCCACTCTACGATCCCTCCACGTGTCCATTCATAAGACGTGAGTTCGGTTGCAAGAAAAATGGACGGCCAGATCTCGATTACACTACCTTCAGATGGCAGCCTCTGTCCTGCAAATTAGCAAGGTATCATCCATTATTTATAAATTACATTTTTTATCTTTTCAATATTTTTTTTGGTGTCTAGATATTTTTTTTTGGGTAAGTTTTTGGTGTCTAGATATTGAACCAAGGTATCGTTATAGATATAAATTTCTTATTCTTATTTTTGATTCTAGATTCTTTTCTTAATCTATTCGTCGGTTTATATTTGTTGAAATATGACATTACATTAGCGTTATTTTTTTTTCCATCACATTAGCGTTATAGGACCACATTTTGTTGATTTAAAGACAAACACGATAATAATTCAACAATGTGAAGAAATAATGATTTGGCTTATATAATTCAAGAAAATAGAACATATTTACAAATAGTTGTTTATACTTTATACTTTTTTCTTGTAAAATAAAGCACTTTTGAGTGAGGAACCAATGAGAAAAGAGAATGCTATTTATATAGTTGTTTGCCATAATTGATTGGTGTTTTGGAATCTCTAAAACTGCACGAGATGAAAACGAACTCTTTTGTCACAATATATGCCAATATGCCAAGTGGTAGATCCGACGTGAGTTACACGCGCCGCCAGTGAGATTAGGACAGCCACCAAACTCTTCCTCATAAGAAGACATAAATTCCCCCACACTTGTGGGGACACTAACTCGAACTCTTTGACGGTTTTGTCCTGCCGTTTCTTAAGTTAATTTCGATTCATGCCACCGACATAAAACACCACCGTTTTGTATTGTTTGTGTTTAGGTTCAATGGAGTGGACTTTTTGAAGAAAAACAAAGGGAAGAAGATAATGTTTGTTGGTGATTCTCTTAGCCTAAATCAATGGCAATCTTTGACATGTATGCTTCACTCTTCTGCTCCCAATTCTTCATATACTTTAACCACACAAGGTAGTATCTCAACCTTCACATTCCAGGTAATTATTATAACAAAATCTACACTTGTTTTGGTTTAGTAAAAAACTAAAAAGTCTATTGGATAGAAAACCGGGATGAACTAAACCGGAGTGGTGTAATTGCAGGAGTATGGACTGGAGTTGAAGCTTGATAGGAATGTTTATTTAGTAGATATAGTGAGGGAGAAGATTGGGAGAGTTTTGAAGCTTGATTCGATCAATGATGGAAAAAATTGGTCAGAAATGGATACTTTGATTTTCAATACATGGCATTGGTGGAGCCGGAGAGGTCCTGCACAACCGTACGTTCAATTAACTCTTAAATAATATGCTTTCTTTTTAGGCATTAATTACAAAAAATGTTCAAAGTTTGGATTTGTTTTGTTGTATTCCGGCAGATGGGATTATATTCAAATAGGGACTAACGTTACAAAAGACATGGACCGTGTTGCTGCATTTGAGATCGCACTTGGGACTTGGGGGAAATGGGTCGATACTGTCGTGGATACAAAGAAAACTAGAGTCTTTTTTCAAGGAATTTCACCGTCTCATTACAAGTAAGTTGTTATACATTTGACTAAAAAGATGATCAACTAAAGAAACTTATATTTAAAAGTTGATTTTGTTGTTTAACAGAGGAGTTCTGTGGGGAGAACCAGCGGCAAAGAATTGCGTGGGACAGAAGGAACCACTTTTGGGGCCAAATTATCCAGGAGGATTGCCAGCAGAAGTGGGAGTTTTGAAGAGAGCACTCGGGAAAATATCGAAACCGGTGACATTGTTAGACATTACGATGCTTTCCTTGCTTCGCAAAGATGGTCATCCTTCGGTTTACGGTCTAGGTGGCCAAAAGTCCTGTGACTGCAGCCACTGGTGTCTCTCTGGCGTACCGGATACTTGGAATGAGATTCTTTACAATTATATGATTGAGTAAAACAAAAATTAAAACATAGAAACACCAAATTATAGCATTTGTTATTGTGGTTGATTCAATTGAATCTGAATAAAAGGGTTCGTTTCTGATTTTTGTAATCATATAAATTATAATACAGGTTACGTAGAATTCAATAAATCGAACTATCAAGCAAAAGAAACGATCTAAACTCTACATCCGTGTAGAGTTAAATGAACACTATATGAAATTGTATAGATTAAAACTTATATTACTAATTCATTTGGTAAGGTTGTTTTTCAACTGAAGGATACTCTGTCAACAAAGTACATATTATTGAATAACGTGAAGTCAAATTTTATCAAAGTCGATCTTAGAAAATCATATTCGTAAATTAGACTCTCTTTATCTCAATGCCAAACAAAACAGAGGTTTTACTCTGTTTTATCATGAGCACCCAGTATCTTCCGGTGAAATTCTCAATCTATCAATAGTTACTTTCAATGTATCACATATAAAAACAAAAGGGTCCTTAGCTCAGTGGTAGAGCATTTGACTGCAGATCAAGAGGTCACCGGTTCGAACCCGGTAGGGCCCTTTATTTGTTATTTTCTTTTTCCTTTTTGAGAACTCTATACTTTGTTAGGAAGGAACCTATCTCTAGCAGCCACAGATCTACATATAGTAAGCAAGAATGTGTTTATAGCAAGTTAGTAACGAAGAGCCGGTTCTTGTGATCGGGTAAATCTTTATAAGTTCATAACAAATCAGAGTTTCAGTAATGATTCATCAATCCTTCGTTACAAGAAAAGCCTTTAACTTCTTTTTCTTCATCTGTGTAATAAGATTTTCTTAGTAACTAACAAAAAGAAAACATAATGAATCTCCCCAAAGTAAGGACCAAAGGAAGGGCGCAACATACTCAGAAAAGGGTTCTGATGAGTATGTGATTTTACTTTCTAGAATCGAAATGGAGTTTCAGGTCCATACTTGCTGCTCCTCATGTTGTAATGATCAAACTTTGAACTATTACTGTACTCTACAGGCTTCACCGTATCTGATGGTGTTTGCTTTGCTTCTGTCTCGGTTGTTTTATCTCTATGGCGACGCCTTGATCGCTCTTTATGGATCTTCGGTTGGGCAACCTCTCCCGAGGCATAGAACTGAGCATAGTCCTGCCGTTTTGATGATGACCTGTGGTGCTTGGATGATGACAAAGTAGGGTCCTTCATTACACTACTTGATCTTAGCTTTGGGGTCTTATGTTCCGGGTAACTATCATCAGCTTTAGGCAAGTGGGCATGTCGCGATTCAGAGATTGGTGCTGGGGCAGTATGCCTTTGGACTCGAGGTGGTTCTTGTTCGTCTTCAGGCATTTTGAGTCTATCTTTTAATGGCCTTAGACTATCGCTCGTTGTGAATCGGGTTGGAACTAGGTGGCTGGTTATAAAATCGAGAGCCAGTTTGCAGAGATCAATAATGAGTTGCCCAAATGATGGCCAACCAGGTTCTTCCTTGGTTACTTTTGTCTCATGGACAGGCCGGGAGAGTTTCTCTTTGCCTGGATGCTCCTCTTCAAAGCTGGTTTCTGATTCTAGCTGCTGTAGTATAAAACAGAAACCTTTGTTGTTTGTAGCTTACGGTTAATGAGAAGCGAAAAGGCGCGAAAGAGAAGAAACAGAAATTTACCGTCTTTGAGAAGAAAGAATTTCCAAAACCCTGCTGGAGCAAACAAGTAGCATAACCAATGAGAACAGCACCAATAACCAAGAGTATATCTGCACCACATTTAAGCCCGCAATGATCTTCGGTTAACACTTTCAAATCCACCTCTAAACAGAGTGTATGCAAAATGATCTATGTAGTGGGAAAAGGTGTTTTTGACTTCTTACCAGTTAGAGAGATTGAGCTATCATCTTGATAGTCACAGTCCTCTTCGCTGAGAGAGATTTGGCGCAGAGCCGCATTTCCTCTGTCAATGACCAGCAGCGAGCAGGTAGACCGAACATATATGACATCAAAATCATTTGAGAACTTTGCATCCTCACTCGGTCCATCTCTATACCCAGCTATATTAGATTTCCCTCCAGCTATCGTAGTAACACCTGTAACAAAAATGTTCCAGGCTTTTAAGAACACAATTCTTCTCAGTTTGATTATATTTTTCAACCTCAAGCAACCACCAATCTCCTTCAGTTTGAGTGCTGATGTAAGCAAAACCTATAAAGAAAACTTGTTGTATGTATACCTGAATCCCCAATCTTTCGGATGGCGAGATTCAACGTATCAGCGACATAAACGTTCCCTTTGTCATCCATTGTTACACCTCTCGGATGATTAAAACGAGCCTCACTCGGTTTTCCATCTGCATGACCCGTCTTTCCTTGAAAAGATCCAGCCACCAATCTTCCCCTGCTGTCTGCCCACAAGTACATAGATTATAAACAAAGTCATAAAAACCTCCAACACTCAAAAAAATATATGAGAAAATCAAATGTTCTTATGTAGTATACAGAACCACAATAGGAGACTAAAATAGAAAATGTAATGACACAAGCAATAAAGAAGAACTAGTAAGAATCAAGATCATCCAAAGATCACAGTAGTATCTGTAAGTATCAAGTATAATCTGAGATGGTGTATGTATATGATTGGATGTACTTAAAACTGCAAAAACTAAGTCTAAAGAAGAGAACTTGAGGATAGAAAATGTACACTGGGACAAGGGAGGAGTGATTTTCATGATGTTGCTATTAAGTTCATCAACAGCATAAAGTTCTCCATCATCAGAAACTCGAATCTTGTAAGGAACAACACCGATTTCGTTTCCTTCGACAACAGTTTCGACCAAGTAACCATTCTCAAACTGAAGAACATTAGTGTCTGCATCACAAGAAGCAAATAAAGAAAGTTACATTAAAACCAAGTCTATGAACAACAAACCATCTCAAAACCAAAAAATGAGCAATAACCTGATTGGGATATTTTAGAGGATGATCCAGTAGTCCACTTGAGAACCCAGGACATGTGTTTAATCAAAGAACCTAAATTCAATTAACAACAAAGTGAATTCACTAAGAAAGTGAGTGAAGCAGATATAGATCAAAGCAACAGAATAAAATTAAGTTAAGCTAAGTTTGGTAAGTTACCAGAAGGAGCAGCTTGAGCTTGAAATGGAAAGGTGAAGACGATCCATAAAGTGAACAAAGTCTTTAGAGAACAAGTAAAGCTCTCAGCGACTAGAAGAATCTGAGATTTGCCCATCTCTTTATCTGTAGTAGCTTCCAAAGTACAATTTGTGTTCGAATCGAACCCTAGAGGAGGCGATTTACATATTCCAAGACAACAACAACAACAACTGATAGAATGAATGAAACCAATTTGCAGATGACAACAGTTTTTTTTTCTTTTCCTTTCTGAAAGTAATAATATTATTACAAAGTGTTTTCCTGAAAAGTTGATCGGTCGTTTATAAAAGTTAGTAAGTTACCTTATGTTATTGGGTTACCCGTGTTCGAATTTGGTCATTTCTGACCCCGTTTCTGGGTCTGGGCCTTATATAAGGCCCATTATTAAGCCTATTAAGGTTCTTACCTTCGATGGGCCCGTTATTGAGTGCTAAATCCTTATCCACTGGCCACTAGAAGTCTTGAATACTAAAAGACAAAATTATTAAGTAAAGAAAAAAAATAAAGCTGATCAGATCAGAAGCACTTCTACGATATGTCCAATCACATCATACCCTTTTACTAAAAAAGAATCAAGAATAGTCGTGAATAGAGAAAACCCATTTCATCAAATCCATACGTTCATAGGCTCATAGCTCTCAATTCGTTGTTTGAAATTGAAATCGAATTGTCTCTCTAGCCTTTTTCCGTTAAACACGGACAATTAACTCATTTTATACTAACTCATAAATTACTTTCATATGCCAGTGATGCCACTCCACTCCACATTATATTCATAAGTTCATAACGCCTAAAAGTAAAACTAGAATTATGTATTCTCACGATTTCTATATTTATATGGCACTATAAGTTTGCTTTAGACTTAGCCATTTGCAATCTTGATTTTGCTTTCATCGATAAGACAACTGTTCTTGTTCAGTTGCTTCACGTATTTAGTTGAAAGCCAATACTTATTCAGCTGTCTTTTATGCAACTTGACACATAATTTAAGAGTCTAATTTTTTTTTAAAAGTTATAGAGAATGAACTTTAAAATTCTCGTTTGATTATCTAAACATCAACGCAATTAAATACGGAACTAAAGAAGGGTTAATTAACAAAATAAGTCTAATAACGAAGAAAGCGTTTTCAGCAGAATGTGGGAGATGGTTACACTTTTCTTCTAATTGCCACGTGTCGTTCATCGACCTCACTCATACCGGACGGGCCGGTCTTCGCGTACGTACGCAACAAAACAGCTTCCAAGTAGTTTCACTTCCCAACCCAAACCGTGTGATTTTGAGTTCTGTCTGAACATTTTATTCCTAATATACCGAAAACACCCTTTCTTCATTTTCGACGTTTCTGTAGAGTAAAGTAGCAATGTCGGTGTAAATATATCTTGACCACGAGGGTATTTAGGTAAACACATGTCCTTTGAACTTCCCTAGGCTCGCCTCTCTCTGTCATTTATTACTCTCTTCATCTCCTACGACGACTGTTTCTCACTCTAAAGCTTTTCTCTTTTCACTTTTCCTCTCTCTACTCTTTTCTCATTCTCGAGCTCCGGGTTTGTCTTGAAACCGTGAAGGAATCTGTATCTTCTTATTGCTACCCATTTTTTTGTCGTTAAGAAAACAATTAAGAGGAAAAACGCAGAGAGATTTTCCGGGGATAGTGTGTGTGTTTTACATCGATCAGGTTAATTAGCTAAGTCAACATTTATTAACTTCTTTTAATCATCATCTTTTGTTTCTTCTGAATGATTTCGTTTCCATTATCATTGTGCAGTTTCTTATACTCTCATTTTCAATCAATAAATTTATATCATTGTGACTTGTGAAGGCTCTTTCACAATCCCATCATTCATAACAATAATGCCATGTTTAAGGATCAGCTTTCATATTATTCTGTTTTTTTTGGAGGTTTTCTTTCTCATATTGGTTCTGTGGTTTCTTATCATTTTTCTTCAATCTTCCTTTGGTAGGTAGTGATTTAATATTTCATATGATTGATTTGATCTGCAGGGTTTAAGCGGAGGTTGGTTTGTCATTTCGCCAGTTGGTTTCTTCAGATTCACTCTACAATGAATTGAGAACAACAAAACAGACCATAGAAACTCAGTGAGAGAGACAGACAGATAGATAGAGACCTTGAAACTTTTGGAAGGTACATTCCCTACAATCTTTTTAAATGAACTTTGCTTCTAAAATTGTATTAAACCCTGAGCACCATATTGAATTAAACCTTCTTGGGTTTACCGTTTACTTGTTATGTTGCAGAGTTCATTATCACTGTTTAGCATAACTCTTCTCACTAGTCATCCTGTAATCTCTGTGCTTTAGGGTCTAAAGCTCTAGTGAAATAGAGAAATATGGTTGTTTTGTGTGAAGCTTGTGACTGTACTAAATGTTAGGTAGCTATGTTTGGCTTTGTGGCTGTCTTACTTTTTCTTCAAATGAGTGGAATCAAATGACCATTCAATAGAATCATATACATACATGTGTGTATTCGTGTGTGGGGGCACTTTTATGTTCTTGGATTCTAGTTTAACTGATTTGGTTTGTAGCAATTATGAATCATGAATACTCTAATCCTTTTATCAGTGTCCCATAATTGATAACTTATGAACAACTTTGAGTATCTATATGTATTTAAACTCATTAGTTCTTTTTGTATTCACTTTTGCACTTTTTTCTTGACTGTTCCTTTTCACAAAAAAGTGAATAGAAAATAAGAACGAGGGGTGTTGAATTATTTGCATGTGTCTTCTGCAGATAAACCCATTTGGGTGTTATTTTATTATATGTTGTTTTCTCACTTTTGTTTGGTTCTATAGCAGCACAATTTGACTAAATAGCCCCACACACCACATATATAGCAAAAGATTTCAGAACATTAATAAGAAAGAAAAAAAGTAGATCGGTTCATGAAAAGAAATGGTACTACACACGCAAGTTGTTTATTCTTCTTCCTTGGACATTTCTTGATTGTTTATTCCTTGTAAAGAAAAAACATTTTTCATTTATATATGAACCACATTGTCCCCACAACTGTGGATGAATCTTTAAGCTGTATCCACTAGATAATCTAAGCATGTACCTCTCTCTCTCTCTCTCTCTCTCTGTCTCTCTGTGTATATATATATTTATTGCATACATCTCTCTTCTTTGTGACCAAAAGTGTAGTGTGAACCATTAGTGAAACAATCTCTTCAAGCTTCTTCTCTGCTCTTCATCTTTTTTTTTTTTGTTTTGTCAAACTGCTCTTCATCTTTTTATTTGTTGTTAACTAAAGAAGTCTACAAAGTGAAGCTCTATTAATGGTCCTAGATCTAATTTTCCTTTTACTTTCTCTTTTTGTTCGATATAAACATTGTTACAAGTCCTATTCAACCCCTTCTTCACTTTTGTTTGTTATCTTACTAAAGCATTGGTGACAAATCTGCAGATGGAGTCTGTGAAACCATTGGATGTTGTTGCTTCAGGAAAAGGAAAACTCAGACGCACATTTGCTAAAGTTATCAACATTAAGAAGCTTACCGGTGTTGTTCCAGAAGGCAACAAAGTTGAGAGAGTGAAGAAGAGCCAAGAAAAGGTGAAGTTGGATAAAGATTTAGTGAAGAATGCTGCAAATCTGTCTGAGTCATTTGACAAGCTTGAGGAAGAGTATGAGAAAAGATTGGCTATGGAAGCTCTTCTTGCAAAGCTGTTTGCTACGATTTCTTCAATAAAATCGGGTTATGCGCAGTTGCAGTATGCTCAGTCTCCTTATGATCCAAATGGGATTCAGAAAGCAGACAACTTGGTAGTAGCAGAGCTCAAGACATTATCAGAGCTGAAACAGAGTTTCTTGAAGAACCAGCTTGATCCTAACCCTGATAGAACTCTTGTTCTTGCGGAGATTCAAGAGCTGAGAAGCGTTTTAAAGACTTATGAGATCACGGGGAAGAAGCTTGAGTGTCAGTTAAAGCTTAAAGAATCTGAGATCATATTTCTTAAAGAAAAGTTTCAAGAATCCATGAGTCAGAACAAGTTGATGGAGAAGAGATTAAACCAAAGTGGCCAACTTTGCAATCCATTGGATCATAATCTTCATCTATCAGCGCTAAATCCAACTCACTTCGTTACCTATCTGCACCACACAGTCAAATCAATCCGAGGATTCGTCAAGTTAATGATTGAGCAGATGAAACTCGCAGCTTGGGACATCGATATGGCTGCTGATTCGATACAACCTGAAGTGTTCTATTACAAGCAAGACCATAAGTGTTTTGCTTTCGAGCATTACGTTTGCAAGATAATGTTTGAAGCGTTTCATCTACCTTACTTCTCAAACGAATCATCGAAGAAGGAGAGTAGAGAAGACAGAGAGATGTTCTTTGAGAGATTCACAGAGCTTAGATCGATGAAACCAAAAGAGTATTTAGCATCACGGCCTAAATCAAGATTGGCTAAGTTTTGCAGAGGAAAGTATTTGCAGCTCATACATCCAAAGATGGAGCACGCGTTCTTCGGACATTTGCATCTTAGAAACCAAGTCACTGTAGGTGAGTTTCCGGAGACAAGCTTGTGCACTGCGTTTCTCGAAATGGCGAAAAGGGTTTGGCTTTTACATTGCCTTGCTTTCTCCTTCGACCCTGAAGCTTCAATCTTTCAAGTATCTAGAGGTTGCAGATTCTCCGAAGTGTACATGAAGAGCGTGACGGAGGATGCGTTTTTCTCTCGGTCGGAGGAAGAAGAAAGCTCTTCGGAAACTGAGCCGGGAGTTGCGTTTACGGTGGTTCCTGGGTTTAGAATTGGGAAAACGTCGATACAATGTGAGGTTTACCTCTCGCGGTCACGTCAACGCCGTCCGATCAGTTAGATTCCGACGATGACGTCACAGGGGTATTAGTGTAATTTAGGTGGTGGGGACTTTTTGGGGTGTAGGAATAATAAATGAGGAGAGAAAATTTGCTGACCGTTGGATTAAGAGAAGAGGCAAAGTATATTGTTATGGTTTTTATTTTTATCCTTGTCAATATTAGAGCAGAGAGACAGAAGCATCTCTTAGCTGTTTTCCATCAATTATTAGATGTTGTCACTCACACTACCTTATATCATATGTAAATAATTCGCAATAATTAGTATAATTGCTATTTTCGATTACTTGTGTAATGTTGTAGTCGATATTATATGATATAATATTAGTGAATCAAAGAAGAATGAACATGATTAAAAGTAAGTAACTTTTTATGAGTGGAAAGAAGATATCTTCTTAAAGTGATTTCGAATCATGGATGTGTAAAATTATTTTCTTAAATTTTGACTTTTTGGGACTAATCCCTCTATTTATTTATTTGTTTTCACGACCGACCAAATATTTTCAGATAATACTCTGATGGGTCCATTGTATTTTTGATAGATCTTTTGGGCCCAAAAACAGTCTAATGTCCAATGATCTTTATATATTACCAGGATCAGTGGGAATTGACTCGGTTTTGTCTTTGATTCTTGAACTATACCGAACCAATCCGGTTACTATGATACTGTATATTGAAAGTTCAACTTGTCAAATACCATTAATTTACTATCACAAATTGAGACCAAACCGGTCATTTACACCTGCATTCATTCTTATTACGCAGCGGCCAATGTTTACAATATTGTCAACTGAAATACAGTTTTACAAAAAAATTGGCACCAAAAGAGGAAGGAGATTAAAACATTAATTCTACAAAGCGATAAAACTTTACTTTATCTTTGACCGGACTTTAAATTATATGTATCTCTATCTCTACAATAATTATTTGAGAAGTAGAAACGCACCATATTCAAAGTTAGGGCATTGGAGGCCTGTGGTTAAAAGTTGGAATGATTTGTCCTAAACACCCTTAATGAATTGTTCTTCTCGAAATTTCTTCTTCTTCGTAATTAGGGGTATATAAGTCTAATCGTGTGTTGATCTCTATACTAATGTCCTAAACACCCTCGATTTCGAAATTTTTTGTTCTTAATTGTTAGGGGTATATAAGTCTAATCGTGTTTTGAGATGATTAGTCTTAATCACCCTTAATGAATACACTATCAAATCCAGTTTTCTATTTTTTGGTGAGGGTAAAACAATAAAATCGTGTGAATTTTATTAAAATATGGAATATTTCGTTTTTTAGTATTAAAATATAGAATATTTCGTTTTTTAATATTAAAATATGGAATATTTCGTTTTTTAAAATTTAAGATAGATACTAAAATATCTTACGAATATTTGTATCAAGAAATTTTCCAATTTTAAAAAAGAAATTTGTAGAGATAATTATGACGGTGTGCCCTAGATATTAAACTATAAATATAGAGCCGCAACCACACCATTAGAACTCAGATTCGTTAGCCTAAACATATCGTTTTGATATTATAGCTTTTTTTTTGTTGCTTTGGTTCTTTTATGGATCGATTTATTTTGCGTTATTATTTTTTACCTTTTCTTGAGGTTATATTTGTATTGTTATTATCTTGGTCTATGAATTATCAAGATTGTTATTGTTTTGCTGATTTGTATCGTGTGAATTATGTTTTAGGTAACCGCTCATGGGAGTTTCTATCAAGAGATTGAATGAACGAGTTGATGAAGACATGTCTCTTCATTAAATTCATTAACAAACTTTTTACATCAATCGTGAGTCCTCTTTAATTTTAGTTAGCGCTTCTCTTATGTCTCTTTGTAAATTACTTACAATTTTATAATTTGTGTTGGTTTAATTATTGATAGTTGTCTCTCATCGGATCTGATGTAAAATAATTTTTTACCATGCACTACATAACGAAATAATTTTTTTTTTTGTCAACGTTACTCATAATTTTTGTGTTTTTGAAGGCGGAGCATTGCGCTGATGCGGAAGTGATTTACAAGTTTTTGGAGGTCAATGAGATTGATAAGACACATGCTGTCTACTACATAGCTTATGCTTTGCACATGGGAGTTTAAGAATAAGGTGAAAACTGCTAAGGAGATCTTCAATCTCGGAATCTCTAGGTAATATTTATTACGAATGAATAGACATGTAATCATATATACTTTCATATTTATGCTCCTTACATTATAGACCCTTATAAATTTACTGATTTTCTTTGCTTCCATCTACACAGCTTACCAGAGAGACTCATAATTTTCTCAGATTTTGTTTTGCTTCTTCTTTCTCTAATTAGCATATTTCTCTCGATCGATATTTTATGACGGAAGACGATTTGAAGCTATAATCACTGTAAGTAATCTTCCAATTCTCTTGATTTCTAGGGTTTTTAGATTTCACTATTATAAGTTTTTTCTTTGTTTCGCATATTTCTCTCGATTGTAATCATTCAAGATTGAGGAAGATTTGTAGCGATTATTACTGTAAGAATTCTTCAAATCCTCTTGATTTCTAGGATTTCTAAATTTCACTATTATAATGTTTTCGTTTTTTCTTTTGGTTTTTTTTTTCGTTTTGAAGAGGCTTTTGATATTTGCACAACCGAAAAATTCGTGTTTCAAAGTTTTTTTTCTTCTGTGAATTACAAGTTCTTTCTTCTTCTTTTTTTTTGGTTTTAATTGATTTTGTTTTTGGTTCGTGTTTTTTTTTTTTTTTCTGCAGCGCTTTGCATAATTTGATAAGCATGAAATTGTTGCGATCAGTTGTGGTTTATTGCTTGTGTTTTTCTGTTTTGTTTGATTTCTTTCTTATTTTGTTTTTCATTCGAACCCAAGAGAGATCATAGGCAGACACTCAATTATTAGTGTTTTGTTAGAATCTTTCTTTGGCACATTGTCCCGTCGAGTTTGGACCCATGGCTTATGGGAAATTTTGACCTGAGACTGAAAACCGATCCTTTATCCACGGCTTATTATTTCGACATATATACTTGGGATTGGTTTCAGTTTACTGGTCAAAGATCAAGTTACCCACGGCTTAAAACATCATCAGTCTTTAGACAGAGACTGAGATTCGGAAAACGAATTATTTAGACAAAATATTGGATTGGGTTATGTTTGGTGGAAGGAAAATGGTACCCACGGCTTCAAACATTAGTCTTTAGACTGAGGCTGATTCGACCATTGATCCTTCATGGTACCCACGGCTTGAAAATCTCTAGACATGGATCATGTTCGTTTTGTTCTTTCAGTTTTTAGACAAAGAGACAGTACCCATGGCTTAAACATCATCAGTCTTTAGACCAGAGACTGAGATTGGCTTATGTTTGGTAGAAGGAAAATGGTACCCACGGCTTAGAACATTAGTCTTTAGACAGAGACTGAGATTGGCTTATGTTTGGTAGAAGGAAAATGGTACCCACAACTTAAAACATTAGTCTTTAGACAGAGAATGAGATTTACTTATGTTTGGTGGAAGGAAAATGGTACCCACGGCTCAAAACATTAGTCTTTAGACAGAGACTGAGATAGACTTATGTTTGGTGGAAGGAAAATGGTACCTACGGCTTCAAACATTAGTCTTTAAACTGAGACTGATTCGAACATTGATCCCTTATGTTACCCACGACTTGAAAATCTCTAGACATGGATCATGTTCGATTTGGTCTTTCAGTTTTTAGACAAAGAAACAGTTACCCACGGCTTTTAACACCATAAGTCTTTAGACAAAGACTTGAGATTCGAAAAAACAATCCTTAAGACAAAAGATTGGATTGGCTTATGTTTTGGTGGAAGGAAAACGGCTTAAAACATCATAAGTCTTTAGATAGAGACTTGAGATTCGATTTTTTATATTTGATGAGATTTTGTTTGTTGTTCTACGGATTTTCTATCAATATTGTTTTACTAAATTTGGGTTGCTTGGTTGGTGTTTTAGGTTTACGGATTATGGGATCCTCAATCAAAACCATGTTCGGACGGACGAGTTGATGAAGAAACAAAAAAGAACTGTTAAGGTATTATTAGTGGTTGTGTTTAGTTTTTTTTTGGGTTTGTTCTTAGTTTTGTAATTTAATGATCAGTTGATTACGTTTCAAGATAGCATGATGGTTTCATAGCAAAATAAGTAATAGTTTTCTTATAGAGAGACTTAATTTTTGAGTTGATTCCATGGCTACAGCATAAAGATTGAAGATGATGACATACCAGACCAGAAAGGTCAGAAGACGATACTGAGAGTAGCGGGTCTTGGTCACGCATTAATCGTTTACGTTAATGGAGAATACGCAAGTACTTAAACAGTCATTTAAGGGGATATAAGACACACAGAGAGAGTTTTATGTAACTTTCTGTTTGCTATATTTTTGTTGTAGGTAATGCGCATGGAAGCCATGAAATGAAAGTTTCGTGTTTGCAAAACCAGTTAACTTAAGAACCGGAGATAATTGTATTTCAATTTTGGGTGTACTAACCGGATTACCAGTGAGTTAGAAACATTCAAGATCGAGATTATATATGTCACACCAAACAAAGTATAAATTAGTTCTAATCTTTCAGGACAGTGGATCATACATGGAACACAGGTATGCCGGTCCACGTGGTGTTTCAATCATCGGTTTAAAGTCAGGAACGCGAGATTTGATAGAGAACAATGAATGGGGACATTTGGTATTTATGTGCATCTGACCAATATAATAGACCAATTTTATTCTTGGTTTGGGATATAATGAAGATTAATCCGGTTAATGCAGGCCGGTTTGGAAGGTGAAAAGAAATAGGTGTACACAGAGGAAGGATCTAAGAAGGTGAAATGGGAGAAATATGGTGAACATAAGCCTCTTACGTGGTACAAGGTAAACATATAACTCAATAAAACGTTTCTTGTGATGTTTACAGATTTGTCGTAATAAATGGATTCGCAGACCTACTTTGAGACACCAGAAGGAGAGAACGCGGTCGCCATTAGGATGAAAGGAATGGGAAAGGGATTGATTTGGGTTAATGGAATTGGCGTAGGGAGATACTGGATGTCATTCGTTTCTCCACTCGGAGAGCCAATTCAAACGGAGTAGGTTTTTAGAAATATGACTTGCAGGACAAGAAACTGATTTGAGACTAAACCCATCTATATATGGTGGACAGGTACCATATACCAAGATCTTTCATGAAGGAGGAGAAGAAGAAGAGCATGTTGGTGATTCTCGAGGAAGAGCCAGTTGCTAAAATGGTGCCTACAAGCTCTCCCACCAAGATGATCAACGACCTGCTGAATTAGAAGGACGGGATGGTTGCTCTCAGAGAGACGCAAAAGCCTTGAAATGATCAAGGCAGATATAGAGTAAACGTCCTTGAAGAATAGATGAACGCCTTGCGTAAGGAGAATGAGGAGGCGAGGAAGAAGAACAGTAACAAGGGACAATCCTCTTAAAGGGACAGAAAAAGCATAATTATTTCTCACGAGACTGACTTAATCCTGTGATTGTGAGCTATGTGGTTGGATTGGGAACGATGTGAAATTCTCTCTATTGTACAACTAGGATTAAATACAATTAGGCTATGAGACATTTGTAGTTCTCTTTCCTTTGGCCTATGTTGTACGGTTTGTATTCTATCATATGGTAACAAATTAAAAAAAAATTGCCAAGATAGATATGTATATTTGATGCTTTGTAGATTTACATTATTATGATTTGTTGCACTGTTGTGTAGCAAATATACTTTGATATATTGTATTTTTTGATTTGTTAAGTACACGATTACAAGAAGATATTGTATTACTTTGATTTGTTAGGTTTTATATCTAAAACAATAATATTGAGTGTTGCCATCTCTACGATAATTATTTGACAAGTAATTTTACACCATATTCAAAGTGATTAAACGTCGGAATGATTTGTCCTAAACACCCTTAATGAATTGTTCTTCTCGAAATTTCTTCTTCTTCGTAATTAGGGGTATATAAGTCTAATCGTATGTTGATCTCTATAATAATGTCCTAAACACCCTCGATGTCGAGATTTTTTGTTCTTAATTGTTAGGGGTATATAAGTCTAATCGTGTTTTGAGATGATTAGTCTTAATCACCCTTAATTTTTTTTTAATATAGTGTAATCGTTTGGGATACGAATGTCATAATGTCTCGACTTTAAGTATTATGGAATCTTAGCTTAAATTTATTTGTTAATTTTTTGGATAATTCTATATCTTAGTAGTTAATATTAGTTTTTGTTAGTTTTCTGATTTAGTTTCTAATTAAAAAGTTAAATTTCTTAAGATAATGATTGATGTTTGCCCTAATCTTAAAGCTATATATATTGTTGATCGGCCAGAGAATTATGTATTATTTTTTCTGTGCCCATTAGATAGTTTTCACCGTTATGGTTTGTTATACAGCTACGATTCTGATGAATCAAATTGTTTGTCATGCAAATATTGTTTTCATTTACTTTTAGAGGTCTTGTGCATATTGTTTGTGTTGTTTGTTTTATTTTTTGCATTAGTTCGTTGATTTATTGTTTTGCTGATATGATTCTTTTGGTATGTGTTTCAGTTTTGTAGAACGTGAGAGGTTCCATCGACAAAGCTTTCGGACGAAGGTGGTGTTGACGAGAAGAAAACGAGGTTTGGAAAGGTACTTCTATAGTTTTGGTTTGTATATTTTAGTTTTCCTTGCGATGGTCCGGGACGAGGTGGTACTTGTGATATTTCGGTTTGGGACGCATTTTATTTGGCAGTTTTCTGGATGTTTGTTTTCGTAATTTTTTTTTTTGGTCGTTTTGGTTTCTCTAAATCAAAATTTTTATCATGTTGTTATGATTTTTGCTTTCCTTGATAATTTAAACCGTTTTATAGCAATATTAATATTTTTTACCTGTGTAATTATCGCAGATTGGGTATGTGGAAGCAAGTGAATATATAGATGCAAAGTTCAGATCCGTCTGCAACCGATTGACAGGTGATCTTCTATCTTTCATGCACTAACAATCTCTTTTTTTTTTTTTAATTATGAATTTATAATTCATATTAGGGTTACAATATTTTCGTTACAAATCAGATGCTAGCTGGAACACCAACTTGGATGTCATCTTTAAGCAGGTATTGTAGATACTTATATATCTTCATGAACAAAACAGGTTAGCCTCTCTCTCTTTTTAGTCGAACATATTTGTTTAATGAATAAAAGTTTTTTAGAAAATATTGTGGTTTGTTTCATCCTATATAAAAGTATTCTCTAATCTAACTATATTTTGTATTTGGTAATTTTTTCGTTTGCATATTTTGTTTACTGTCCTGTAACTCAATTATATTGTCTCCTAAATCTTTATAATTTTTGTTATTAAATTAATTATATTTTTGTTTGGTGCAGTGTTTAGAGATCCCTTTAATACCATATTATAAAGGAGGAATCATCGTGTAGAACGCTGGAGACTATTCGGAAACCCAAAAGTCAATTTCAGAGTAATTTGAAACCGTAATTTAGTTATTGCACGAGAGAGGAAACAAGTTTATGACATTGTCTCATAGAAGACTTATTTGAAAAAATGGTATTGCTTTTTTTTTTTATCTTCGACAAGAGAAGGCCAGAGAAGCAAAACAAAAGTCAAATTTCATAAATAAAAACAAGAGACTTGCTTCTTTTTTATTTGCATGTATCAGGAAGACCAAACCCTCGAGAATAATTCCACTACGGAAATATCACTCCAACAAAATTGATTGTTTTCTCAACTCAGCTCTTTGATTAATGGAGCACAAAGGTATGTGGTCAATGGAGTCTTTTATATGACATGTTCGAATATCAGTCCAACCACTCGATCTCATATTATCTCCTGTCATTTGATTCCTCGAATGAACACCATTAACAACAGTTCCCACCTGCCAAAGTTGGTTGGCCGTGCTCAAATTCAATGGCAACTCAAGAGTTGCGTAGATGGTAGCTTCGACATTGATCAGAGTCTCGGAGACGCGATTCACAAGGAAGCTAAGATTACCACATGAGTTGCGTGTCGTAGCAAGTCACGGAAGATGTATAGGCCTGGCATTGGCCACTTGAGTTGGTGAATACGACGAGCTCTTGCATCCCAACCATATGAGTACTACTTGGGTTAAGTCCACTAGCAATCCAAGAAGAAGAAGGGGTTCCATGGTGGCGAAGGGAGATGGAAACGATACTGTTTGATTTGTTGTATGTCCAGTGTTTAGAATTTCATAAGCCTGGTCACTTTTATAGTACTCTATGTTTGTTTTGTTTTACGTTCTTGTGCTTTATAATATATATATATATATATATATATATATATATATATATATATATATTTATATATGTATATATGTATATTGTTGACTTATAATATATATGTTGTTCTTGTGGATGTATAATTTATATTGGTGTTGCAATGTTTTCGTAACATACCACGAACTATGAGCGCCAAATACGATTTCATCGTCTAAGACGGTAAGCTCGCAACAAACTATATTGTGTTTCAAATGGTTTGGTAGCTTTCTTGCATAGTTATCAATTCTGTTGTTCCAAAATCAGTAATTAAAAAATTTGAGAGTTTTTATCAAAAAAAAACCTAGAGAGTTAGATTCAACAAACTAATATTTATATTAAAATATTTGTTGTTGTAAAGGATGAAGGCATGTCCGATCTTATTTGTATAAGTAATCTCCCTTTAGTTCTATTTTTTTAAAAAAATGTTTAATGATACGTTATTAACAAAATTGGGTCTCCATTTATGTTCTCAACTTGGAGAACCGTATTGAAAGATGTTGGGATACAGATTTTGTTGGTACCAGTCACCATTCCGAAGATGGAGTCCATCGGCACAAATACATTCGTTACATGGATAGGTTCTTTACTTCTTTATTATGTATAACTGTATTTTGTTTAAGAGATTTATTGGTATTTTTGTTTAATGTTTTAAGATGTACTAATAATAACGTATAATATCTTGTGATAATATATGCTACTTTTCTTTTCGTCCTTTTCCATATTCAAGAAATTATCACATCTTTTTAAAAAATTTAACATCAATCTCAATCTAATTCTTAATTGTTTTTGTAACATAAGATATGTTAAACAAGGTGTAGTGATTATCAATTCCTTTTTTTTAATATTTTATCTATTTTATAAATAAAAATAAAATTATATTATTTTTTATAGGGAATATGATAGTCCTAAATATAATTTTTCGTCTGTCTAAAAAAAACATATAAAATTATTTCGTAGAAATTATTTGCTCATTGATGTGTTTGACTATAACCATGATAACAAAACAAGAGAACCAGAATTGACGGCTTTCTATTGTCTAATGAAAGAGATCTTGATAAACCTAGAAATCTTTTGCTGATTGAGCAGTTTGGCTATAACAATGATAACGAAAAAGGAGCAAAATTGACAGTTTTCTGCAGGCTCACGAAAAAACTATTGACAAATGTAGAAATCATTTACTGATGATGAGTTTAGCTATAACCATGATAACAAAAAAAGAGGAGAATATTTGACGGTTTTCTGTAGTCTCATGCAAGAGCTCTTGATAAACGTAGAAATCGTTTGCTGATTGAAAAGTTTTGCTATAACCATTATAACGGGAAATGAGCAAAATTGATAATTTTTTACAGAATGATGTAAGAGCTCTTGATAAACGTATAAATCATTTGCTGCTTGATGAGATAGGCTATAACCATGATAACAAAAAAATGAGCGAAACTAACGGTTTTTTTACAGCCTAATGAAACACCTATTGATAAACGTAGAAATTATTTTCTGATTTATGAGTTTATAACCATGATAAAAAAACAAGAAGAGCAAAGATAAAGGTTTTATGCAGCCTCATGAAAAAGCTCTTGATAAACGTAGAAAACATTTGTTGATGGTGAGTTTGGCTATAACTAGGATAACAAAAAAACAAGAAAGAAAAATTCACGGTTTTCTCCTATTGATGAAAGAGCTCTTGATAAATGTATAAATCATTTGCTAATTGAAGAGTTTTGCTATAACAATTATAACGGAAAATATGTAGAATTGACAGTTTTCTTCAACTTCATAAAAATGCCCTTGATAACCATAAATATCATTTGCTGATTGATGAGTTTGGCTATAACCATGATTAAAAAAAAAGTTGATGGGTTTCTGCAACGTAATGAAAGAGCCCTTGATAAACGTAAAAATTATTTGCTCATTGATGAGTGTGGCTATAACAATGATATCAAAACAAGAGAGACAAAATTGACGGCTTTCTGTAATCCGATGAAAGAGAACTTGATAAACATAGAAATCATTTGAAGATTGATGAGTTTGACTATAACTATAATAACTAAAAATATTGAATAAAATTGATGGTTTTCTGCAAGCTCA